GGTAAACATAGTTTACACACCAATGACGTTAGGTAAACATAGTTTACACACTAATAACGTTTGGTAAGCATAGTTTTCATGCTTATAACTACTTTATTTCATGAAATGTAGGGTAAAGTAAGGTTGATGTGTTAAAAGTTATTCGGCTTGTAAGGAAAATTTTTCTCACACTAGTGCGTGAAATACAAGATAGCAAGTGAAACTCGACATCAACTAAAGTATGATCGCTTTATTTAATATTGCCACCAATTTCGACAGTTCACAACATCTGTGGGTATAAAAGAACCTGTGGTCAGGGATATCTCACCACTTACACTGAGCTAAGGTTTGACTATCGCCAACATTGGACAAACCTTGCGCTGATTAGTCTTACACAAGGGTTGAGATATTCCTGTCCAAGGAACAGACCTATGCATGATTACATTTTTTTATTTATCATTATTCTTAACTGTATTTAAGGTTGTGTATTGTCTTATATCGCTTTCAGTTAAAGAGATGTGATTTTCATTGGAAATTACTTTCTATTCAGCAACTGTCTTTCTGTAACTGCCATAATGACCTCTATTTCTTCAAATCAGCTTCCTCACATCTGCTTCATAAAAGATGTTTTTTCTAGTGTAAATTATTCATTTTGATGTCCGGAGCCAATTCGAAATTTGTTCCAGGTGGTGCTCCCAGATTTGAATTTGTTCCAAGCTTTACTTTGACAAAAGAACAGGAGTCTTTCCACTAAGATTCTGTACTATATCGCCTCTTCAATCCACAATGTTATGTGCCGATTTAACACCACCACCACAATAACTTCTGGAAATCCTTGTTTCTGATATCTTGCATTCATTGCCAGACAACGATACTAGCATTGCAAAATAATATCCAAAGAAATGCAAAATTGCACATATTTTTTCAATATTCTACAGCTTTGAATATGGTCAAATTCCATCCGACAGCTAAGGTAAATAGAGACAAGAGGCCCATTACCCTTAATGGTCATCTGCCTACATAAACTTTCAGTAGAAAAAAGGGTTATTTTTGCTACTCAGAATGAAATCTTACTAAGATACTGTTTTCCATTATGCAGATGGTAGTTTTGGTGAGGAGTAGGTAACTGTAACAAGTGTTACCTATTTTTTGACAGTAAAAAGTTGGAGCTTAGTCCAACTGGTGAAGAAATGCTGCAAAGGAAAACTGATTGCGCAATTATGTTACAAAATGGCCTCTCTGGCCGCCATGTCAAAGTTTTGACAAGGTCAAAAAGATAACATCACCCTGTTGGCTAACTTGCCTTCACATCCCCATCAATTTTCAGCTCAATGGCACCAGTAGAACTAAAGAACTTTAAAATATGTTTTTCAAGATGGCGGCCATCTTGGATTTCAGACATACTCGAAAAATAACAATAATTGGTCTGGACCTTCTCATGCAAGTTAGAGCTCAATCAATGAAACGTGAGAAGAAATTTAAAATGTCAAAAGTTGGCAGACTGGGTACGACGAAGCACGAAACACAATGGTTATAGGTCATCATGACCATGTAAGCTCATACATGGTTATATTTAGGTGAAAATAGAAGCAATCCTTTTGTTGATTTACTTTAAAAACCTAAACCTAATCCAATGATTTACAATTCTCGTGAGGTTTTCGCCCTATTGGTTTTACACTGTAAATATGTGTCATTCACCGATGTAACCAAATTAGTTCATTTTTGTATTATATAACTGAGGTCATCTTCGACAGATTGTCCACTTTCAAGTGCTCGACGCGCGACAACAAGCAATTCAACATCAGTTTATAAGCAGAGTGTACTACAGGACACAGTTTGAACGATCACCTCGCTCCGGACAGCCATTACAAATGAACGCCAGGATTCGGATACCAATGTCTATTTATGACGGTAGTTCAATATGCCGCTGCATCCGTCATGTACATCATTGGTATCACAGGGCAAGCATTCAAGCGCAAAAAGGTCAAATCTTTCTACATTTTACACACTGCTTCTTGTTTCATTGTAATGAATATTTGGATTTCTTCTGCTGAAAGAGTTCATTTTTATCAAAACATCTTGCTGCTATGTTTTAGAAAGACAACCGCATTGAGCAAGAGCTGGGATGTACTGGCCAAATATAGGCCTGCGTTAACTGAGGCGTGATTCTACTTTTCATTATCAGTGTGAATGAAATCATTTTTGCTTTTAATTGCTTACACGAAGCTTGATTTAACGGAAAATCTTTCATGAGTGTTGATGTAATATGGAGTTCCGCAAATGAGTGGAAACATTCAATACCTCGCTCGCTTTGATTGACATTTCAAATTATTGTGTGTGAACTCGCTTAATAGATTTCCTATTACTTTGACACGTGGGTAAGATTCTATTTATATATATACCATATAACTCATATTTCTGAAAAATATGTGAGCATTCATATAAATTTCCCTTAAAGACAGGCATATTACGAAGCGGCCAGTACATTTTCCAACCATGTGACGTCATAAAGACATGATCACGCCACAATAGTGCAACTAAATAAGTTTCTGGTGATGTTTAGCATGCAATATTTCATTGCTGAGATTAGTTTGAAAACGATTTTATCAAAATCTTAAACAATGACTTTTCATGTTGACCAGTATATCGTGTGCAAACATTAAATGGTACATATTCGTCATTTATCGAGTAATTTCGCCAATTACAGCAGCACTTGTAACGATATACAAGAACCAGTACCTGCCTGTGATCACATGAAAGAAATGCAACCATTTAACTGTCTGTTCTGCACTTCTTCTTTGATAATATTGACTACCCACGACACAAAGTTCTGAAACAAATCGAATAAACTTTGGCAAACTTGGGTATTTTGTCCGATAGGCAGCACTAATCATACAGATCGACTGTAAAATATACAACGGTAAAGTTATGTATGGAGTTTCTCAGGTCACTCCAGTGAACGAAATTGGAAGCGGAGCATACATATTGTCATAGGAACCACATGTTGAATCTATTTTGGCTAATATCATCAGATATACATTACAAGAATATTTGTAGCTATTTTGTAACTTTGTTTTTTAAAATATCACTTCATGTGGCTTTGTGTCGATTTTTAACTGGTTAAGATACATTAAAACATACTGTCCAACTATGTTAGCTACTAATTTAGCCTTTTTTTTTTGCGTCAATGCCTCCGCAAGTTAAATGATGTTCTTCAGTGGGGTCTGAAATTAAATAGTTAAATTTATACATTACAACCCGCAAGTTGTTATCAACTTCAAATCGCATCATTGCCACTTTGTAGCAGTTTTCTTTTAATATAAGCATTTACAATTTCTATTGAAATTTCATCACTCTATCGCTATATAGCTCTAGAAATCTTTCTTTTAAAGAGGTATTGTAAAATAGAACTGACAGGTACAAAGTACTTCAGGTTTCAGCTTATGCATTTCATAAAGTATTGAACATTTTCAAAATGATTTACATTGATATAGGTGCTTGACTCTTGTCTAAAAGATTAGCATTTCACAGTTTCAATCACATCTTATTATTGTACTTCGCATAAATGTATTTTTTCATATCAAGAATCCAGTCACGGACTTTTTGAATGTTGTTTGTGCTTGGCAATCTTTGATGAATTACAATTGACAATCTGACATCAGGCATCCCATCTTTGGTATTCCTCATAGCACGGCGTCACCCAAAGTTTTCTCTCCTTCTCGATGTGGTAGTCTTGGTGCTTTGCAGACATCTTGCAAAATGCAGGTTTTAGTAATGACGGCAATATGTTTTGTTTGTTGTTCTTTTATAATAAACATAAGTGACTCACTGTAAAAAGATTTTTCTTTTTTAAAAACATCTATGTTATACATCTTTAACTTTTGTCAACGTGATATTTATAGTGGCGACGCAATGCAAAAAGTTATAGACACCATATTAGTCACAGTGAAATTTCGATTAAAATATTTATGTTGATAGGATATCTTTTAACTGTTAAGACTTCCTCTTTTAATGTTTACGAACAAGTTCAATGCTAGGTTGCATTACAGTTTTACTGTTACATACAAACGTAAGCTAATATGAATTACATATTTAAGTACTTATTACAAAGCAAGTGATTTTTTATAAAATATATACTTTACCAATTTCACAAAAAAGAAATAAAGGTACTATCTAACCAATAAACGGTATTTTCAGTTTTATTTCACCTCTTTTCGTTTTTATTATTTACCGTATCGCTCTTACGCGCCATAACTGCCACGCAATTTTTGACAACGAATGTCTGAGATCATAGACAAGCGCATATAATCTAAGGGGTATTCTTAAAGTCAATGATTCATATCGACGAATGTAATTACTAACCTTGATACTATCAGAACAAACGAAACTGACTGACTTTTCATTCAATGTTATGTTTAAATGAATTTGACAAGGACAATTACTATTTAATTGTTTGGCCACAATCGGATTTTACGGAGATTTTTAACGGTGTCAAAATGCGTTTTCATAATTCGCAGGAGAACAGTATCAATTAGACAAAATTGTCCGCATTTACTATTGGCTGTTCTAACCACTCTTCATAAACTTTTTTCATGTTTAAGAACATTTATGGCATGAACCTTATCCAACCAATCAGCAATTTTGATAAAAATGCATAATTACATATAAGCAACATGAATATTTTCTCACTGCATTCACTTTAACTTCTGTTAAACATTGAATGGTGTTTAATCAATTTTAATCACAAGCATTCCTTCAAGATTAGAGAAACCAATCTTTAACATACATTTGTGAGAGTAATCTGCTACTAGAAGCTTACTAGCTTAATTAAATCTACCTCCACTAATTCATTATTAACATAACGCTAACAAGGCGTGAGCGTTACTTTCGGTAACTTTCAGAGGTTGGGAAAAGATTAAACTTTGAGAAATATTGCAGATAGTTTATTCCAGATCAAATGCAGATGATATATCTATCATCTGTGAGAAAATTAAGTCTCTTTATAAAATAACAAACACAAATTAAAGAGTCCTCTTGAATGTTTATTTCTTTTTTCTTCTTCACATGATTATAGCAATTGTATAGCATTTCAAACTGAAATACTCCAGTATTGAAGGAAAACATACAGCTAGCTATGTGAAATAGTGTTACTGATAATGCTTCACTGTATTTCGCTACGTTTGTAGACTCCATTAGACACTGCCATCATAGCAGTTGTTGTGTCATTGTTGCAATGATATATTACAAAGAAGAATCATCATTCATATATCAGTTTTCTTCTTTGGTCGGGTAGAATTATATAAACGGGGACACAAAACAAATATATCCTTATTACAGCTGTTAACAAAATTATACAACTTCATGCAATACCACTTAAATAAATGAATGCTAATAAAAATATAAAAATTGATTTATTTTTTGGTTTCTTTGTTTATCTGAAAATTCCAACTGCTTTTCAATGCTTTATTGCAAGATTGGGATTTTTGCTGTATATTAACAACTAACAACAAGAAACCCTTTCCTGTACACATACTGATAAAATTCTCTAAAATTCTGTCCCTCGCACACATTTATAACACAAATGTACAAGGCATGCATTTCAATTTACAGCAATTAACCTGTTTTCAATGTTCAAATTAAAATACAACTTCTTGTACTGTGATTTCACATTTTATTTGTTCTTTTACACACTTGCAACATTCATAATGTTTTATTCCAAATCGCATTCCAACTAGAAATGGTAAAACAGTTTTACATTATGCATATAAAATACTGTCACATAATGTACACAATAAAATTCAACAGAAAGCCATGATTATTGTAAATGTAAAATACCTGCATTAATTTACATAATCACTGAAGTTACCTGTACAAAATCATGACAGCTAGGCCATTAAAACATACACTCGTGAAATATTGAGTTATGTAAAGCAATGACACATATATCCAAGTCTGAATGTGAACGATGAAAGCCAATGACTAGAGAGTGATTCTTAACATTTCAAAATGGCCTTCGACCAGGTGGAGGAGGGGCCTGTCTTGGTGCTGCTACTGGCATACCCATCTGCTGGTTAAACTGAGGTCTCTGTTGGGGTGGGTGCTGGGATGGTACTCCTGGAGTGTGGCCACTGTTCATTCCTCCAGCCATACCTCCATATGGCTCGCGTGACAATAACCCTGGCTGCTGAGTGTGTTCGGGACGGGACATCAATGGGGCTCTTTGGGCCATTGTTGGCCCTTGGGGAGTCGAGATTGTCTTAAGTAAGTTTGGCCCGCTCTGAATGAGATTGTCGAGTGCTTTCTGAACACTGGGACTATCAAAGTTGATCAGGGATGACATACCAGTCTGGCCACCTTGCGGAGGTGCACCATTGCCCATATGCTGCTGTCCTGGATGGCCAGGACGTTGTGCATTAGCCTTCTGAAGCGCTGCTGCTTGACTAGGATCTCCTGGGCCATTAAGAATACTGAGAATTTTGGCCTGAAGCTCTTGTTGCTCTCTCTGTAATGAAGCAGATTCTTCCTTCCGTTGTTCTCCAGCACCTCCAAAGCTTCCCCTCCCTATAACATCAAGAAAAGCCTTTTAAAGAAAATGTAATTTTCCTGAGCCGTTAAGTCTAATTAAGCTAGTGGCTTACATGAAATATCATAATCACTTTTTTTCCCCCAAACCAAATTAATGGACATTCCATTTTGTTTACACAGCACTGATGTTTCTTGACTTCTGACTTGACATCAAATGCTAAAGAAAATACATACAGCCATTAGACTAATTTAGCTGCAACCCTCTTCCAAGTCATATGATGGACAAACTGAAGAAGATACCTACCATCATCCATACTAGGCAAATGACGGCCTTCTGCTGCCATTTGCTTCTCTCGTCTTTCCTTCAGATACGAGATAACTTTATCTAGCTCTTCCACAGTCAACTGCCTACTGTCAGCCAAGAGATTCAACAGATACAATAAATCTGAGCTAGGGGGTACAAAGGGGGCAGAGCTTCTTGCCGAGGGGACAGCAGGGGCTGGGGCAGCAGCTGAGGGTGCCGCAGGAGCAGCAGGAATGGCCGCGGCAGCCTTCTCTCGGGTTGCTTTGGTGTACTGATCAAAACTCCGATTGATCAATGTTATGGCGTCATCTACTGGCATATTTCTGTGTTCTATTCAAAAATCAAAGACATATTCAAAGAATTAAATACAACATTAAAACTTTATTGATGACGATTAAATCAGCACCAATTAATATATATTCACAGAATTTAACCTCATCCTTATGATTGGTTGCTCCAACCTTTTTTTAACATTCCAGAAAATGTTCCGTGTGACTGCATTTTTATCTATTTGATGTCTACCGTCTGCTCGTCAGAGTATCTTCTTGGTTAAATTTAATTTAAAGTATCTCGAAAAGGCCGATAAAGTGATCTTGAAATTTTATTTTATATAATTATATTTTTTTTCAAAACGGTCAAACATTTGCAATTACGAGCAAACACTTACAGTTGTTTTACATTGAACATCAAGTTGACAACATACACTGCAATGGCACGTTTCATTTTATTACAGAAAAGCGCGAAGCTGCAGAACTCCTTTTATTTTAAAAAAAAATAACCGCTTAACAGTTCATCTGGATTAAATTGATGCCGGTTTAGTAAATAATAAGTTTATATGTAATGTTTTAATCAGTTCATCTGGATGAAATCAATACCGGTTTAGTAAGCAATTAACAAGTTTACATGTAATGTTTTAATCAGTTCATCTGGATGAAATCAATACCGGTTTAGTAAGCAATTAACAAGTTTATATGTAATGTTTTAATCAGTTTGATTAACAAGTATATGTGTTTTAATCAGATGCCATCTTAACAAGTTTATATGTAATGTTTTTATCAGTTTGATTTATATTGTTGATGCCATCTCGGATCACATTTTTAAGGAAGTGTGTGAAATTTTATTTTTAAACACACAACGCATATCTTTAGTCGCCATAGAATATTTTATCTATTAAATGCCTTATCATCTTCATAATTGTCTGTTACATACTATTGTGTTTATACTGTCAGAAGAAATTTTCACCAGGTTTATTATCTCGTGACTCGCCGTTTAACTAATGTTGCATCTTAAATTGATTTTTATGTATTTTTATGACAAATTTTTCATTGGGTGAAAAAGTAGTGTTACAACTAGTTTCTCCCAGCATCAGAATGTTTTCGCAAACAAAATATCAGCGCCACGGAAAAAAAATGCCAAAAGGTTGACATGTCAGAATAAAAGTTGTTAGAAATTTCAGCAGAAATAAAACGGATAACAGGAGAAATTTTTTAATAGTTGTTCCAGTAGGTAAAACTTTCCAAACGTCTGTAAATATCACAATGACTTTCAGATTTTGAAGGACTTTTCCCGAATGTTTGCTGCAAATACTGCTACAGGCTGACGTAATGAAAATGCCGCAATTTTGCTTTTCGTTAGTAAGGATTTCTCCTCTGCAGTTATCTAATTTGTTGATAAATCATTTTGAAATTTCAATGTATTCATTGGTTACTCAACGTTTTGTTCAGTTTAATGTATCAATATTTAGGATAGTTTCTTGGTCATGGTGTATGTTTAATTGATAACAACAGCAACAGAAAACACAACAAAAATCTTCGGAATAACATATTAAACACATATTCCAAGCAAGCTTCAACATTTCAGAAGGTAAATGATTATTGTAAAATGGGATGGTGACACAATTTCCTATTCAACAGTAAGGGTTGTTTTGTCTGGTGATCCAGGGAAGGTGAACACAACCTGTTCCCTAAATACCTTTCACCGTAAAAGCTGAAGTAAATCGTAGTGTAGACATATCCATGTTAATCACTTGCAGCAATCTACATGCACCGATCGTCAAAAGTTGTAATATACATTGTACTTTTGTTTCAAATATACATGCACTGGAAAAATATGTTTACAGTACTGGTAAAGGATAAGTAGCAGAGGATAAAAAGAGATTACAGAACCGACCATAACCATGAAAACAAAGACTTACCTTGGGGCGTGCCATGGAGAATATTTAGAGTCAATGACTGATGCACCTCATTTTGGCTGTTTACAACAATTGCAAATAAGACATTTCGCTTCGTGGCATCCTCAATCATTTGTGGGATAGTCCGGTCTTCAGCAATCACAACAGTTTTGGAAAACAACGAAATTCCTTTTAACTTTCGCTCCAAGAATTCTGCATAATTCCTAGAGCACCAAAAAAAAGTTTTATTCAAAATTATGATGATTCAATTCGATGTTATGCTATAGGAACCCACTGCTATGCATACTTTCATAAAATCTGCTTTTACTTTTAATTCAACTCTGTACTGATTATTAACTTTAAAACAACTTTAAAGGAAGTTAATGATGATTGTAAGCTTTCTTATCCTCTGACCTTATGGTCTATATGTTTCAGTTTTTATCAATCAAATTTTCTTTTTCCAGTGTAGTGATCAGTTTCAATAATGTAAACAATAGGAGCTATTTCTTTTCTGAGCACCTTTTTAAGTTTACTATGACTGGCTAAATATTCTTTTTCACAATAAGCTCAGCTGAATATTATTATATTAAACAATAAAAGATGCAGATGATTTGTGATTTTTACCAGATACACATTAAAACCCGAATCAGAATTATACAATATCCACCCCAACAGTATTAAACAATAAAAGGTAAAGATGATTTGTGATTTTACAAGATATACATACAAAAAACAGAACTATACAATATCTACCCCCATCAGTGTTAAAGACAACTTACTTGAGCTGTGCATTGAGGATGATGACTTCACAGTCAATGGGAAGTGGTCGTTTTGGCGGTGGGTCATATGCTGATGGAGGGTAAGGGTCTCGGTAATAGGGATCTCTATAGGGATCAGCATAAGGATCACGTCTTGGCCTGCAATACAACATATGACATTTAATAATCAAACATATTGAGCATTATTTTCTTAATACGATGTATGTAATTAAATTTTGTATCTATAACCCAGACAAATCTGTGCTTTATTGTAATAATAAATATATATTTCTTCCAACACTTATGGATATGAATGCTGAGCGTTTTGATGACTTTCACTTCGATGTTTTTACTTACAGCCTGTAGGGATCATCTCTGTATCTGTCAAAATAGGGGTCATCAGGAGGTGGTGGACGTCTGTAGGGGTCACGGTCATAGTAAGGGTCATCTCTCCTGACAGGGGGTAGAGGTAAAGCAGGATCTCTGTAGGGGTCTCTGTATCGGTCATCATAGGGGTCACCTCTCAATGGCGATCTTTCACGTTCTGGAGGTAGTGCTCTACCAGGGGGATAGCTGTTGACGTAAACAGGATCTCACATTAACAACATGTAAATAATCTACATGTTGACTGAAGATGGATCAGTATTGTGATCTAATACACTATCATTATTTATAATGATGCAGGTCCCAGTATGTTCTGTTATTCTAGTTGGAAACTTCATAATGTGTAGGACATTGCACTATTATTAGACACCATAATTTCTGTTCAGTTTTCTATAGGTACAATATGTGGATGATGCTTTATAACACTACTTGAGGTTTAATGGTTGAATCCAACATACGAAGAACTAGATATTATTCTTGCTCAATACCCTCTATTCCTTGAACTGGTCGCTTGTTATTCAACCTTGGATTCCTTGAATTGTTATCCCTCAAATAAAATTCACTGTCAGTATTTATCCCCCCCCCAGGTGTCACACTTGCCAAGATGTACTCATGTCACATCGGACTGAATCTTCTACTTTCATAACTACTGTGTGTGTTTATACAGTGTCTAACAGAACAGCAGTTAATAAGGGATTAATGACAGCATCAATACACATATGTACCATTATCTGCTGCATAACTTGTTTGTTTCTTATTTTAGTCAACTTAATGTCCAAATGGAAGTTTGTTTTTGTGTGAAACCAAATAACAGAATGGCACTCTAAGCCAGAGAATGCATATGAACAAGTCAAAATGATTCTCCATGTCAATAGCATTCTTTTTCTACAGGATGAGGTCAATAACGTACGAAGTAACAACATGTAATCAACTTTTTACTCCATTTGAGATTGTTTAAATATTACAGCACAAAAGTATTCAGCTTGCTATGTGTTATATTTTGCTGTTAATGAACAATGCCATAAATAACAAAACATTTCTTTCCCGTAAAATTCCAGACAATGACATTATAAGTTAGTGAAAACATCAGCACATTCACAGATAGGACTGATTAAAAGAAAAAAAGACTATTAATACATTAACAGACAATGTATCTCTATCAGACAGTCTACGACCAATCTCCGATTACTTCAATACTGCAAATGTTTTAATTATTAACAGGGTCCGGAGCAGTTTGACTTTGGGGTTTTATTGTCCTTATTCCCCACCCCCACCCCCTTATGACACACAAGACAAATAGTACTTAAAAATTGTCTTTTTATTCTAATAAAACACTGGTAGTTTTTCCTTCTTTCTTCAGAACATTTTCATCCTGTCCTAATCAAGAATTTTTGTGGGTTTACTTTACATTGAATACAGTACATCCTGTTGTTGAGCATTTCCGTATTTTTAAGTTATTTGGCGATCTTTGTAGGAACTTTTAGGCAAGACCAGCACACTACTAACAAAATTTTGATCGAGTCCCATCACTAGAAGATAGAGTAGGTTCAAATTTCGTTTGTCTTCCAGGAGAAGCACTATCAAAAATGTCAAATAACAGAATCCAGAAAATCAAGGTAAATTTGATATATACTGTATACGAAAAAAATATCTTGTCATTCAATTTGGATTAAATCAAACCAATTTGAAAATCTGATGGTGAATTGACCACTTATCAACATAGATATTAAATCTTTTTTTTTACATGATAAATTTGAAAATCTTATTAGGTCTAAGGAAACAGAAATTGGATTATTTCATTCAGCGATGAAATTTGAGGTCAAGTTAGATATATTTGATTTCAAATGATAGATTTTCCTAAGATGTGTGATGACTTTAAACAGAAATGTTGGACAAAGGTGTAAAAAGAAAGGTGTTATAGTGTCTCCTAATGCTACTTATATAAGTGTTACTTAAAACGTTGATATGTATTGTTTTTGTGTTAATAAGCTACTTAAGCTAATATGCACAGTTACAATACTTCAATCATGAAATAAAACCAGTGATGTACCACAGTCTATATAAAGTACATCAAAACCAAAACAACATCTATAGATAGGAAATCAAAAGTTATGAAGATGCAAATGTCCAACTGAAAAGAAAATAATAATTGAAGCAAATCAAAAACTAACCAGGAAAGCATTTCAGATATAAATATCAGCAACTGAACATCTTGTTGTCCAACTGTCCAGTCTTTCTAGTCAGAAGAATTTTTTTCAAATTACAAATTCAAAATTATTTTGTTTTCATATGGTTGTGGAATTATTTTACCAAATCCCATTGGGATCTTTTAATACCCCCATTGCATGATTTTTATTTGTTCCTAATAAGCTGATGTTCTTTCCCTTTCTTTCCAAACTCATAATTACAATATTTTCCAGGTTATAAGCCAAATGGTATATAAGCCACACAGCCAATTTTTAACAATTTTTTCAATTTGATCCACATATTAGCCGCAACGGAATGTAAGTTGTACCCTTTATTTTAAAGTGGTATGTTATGTTGACCAAAGTTCATTGACATAACAGACAACAGAAAGAAATTTATTAAGATTGTCAGTGAATAATTTAATGTAAGTTTGCAAATGAATTATTCACAGATAATCCTTTATTTTATTGATGTGTTTCAAAAACTTAAAATAGCAATTAATGATACTGTTTGGTTTGGGAGCCTCCAAAGATTGTCTACCCACAGATATAGGGCCTGACGTTACATACGGTTTACTTAGCAATATCTTCATCTGTGTCCCTACTGTTAAATGTTAGCAAAGACTGTTGCATGCTCATAAAATTATCATAATCCATATTATTTCTTGTAAGTGACAGGAAGCCATTCTATTATAAACAAGCATGGCCGTCATTCTAGAATTTTACCTATAATCGGATTACCTATTGATCCCAGGATGCAACAGGCTATTGTAAACTTCCCCTATGGCTTCCGAACCAACCAGGAAAGTTCAGAAGACATTATTGTGATTCATATTAAAAGGCATGATTAATTAAATCCACGAGAAAGTTATTTTATTTTAATCTTAAAATCATCCTGTATATTATAGCAAATGACGGTTCTAGAAGATCTATTTCAGTCACAAACGGTTGATGGACAGGTACATGTCCGCATAAAAGCTGCACTGGTATATAAGCCGTACGCCTGATCGCCAAGGCAAAAACCTGTGGCTTTTAATCCGGAAAATATGGTATGTAACATTTGAGAAATACTGTAATAATAATCATTCAGTGCCAAATCAATGATGGTTTCCGGTTAGCTATGTTGTTTTCCTGATCAGTTCAATTTCCAAGATGGGCGTTGCACAATTATGCTGCAGACCAAGCTGAACTTTGAAAATAGCCACCCAAGAATTAAATAGCAATATAAACAACCATGCACTGCTAAAACTACACAAGTTTGTTTCTTATGTTTTTCTGATCAGACCAAAAATTGAACAAAAAAAATATAAAATAAAAGGGGACCAGAGGGACTTGTATTTAGAATCTGAACAAGATTTGTCCAGTACTTCTTAAGGAATTGTGATAACATCCTTTCATTATCAAAATCCAAAATGGCTGTCTGTCAGCCAATTTTCTAAAAATCTCAAAATCAAAAGGGCACAAATGAAAACCAAGGAGAATCTTCAAATAACATTTATCAATAGAATACTTCTTCAGAAATAGCAATAACAGATAATCTTTCAAAAGTCAAAATCCAAAATGGCCACATGTCATCAATTTTGTTTTTTCAGATCAGACTCAAAATTAAAACTGTTCAAATAGAGACCAATATGAATTTTAGGAAGATCTATCCATAACTTCTCAAGAAAAAGCAACGATGAGCATTGTTTAAGTAACAGACTAGATTTGGGGTGATTTGAATCAGATAATGGGCCTTCTTGTAATATTTAAGGATCATACAGGGTAGTTGATAGTTCAATAGTTAGACTTCTACAGAATAATCTGTAAAGAATTTGTTTGTTTTTCATTTTGTTTCCAAATACTGAATTCCTTTCTCACTAGTTTAAACCAAATGCAACAATATGTAGACTTTTAGACTTGGTGATACATTTTAACATGTAAAGTGTTGATTAAGTTTTCACATCAAGGTCTGCTGGTTTTACAACATACGTTAAGTAGCACGATGGGACATTTTCCCTCGAAATAAACAATTCTGCAATATTTTTATCAAAAGCTTTCCAATTACATGCACATCAAAACGCAGTATAGAAGCTTCTACTACTAAACAAACACAACTGCAGGCCTGGAGTTACCTTTCCTTATCAGATGGATCCACTGCACCATGTCTGAGCGGATCCATCCGCCCATCTCTCCCAAGTAAAGGAGGTGGTACTCTGGCAAGGAAAGGCACAACAGGACTTCAAAGTATATCAACCTTTGAAGAAATGTTATATGTCAGCCTTTACTGTACCTACATAGAGACTGTAATAGGCCTAATCCCTTTAGTAAGTATCTGATCCTTTAATGTAAACATGTCAAAGAAAGTGGTTTTCACTTGCCTCCTTTTCAGTAAAATTTGGGGCTGAATATGGGCTACACTCCTAACAGCAAAACCTTTATATTTTAAAAAGTCCAAACATCAAATATCCCAAACTAATGGCATTTTACAAATTGTAAAGCAACTTTGATGATGTCTGATGTAAAACTTACTGACATTCACTCTTTAGTTCTGATGGTCAATCCACATCCAAGATATCAATCCATCAATAATGATTACATTTGAATATTTATGTATGTTCTGTTATTTCCCCCCAATTTGAAATTTTGTCATACCTTTTCCAATAACTTAAAGTCATGATAGTAAAAACAAAAACCCTTTGTATCTAAATCAACATAGCACAGCAGTCTTCTGGATGTTTTCGTAATGGACAGCTAGAATTGTAAATATGGGCTGACAAATGTACCCAAATATACTCATACTTAAAAAGTTTGTGTAGCTGTGTGCTGCATCCTGCTCAGACTTCTCGACTGGTGCTAGTGTGTGTTAGAATACCCTATCAGTCTTGTGTAGCTAATGTGTACCACAAGCATGAGGAAAACTCACCCTCTGTCACGCTCACGGTCATAGCCTGAAGGGGGTGGAGATCTTCCACCAGGTGCTCCTGGAGGTTTGGGTGGGCCTGATCTCCTTCCAGTCATTGCCATCTTGACGTCTGTATAAACAAAACAAAAAGCATCTTTGTTTAATAAGCAGATTTACTTTACAATTTCAACCACTTCTTCAGTAATAATCTTTTGTTATATATTGGAAAATTGGAACAATTTGGGATTGTTGAAATCCTTGGCTCCTAAAGAGGCATTTCACTGCCCCTCCAAACCAAAGACAAATGAAGAAATGTGAGAGGTCATGAATAAGAAAATCATTTCATTTACTGTGTTATGGAACCAAATTATTGTGGCTGAACACTTAAAACCCTCATGAGAGGAGTGTGGCCTTGTAATTACCATTTTACTCAAGAAATCTCAATCTACCCCAATGTCCTTTATCTGATTTGTCTATCTGCAGACCACTTCTTATTGTTACTCTTGTCAAAATATACACCATTTAATCTAAAACAAGTATTAGCCCCCTAGGCCTTCTAGTATTTGAGAAGAAGTTTTTTGAATGAAAAGTTTACGGACGACACACGGCGGACAGCACACGACGGATGATGACGGACGAAGCACGATGGCTAGAGGTCATCTCGACCCTTGGGGTCAGATGACCTAATAATATACTGCTTAATTCAACCCATTTGAGCTTCCATAAATAATCTAAGTAAACATATCACAGTGAATTCTATTTTCCCTAGATTTGAAGATAACTATAAAGTAGTTTCTATTAGCATTTTGAGAAAAGTGTTGTTTCAGCAACTTTCCGTCAAAAAATTACATCTGCTAGGTCAGATTTCATTATCATTGGTCCAACTATACCATGACACAGGTCATCTTTTATTAATACAAGTGTTCAGGGATTGGACTTGTGCACTGAACTATAAGACATAATTACCGATTCTTTTCCCCTTCAGCAGTCCTCCGTTCTCAACTTCTACTGCCCGCAGTCCGTCCTCCTCCTTCTCAAATTGCACAAACCCAAACCCTCGCTCGTGGATTGATATACCTATAAAACCAAGTGCACAAAATTTCAAAATTTGTCCATTATTTTCTTAAAATGTCAATGGCACACATCAACAGGAAATCCTGATCAATATTTATTACAAAGGATCTTTATTTTCTTTTAATTTTACTTTACATTTGTATCATTCACAACTTTTCAAGTTACAAAATCATTGAACATTTCCTTCTGAATAGGATTTAAAATCCAGATCATCATTTTTGGCCTTTTCTCCTTAATTACAATATTTCTGGATAAATATCAAGCTTGTGTGATATGAATTAAACAAGAAATGCATAAGTGTTAATCTGTAGGTGAAAACTCATGTTGATGATGATAAATACAGAACACTTTAAATGAATCACATGATTCATTTATTACTTAATTCATACATCATGTATTTATGTAACCAAAAGCCTAATATGTCTTTTTACCATTATGTGTATATATATAAAAGTGATGTATCAAGTACATTTTATACTTAATATAAAGTTAAGATGCATTCATACCCACGTGAATGTAATCTTAAACATGAGGAAGTCGTGATCCTCTTTTGCAGATACTGGTATAATATTAAAATTCTTCAGTAAATAGTTGATCTATTACTATTTGAAATATTACGATAAATCATAGAAGTTTTATACCCATATGGTGAATTATTTATCAATGTCAAGTGTAAATGTGTGCCATATTGTGCAACACCATTTATCTTTTCTCCCCCCGACATCATTTTATTTCTGTTATGCTCTAAATTTCGTATCCGACAAAGTCTATTTAATCTGTAATCATGTACTTAGTCAAATTTATATAATTGATTCAGAAACACGCATTAAAAGTTCCATACCATACCTATACCATCAGCATAATTAAGCGCAATACAATCGAAAGCTTCATACTGATGTCACGTTCGATTCAACGGTAAACGAAATAACACGATAAAATTTTACACGGGGATGAATAACTGCAAATATCGCGTTAACATTTTTCATGTTGAATCATAATTCAAAGTAAGATGAATGAACTTTAATGAAGCTCATTCCATTTTAGTGTAATCCTTAATCATATCACTTTGAAAAACTAGCACACAGAACACACAGACACACCCAAGTTATCAAAAATGTCCCACAAATTTACTTTCAATCGGCAATGTAAACACAGATGCCAATTAAACCGTCCACTGTTTTACATATTTTAAATCAATGTTTAACTCACTGATTGGCATGTAATGTGATTATATATTTATGGAATAAACACACATACATCTCTCTTTCACTCTGAAATCACAAGAAAAAACAAACACTTCTTAAATAAATAATAGTTTATTGGACATGTCCAGATGGAGGTTAGCACTCATTACACGAATGTAAAGATCACATAGAACTATTTCACTTGGAGAAGATTTAAAAGTTACATATATTGAATGTCAAATTTCTTTTAACATAATCACAATCTACAAATTGCATTTTTTCCGTTTAAATTTCTGAATGTATTGGTCAATTTCTCTTTATTTTAATGAATTCTTTTCCTCAACTTTCTAATCATGATGGTAAAAATCAATTGTCAGTGATTAACAAAAAGAAACAAGTTAATTACCTAACAATTTTAATTTAAAGCTCGTCATCCATGTTTAACTAAACAGAAATTGACTTAAATAATACAATTAGGAGACTGGACCAATAAAATGAGAGCCAGTTAACTGTATACCTGGTATCGTATTGATACACTTGGTAATTTTCAAGTTTTCACCACTGATATTGCTTCGTCCACTTAATTATGTAATTTTGCATTTTCACGCCGCATACAAGGTATAACCGTATCCAAATGTCATGAGCGATGTTATTCTTGTGACAGTATGGAATTCAAGTAATATGCCAGGGAGTCAGTCAGAAATGTGATATATTATTAATGCATACAAAAGATAAGCAATAGTCTGTGTTATGAAAGTTGTTGAGATGAAAAAAAAAAAAAAATATAATCTCATCTATCAGGTAACTCCAGTAAATTATATTTTAAAGTCACCAGACATTAACCTTTAATTTTCAGCTCTGTAGAAACATTTTCAGAGAGGCAGCACTGTGTTCAGTTTAATTTGAACTGCCCAAAGGTTACAGTGACCGATATTAAAGTGTAATTTGATCACATTGCTATTATTTGCATCTGTAAAAATTCTGCGGTCTATTTATAAAATTCCACACATCAAAATCAATGTTGTTAAGGTTATCGTGAAAATAATACAGATTTAACTTATTGATATGAATAAATACTTGCAAATCTCAAGTCAAAGTCTGTTACATTTGTTGAAGCATTATTCTGGAAACTTTCATTTCAATATATTTATGAAAATATATTCCAACCATGTGCATTTCAATCAAATTTCAGTCTTTTAAGTAACGGTTAAAGGTCAAAGCTAGAACTGTCATGATAATCCCATTAGTGAACAGCACACTGATGACAGTGATTATCTGCTTTTTCTGTCGGCTTTCCATAAATGAAATATTGATCAAAGCAGGCTAGGAAAATATGCAATTTTTGCACCGATAAAATTCCAATTTGTCCGATATTTAAGATTATTTTTTCATTTAAGGTAAACTTCAATACATAAGTCAAACGACAAATAGTTGTTTCAGCGCTAAAAACTATTTGACCATGCTTTAAGCAAAAACTGTCATTTTATTTAGGAGATATCTTTGGTCGTTTACTCAAGAAGACTTCGACAAATTCTAGGGACAAGCATCTATTGCGATGGCATTTAATAGCCATGGCACAACTTAAGTCCTTAAGATAGGACTCTGAAGTAAAGACAGTGGGCAACAAGTGCACATGAAATATTATGATTGCTTGCATTGTATACCAAACGCAGAAACCCTACATACTGTTGGTAAGAAAGAATAAGTAAGGTTTCCTTCCTGTTATATCTGTGCAATTAACATATTTCAGAATCTATGATGGTGTGGATTCTTACATGTTCTTCAATAAAAGGTGACAACGACCAAATTAGTTTGAGCCATATCTCCTTATAGCAATACACTTATGTCAACAGTAATAAAATATGTGGAAGCTGATATGCTAAGTCTATCATATGACTTGTGTACTGTAACAATTAGGACGACATTGAAGCCTCAGTTAATTTTGTTTGGCTTTCAAATCTAAAATCAGAGGTGAAGTATCCCAAATGTCCTAAACATTTGATAATAATTATATTGCAATCTGTTTTACAGAAATATGACTGGAATATAATGTTATCTGCTCTTATTGACTGTGAGATGTTCACAGGTATTTCAGTACCAATCATGGGTAAATTGTGACTGTGAGATGTTCACAGGTATTTCAGTACCTATCATGGGTAAATTGTGACTGCGAGATGTTCACTGGTATTTCAGTACCTATCATGGGTAAATTGTGACTGCGAGATGTTCACTGGTATTTCAGTACCTATCATGGGTAAATTGTGACTGTGAGATGTTCACAGGTATATCAGTACCGATCATGGGTAAATTGTGACTGCGAGATGTTCACAGGTATTTCAGTACCGATCATGGGTAAATTGTGACTGCGAGATGTTCACAGGTATTTCAGTACCGATCATGGGTAAATTGTGACTGCGAGATGTTCACAGGTATTTCAGTACCGATCATGGGTAAATTGTGACTGTGAGATGTTCACAGGTATTTCAGTACCTATCAAGGGTTAATTGTGACTGTGAGATGTTCACAGGTATTTGAGTACCTATCATGGGTAAATTGTGACTGTGAGATGTTCACAGGTATTTCAGTACCTATCAAGGGTTAATTGTGACTGTGAGATGTTCACAGGTATTTCAGTACCTATCATGGGTAAATTGTGACTGTGAGATGTTCACAGGTATTTCAGTACCTATCATGGGTAAATTGTGACAACACATTTACCCAAGCAGGTGAGCAATATTCAAAAATATGTTACTTTCATCTATAAATTAATGAGCATTGTTTTACTGGAATTTGGCATATTTTAATTTAATTTTATATCTTATTTTAATTTAATTTACATTTTAAAATATTTAACGGATTGTTTTGATGATATTTAAATAATGAAATTTATTTGAAATGAAACAAATTTGAACTGGAATTAAGTTAGATGTCATAAGATACATTAGATGCATTTTAATCCAGAAACTTATTTCTTTTGTCTTTTTTGTTTTCACATCCTTGAAGACATATTCTAAATTTGTAAGTTCCTTCACTAAATATTAATATTTGTATTGTCATAGGTAAAGAAATTATGCATATATATGTAACAAATTTTTAGTTCCATCCAACATGAGGTATAGAAAGAAAGGTTAAATTTTCAATTAAATGATAAATATAAAGAATATAGCATACCTAGAATCTTTCCATATTTGGAAAAGATTTCTTCCATTTCTGCCTTTGTTATTTTGTCATAAGGCAAATTTCCGATAAATACTCGTGATTTCATCAGGTCTGGGTCATTCACGTTGGTTTCATTTGTTGGACTTCTTGAAGGAAGATATCGCGGAAATCGAGGGGGTGTAGGTGATCTAGATGAAGATGAAGAAGGTGATACAGACACCAATCGGTCATGACTGTCTCTTTTGAAGACACGTCGTTTGCTTTTCGGAATGTTTCTCATTAGCACTGGTTTTGGACTCCTACTGCGTTGACCTCTTGAATGCCTGTGACTTCTGTACGGACTTCGACTTCGACTCCTACGTGAGCTTCTACTTCTTGAGCTCCGGGATCTGTCTCCATCACGGCTTCGACTACGCTTTTTAGGTATAACTCGTCCAAATTGGTCCACCTGGGCTGGACTATTACTACGAGATCGGGACCTTGATCCCATTGTATCAAATCAATGACTCTGAAACAGACTACAGCTGAAACACATAATACCATCACATTAGAACATGTCAACATCTACTATCACAAACAACATTTCTGCTATTAACTATCCTGGGTAACCCAAATCTCAGTACTATCCCTCTTGATAGTTGAAAATGGTAACTATTCACTTATGAGTGCAGAGTGATATGTTTTTTACCAAAACTATCTCAAAACTGAGAATTAAAAAAATGAATAGAAGATTTGATAGATATTTTTTCAGTATATGTATATCGCCATTGCTCTTCCATCAGGGCAGATACTGTTTAATCTGTGATGATCTGTGTCAGTGTCATGAGCTTTGAATATGTTTCCTTATTAAGATTTCAGAACTTTCTCATGCATGTGTACCAGGATCTACAATTTTTGTTTTTTTGCAGAGGTCCTCGTTTTTCTCATTTTGATAATTTATTCCTGAATACTGGTAGAAAAGCTGCTTTCCAAACATCAAGACTCGGAGTGCGATAATTGCATAGAAGTGGTAATTGAAATCTGACAAGTAGCTTGAACTTTGCATAAGATTTCCAATAACAAATAATTCCAACATATCACAACCACCATAATACAAGTATGATACTTACACAATCTTGCTACAAAGTTAGGAAGATGTAATGACAAGATTTTTCTTTATCTTAAAGTTCAAATGAAAGCCATATTTTAGTCAATATCTATCACAGAAAAAGCTTCTGCAATGGATGAATTTTGAGGGAAATGATAGAAGATGCATACCAAAATTGTTAATTCCACTATTACAGAAGCTGTCTGGCTGCAAAAAACAAAAGTCAAAAAAAATTCCGAAAAATCCGTAAATTACCAATTATGCCATTCTCCATTAAAGTAAGCCAGCAAATCCTCGAAAAGAAAGATGCGAAAAAGGTACCGAAATAATTTCAAAAGGATGAAATTGGAATGAATGAATTAAATGAAAACTTCAATCTCCCTTTACTACATAAAAAAGGGAAAAAACTTCTGTATACCTTCTGTACATATTTCCAGATTTATTATTCACATTATATGAATGGTTTAAACAAGACAAATTTTATGATCATGATCTGGAACACATCTCCTGATCTGATCATTATCGAAAACAACATGTCAAATGATAATACAAGAGCAATGATAATAAAGACATGATATTTATTCCATTTCCACGACCAGACATGGGAGAATGTCAAATTGCTTTGGTCTTGTTTTAGTAAATGCAGGTAACATTAAAAGGTTTTTTTTTTTAATATCTTGTTCAACATTGTGACAAGACACTGTGGCTTTATCTAACCTTAAAAACCTCATGAACATGATGTTCTGTCATTTATAAATTTAATTATAACAATCATGAATTCCACATGACACTTCCATATGTGTGTTGCTATCTTGTGCTGATACTCCATACAGTAAAATAAACATGATCAACATGTGTAATCTTGTCAAGTGAAACAAGTCCTTTTGGCAATGAACCATCACCGTGTCAATGCAAACAGTACCTTGATATAGACTCACATGTTGGATGTCACTTATTGTACCTTGAATAATACTTTCTTGTTTGTTCATATCGTGCTATAGCCAAGTGCACACATATGCAAATATGTAAAGGTTGATTTACCGTCTCTGAGATTTTTAAGAAATTTACAGTGGCAGAATATTTTCTGCCGACCCGAACATTATTGACAATATTGTGAATTAAACATCAGCAGTGTGATGTATTTACCGTAAGAAGAAATTTTGCAGGAGTAGGTATAAAACCACAGTGTACACCTGTTTATGAACAGCCAGTCTATAAATAGCCTAGCTGTTGTAAACATTTGGACATCGAACTGGCTATTATTAATAGCAATTAATAAAATAACAAATCAATTATTTGACCAAACAACTGGAGCAGTGACTAGAAGTGTTGTCTTTATTATATGTCTCGTGAGTATTCCTTTTCATGTTGCTTTCCTTAACATTTACACCCGGTAAGACAGGACGGGAAAATGGCCGCGACTGCAAAGCATGTGGTTTGGTGCGCCTCCAAAATGATCGCAAAATGCACAAATGATCCAAAAAATCTCTGAGTCATATTCTGAAATGAGGAATAATAATTAAATCGTTTGAGCTAATATATTTAGATACTTACCAAAAACTGTATTGAAGAAAACAAAGAAATCCGAAGCCTGCTAGGGCTCACGCATAATATATTCGCACTGCGAAGCCTCTTTCTGAAGACAATTTTTACTCTTGCAACGAACATTCTGATTGGTTGCGTTGTTATAGAGAAAGCTAATCAAGTTAGACGTCTTAAGTTTTTCAGTCTCGAATAATGAAGAGAAACCGAATAATGTCAGCAGAACAAACAGAAGGTAGTCATCTGACAAAAATTAAGATTCTCCTCTTGAGTTTCTGTCAAACATATATTATTGCACACGTGGTCTTTTCTATGGGGGTTTAAGAAGCAACCAATCTAGTCAGCTGACATTTACTAGAAGCCCGACTCCCGGTTTACTACTTCGAACTGTCATATAAACAACGAAACACTGGAGAGTCTGTTGTATATTTGATTGGGTATTCAAACTAAGAATAACAAAATTTAAGAAATAGAACTAGTACATCAACTAAGGAAGAATTAGTAGCGTCAAACATAGAATTGTAGCGTCGAAGTTTAAACTCGTGTCCGAAACGATCAAGCATATGTTTAAATTTGGGGAATATTCAGAGACGTTTGGAGACGGTGGGAAATCCCAAGAGTACTCGTGAAGCCATACATGTGATTGGATGTGATTAGTGACCCAAGTGTAATATCTTCCAGCAATGTATATCGTTTTCATATCACTGTTTCTAGTTACCTTGAAAGTGGTCAAATAACATCAAATGTTATTGGAATGAGTAATGTAAAGTATCCTTGTCATCCTTTTGGGACTAACCATGTCAATCACTCCCACTCAACTACAACAGGTTGGAAACACCTTATTGAACGTCTATTTACCAATTAAATGTGCCCTATGTAAAACATGAACATTTTTTAATACAATTAATTTTGTTGGTGTTCGCATCTCTTTTTTTTAAACAGTGTTTGTTTTAAAATATTTGCTGAAACAGTTTTTATTTTAAAACATTTGTTTAAACCTGAAAAACAATTTCAAAAGCATTAGAAACCATTCAAATTCTCTTTGTTGGAAACAGGTTCAACAGAAGTTGATAATTAACCTAAAGTGGTGCCAAAACCAACATCAGATGCCAGAGATATGATGTTTTATATAGGGCATGCTAAGTTGTAAAACACAAAGAAATTGCACAAAATCGAGACAGTCTTTTCTTTCTGAAGATGTTCCTTTTACTCTTTACAAAGAAATGCTTCAGACAATCTGCCTGGCTTACTATGTGACATTGGATGTAAAGAAAGAATGATATACTTATTCCACTGATTATTAGATAATGATATCAATCTTAACCAGTCAGAGTATATAATTTCGTTATCACATATGTCTGATCAGGTAATATAGCTATATATGCTGTAGTTAGTTTTGAAACTAAATTTAGTATGTTTTTTCCTTTTTTTCAGATTTGAAGGCTTTTGAGAGACGACTGACTGAGGTGATCGACAAACTTCAGCCAACTGCACGATTATGGAGAAGTAGGTTTTGTTTAATGAATTACCATTACTGCAATTTACTGGAGATTGTATGCAACTATCAAATTAGATATCTTATTATAACTGGTAACTTTGTATCACAAAACATTTTGAATATATTCCCAAGAATGGTTTTTTTCCCCCTTTCAGTGGTACTCATTGTAATGTCGGTATGTACAGCTGTTGGAGCATGGACATGGATATGGGATCCACAGACTACACAGGTACATACTTCTCTGTTACTGTAATACCAAAAAGTCAGACGGTAACATCATGGCAAACATTGTTATACATTTAAGACAATATAAAGAAAAGAACAATTTGGACAATTGATAATGAAATTTTTAAAAATCAGTACTTTATATGACTTATGACATATTTGGATATCAGATTTTTTATATTCTTAACATGGGTTGTATTATACCACAAGATTTGTATTACATCATAATGAGTTCAGTAATGTTCATGACACAGATTTAGTGTAATATATGACTTGTATTCCAGATCCCCTTTGCCCAGTCCCTCCTGAACCATCCATTCTTCACCATCAGCTGCATAATGCTGGTCATGCTGTTTCTTTGTGGAATTCATAAAAGAGTTGTATCACCATCAATGTATCCTTCAGTTGAACAAAATAAATTCAGCTTGTCATATTCACTTGTCATTGATCTGATGGAGATGACATTATAGTCATCGGAATGTCACTTACGATTTTCTTATTGGTTGTGATTAAAGAACTTCAGTTAAATATACTTAACCAATCTGTAGAAAATGTTTTATGCTATATTCAGCTGGAGATAGAAGGAACCATCTGTCACAAGCAGTAAAAATCTCCATTAGCACTTCAAATTTAGAATATGAAAATTGATATAATTATATACCAATTAATTCATTCTCTGAAGTATACGGTTTTATTGTCTGATTGTCAAATGTCTTTTGTGCTATTTGTCTTAAACATTTTTAATGACTTAAAGGAGCTCTAATAATTTCTATATTCATTTATGAAAACATACCTAATTGTTGACCTTGACAGTTCCCAGAATAGCCTCCAGGTGTCGCCAAGTGCTAGCTGATTATAACATGTCATGTGATGATGTAAGTACATACATGGTAGTTTGTGGAAGTGAAAGTGAGGGGATTATCATTCAATGAATAGCGATTGGTCAAGACTTTTAGATAGAAATATAAACTTTATGTACAACAATTGCAAAACACATTATTTCTACTTATATTTATCACTCTTGTTTCATAAAGTTTTAGATAGAAAATAAATTTAACATTGAGATGTACTCAGCAATTTTATCAGCCATAACCTTTGGATAGTATTATCATAATCTCTTAAGAAATGAAGATATTTCTTGCTGAGTTTAATGCCCTAAGAACAGCCAGGTTGTTTTTGAGGTGGGGTCCCTTCGTAACCAGTGACTATTTCAGTGAACATCATGCAGGAGGCCCACTGCATGCTTTTCAGAGCAACAGAGCTCAGGTGTTTTGATCAAGGATACATCAAATGCAAAGAAAGGTCTGTGATTTTGGCTTCTTTGGAGACCAGTGTCCCAAGAAGGGATCAAATCGTGCACCTTCGTAAGAATTTCACCTAAGGTTGAAAAGTCTCTTACTCCACAGACTGAGAAATCGTTGTCCACTTGCATTATTTTGCTAAATGTATGGATGTTTTTCTATAAAAAAGTAAATTACATTGACTGCTGAAATACTAACTCATTCAAGATACGTTTTTATTCTCATAATGTAGTTTGATCAAATCCCTTAAGAAATGAAGTCAGTTGGCTGATGTTAATGAACTTGATCAAATCCCTTAAGAAATGAAGTGAGTTGGCTGATGTTAATGAACTTGATCAAATCCCTTAAGAAATGAAGTGAGTTGGCTTATGTGAATGAGTTTGATCACATCCCTTAAGAAATGAAGTCAGTTGGCTGATGTTAATGAACTTGATCAAATCCCTTAAGAAATGAAATCTGTTTGGTGATGTCAGTGAATTGAAATGCTTTTCAAGTAACATTAATCCTGATATATGCATCCTGAAACACACTAGGTAATGAACTTGGCATTTGGTAGTGATGTTACGGATTGGGTTACATTATGTAATAATATAACCTTGACATGTTAGCCTCTTAATCAAGAACTCATTTGAAATGTACTTGTACACGACCTGCACATACAGAAGGATCATCGCTCATTTAGAAATCAAAACACGACAAAAATAGAGTCAATGAAATGGAAATAGTTTAATCAAAGATCTGATGAAATGAAGTGCAAGGTAATGTTAATTTTCTGTGTATGGAAAAGGTGACCTTGACCTTAGCCTTACAACCCTGAAAGTGAATCTCGGATGTGATTTTTAAATGGGCACTGGTCAAAATTCCACAAGAAATTCAATTGCTAGAGTGATGATACTGACTGGAGACTTTTGGGACAAGAGAGGCATTGATGATACCACACGTTATATGATATATTCCCCTTCAAATAGTGTAATTATCAGCATGAACAAAAATCTGTGCTCTTATTTTAGTAACAGTCACTACCATGCGTTTATTGATTTAACGGTGATTTTTTTTTTTTCCAGACTGGGAAGTTGATTTTAAAACCACGACCGACCACATGACTATATGGACGGTTAGAATTAGGACTACGAGGTAGCCCAAGGAAAAGAAGTCGGTGACAGAGAAGACATTTGGAATATTGCAGACTTAATTCCTTTATGTATATCCTACTTCATTGACAAATTTGTCAGCATTTTTACTTTAAAATGTCCCAACATAAGTCATCAACAACAGTATTGTATGCACCACTTAATTTTAGATCATAGTTCAGCATGGTTGTCTTTGTGGTGTGTTATTATACCTGGACTTGATGTAACACAATAGATCTCACAGGAGGTAACTACAGCCAAATGGTGTCTCCTGATTAGTCGCTGGTGTCCATGGTGACGTTTGTTTTTTCACTCTTCAGTGACCACAGCAGGAGGTGATTCTAGGCCACTCTAGACATTTTCTATGATGCGAAGAATCAATTACAACAGACTGGAGGCAGTTTCTAGTAGTTTATGAGGTATTGTCTAGCTGTTTCGCCCTAAAAACTTGGCCTTCCAAGCTAGAAACCGCCTCCAGCCTCTTATGATCAATTCTGCGGATTTTAGCTCACCCTATCGCATCAATCCCTTGCGTACCCTCGGGTATACAGGTGAGAGGCCTAGGACCTATCTATCCACCATTTAACAGTTAATGATGTCGGCTCTACTACCCTCCCTTATTTTCCATAATTGTAATGTCACAAAGAATACTTTAAAGTCCTAAAATAACCTTTTGAAATAAGATAATATCATTATTTATAGGATGTTCTAAACAGCATTACTTTTCCTCAACACATTGATTTAGAAGTAAAGGAATCCAACATTCTCTACCTTAAGAGAAATATTTCCTGGTAAGATTCTTCTTTGTTAAACAATTAATTGGCAATCAATTAAGAACATACCACTGAAAAAGAAATTGAAACTCTTGATGCATGGTGTTTAACTTTACCACAGGAGTATGTTACATTAATGATAGAAGCCAAGTAGAATGATGATCACAACAAGCTTGAAGTAAGTTAATATTTATTTATCATGTATCATCAAATGGTTACAGCCAGAACTGTGGGCTTCATCAGGACTCTCAAGTAAGAAAATGTTCTCCTAAACTATGCAGAATGTGGACAAACATATAGGTATTGTGACCTTAGTTAAGGGGATCATGTGTGTGACCTTCTTTGGCCTTTTATAGACTCTATAAGGGTTAGCAATTAAACCTTGTGGGTTAACTTCTTCTTTCATGGTAAAATTACTGAGAAAATTGAATGTCTCTTCAGATGAATACAAATCAAAGAAATGAAATAACAAAATTAACAAGTTTAGCAAACTAGTGATAAACCAATTCATAGGACCAGTTCATCTTGACACAAAGTAGACATAGATTCTGACTTCTGTGTTGGTTTGTATTCTGGATTAACATCTTCTATGTCTGCTTTAGTAGAGGACTCTGATGTCCTGCAATTGCAGTTGTCCATTTCTTGGGGATAGGCGAGGAAGCAGTGTCCTCACTGTCAGAAGGGCTAGATCATCCTTCAGTAATTCTATAATGATGTCCAAAACAGGTTGATGTTGCTTGTATTGTGGACCGACCATACTGTCCAGTCCAATTCTGAATTTTACCTGGTTTATTTGTTTCCTTGTTAGAGATTGGAAGGGACAATAGTTGTCTGTCTTTTTTGCTTGCATTCTTGTTTCATCTTTAAACAATTCCAGCTCCACACTGTATCCAGGACGCATATTCTTTAAATGGTGATTGTAGGTTTCTTTTCTGTCGTATTTGTGTTTGCATATTTTACATCTGTACCAAGTAGCAATAAGGCAATGAGCCATGTTGGCGTGTCTTCTAAGGTTGCATAGATGCACAGACCTTTTTTCCACATTTGATACAGGGGATTGCCATCTTCACAGTTGTCCATTTGGTTTCTCTTTGTGGTGTTTCCTTCGTATTAGCCATTATGAAATTATGTTGAGACCATCTGGAACAGTGGTCTGAAACATGTGTATCCAGCTCTTTTCTGTTCAAAGACGACAGCTGGTTTCTTTCACAATCCCTGTTACTATGGCGTCATGTAAAATGTGATCCATCAATGTGAAATGTCCCACCATTATTTTGTCGGGTTTAAGTAAGATGTTATAAAAATTACTTCATATGTAAGTATTGATAAAATTTACACCTGTACGTCTGTCTGTTATATTTATATAACATACAGGCTCTGACCCAGCCCTTTGATTGGACTTTAGCATTATACAGAAGTATTACAATTGTGAGATATAATACGTTTACAGGTTTATCAGTGTACCAGATTTTTCAACTTTAGATCATGACATATCTCCAAAATATTTCTGTTGATATCTGTTGGTCCTGTGACAAAATATTGATGTTTGTCCAACGAAACTATTTACCTATTCGTCGGAAACACCAGAGATTTTGCTCTTGTTGTTGCAGTGTAATGAAATTAGCAGAGTTTTGTGGCTTTCTAACTATACTATAACCACAGTTAGGCTTTACCTCCCTCTGGTGTGGTTATCAATTTACTGAATTTCCTGCTGAAACAGCATGCAGTAAAACATTAAATTAATTTTTGATTTTATACGTAGTCTGGAGAGGATATTTCAAGATTATGGCACGTAAACAATTGAGAAGCAATGTACTTGATTTCAATACATTTATCAAGTGTTTCAGAGACAATTTTTACAAAATAGTTATAGTGTCTTTTAGCAGACATTTTGAGCAACGTCAACTTTACAGTCATTTGGAAGTGTGCTTCGATGGAAATCAGACAATGGAGTGATGCCTGCACATTGTGTACTGATTTACTTATAAAAGTTATTCTTTGACATTATTTGTACAATTTTTTCTGCTAAAATGAAACAATGTGTCAACAGAGTGGACATTTTGTTTTTTTTAAATTTCTGCTGAAAGCCCCCTCCATTGAAAAACACTTCTAAATTTGAATGAATAGTATACGTTGATACTTACTGTATAAATAAGATGTGAAATACACACATTTATTGAATAAATTTTCTAGCTTCTTTGTACCTTCCACTTGGATGATGGGGTGAGTCATGATCAGTCACGAGATCTCTGATGCAGAACATCGCACAATAAGTCATAGAGATTGTAGAGATTAAGGTCAGAATGTTGGTACTACCATATAGGTCTTCATTGCTGCCATTTTGAAATGTCCCCTCCGGACCATATATACAACAGTTTAGAATTTTAAGCATTGAACTATCATGGTGTGGAACAAATTATGGTCATTTAAATGATATAGCTTTGCAGGCAAACATATTGCTTGCCAATCATGTTTTAATGGTTGACCACTTGATGACAGTTGAAATTTTACTTGGTGTTGATTGTCATTTACGTCTATGTAAATATTTTGTAACATTCAATAAAAGTTCTTTATATCGCGACCAGTAAGAGAATAATGTGCAACATTTCATTGAACACTTTCATTAAATGAATGAATAACACAAAATAGAGCCAAAAATATAGCACTGCGATCTTGTTGTCAGTCATCATGCCATTTTCCACCCTAATGATCCTGGTGTACTGGTACAACTAGATAGTCCTGTTGATTCTTTCCCGTATTATGCACTGAACGCATTTGTGCTGGTGTGCTTTGTACTGGTCAGTCATTTGAAGGTGACCATGTGGTCATTAAAATGTCATACATAATTTTCTTATCAGTTTTAATATAAGAACATTTATTCTATAAAATTCCATGGAAAAGTGCCAGGTATATATCAAATAATTACAGGTAATTGATAATGGTGGTGTGTTTAAGTGTTTTCTTTGCTGTGAGTTGTTTCGGCTTGTGTTACAGGGCCGCAAGAAAACATTTTATACAAATTCTGTATTGGCATTTATCAGATATTCCACCATTGATGTTGTTTTAGGGGCAGTGGTACCAGAGTGGTCAAGGCGTTTTGTTGTCTTTATCTTTATCACTAACCCTCCACCTCTGGGTCAAGTGTTTGAGGCCTACGTGGAGCAGTCACCAGGTGATGGACGCAAGTTGATAGTTTTTCTCTGGGAACTCAGCTTTCCTCCACCACCCAAACCTGACACATCCTTTAATGATCCTGGCTCTTAATAGGATGTAAAGCTACAATAAATCGAACTAATCTTAACTTGTTGTGTTCACTTTGCAGTATTAAAGTACATGGCTCATCATTTCATAGTGTCTGAAGATAGTACTGTGACTCTTTTTTTCCCCCCAAGGTTTGAAATAAAATAACGATATGAATATATATATATTATATATAGAATACATCGATGAAGTCAACACAACAAAACGGGTTTCACTGGCATATACAGGCCTATATCAATTGATCTAGTTTTACAAACTTGAATGTTTTATTAGAGAAAGTATTTTTTGCAGTTAGCCGAAAGTTTATGACTATAAGAGATCACTACTTCAGAAAATGCAGTTCACAAACTGTGTAATAAGATGTAAGAGATTAATGTTATATAACTTTGTGTATATATATTTGTCATTGCTTTGTTTCAACTTTTTATCATTGATACTATATTTTTTCAAAAGTAAGTGCTTTTTATCATGAAGAAAGTGTGCAGTCACGATATCCAAACTAATCCTTGTCAGTGTTAATCATAAAAATAAGATTTCATCAGATTTTGTCTAAGGTTTGAGTGGAGGCATTCTCATGACTTGATGTTGTTTGTTATTGTGTTGTAAAGTGTTAAAAAGTCTTAAAAGTGTGTATGTATGAATTAAAACTTTTGGAATGTGTCTGAATGATAAATACATATAATTTGTCAGAACAAATCAAAAGTGTATGAAATTAGGCAGAAATGTTGTCATTTCTGTTCATTCTAATGTAAATAAAATTATTACGTTTTATTTGTTTTTGTTGTTGTTGGAATGTTATAACACTCACGTATGAGCATGTAGAGGTATTAAAAAAAACTTACGGGTCAAAGTTTAGCTATCTACTGTAAAGAGTTTCTACTGAATCCAATTAGTAATCATTTAATTACAATCCTGGGAAATACTATCCCCAATATATCGCTCGGCTAGAGAGATCTTCTCTTTAGCTTGATCGTTGTAGTTAAGACCAATTAACCAGAAGTCCCAGGATTTGAATGGCAGTGACAGCATGGAAATAAATGACTTCCATTATTTTGGTGCCAGTGTAGGGACTTTGGAGTAATGCTTAGCTATTCCTATAAACATTGCAACACTTTTGCAAACTTGATAGGTTCTTTCCTGGAGAGGGGAGTATGTAACCCTGGTAAATACTAGCCTCAATATACTGTTCAGCTAGTCTCTTTTGCTTGATCAGTTGAGCATAAGACTAATGAACCAAAGGTCTTGGGTTTGAATCCTAGCAGAAGCACTGAAATTGAAATATTGACCAAGAAACTAGTGTTATCAAAATGGGAGTGTCTTTATCTTGTTTTTTGACAGAAGATTGTAACTAGCTCAGTTCATTTCTAAAATCTTATCTCTTCAGGCACGCCATAATCTCTTTGGTGAAAAATCTGCATTATTTAACATTTTAAAACAGATTTGCAGGGATTTCGTTTCTTTTAAATGCAAAGAGATTCAAGGACATGAGAGCTATATGTACCAATAGTAGTTGAAAGTGAGATCAGTTTCTGGCTGTACATTTGTAGAGGTAGTTACTATCTTCAGTCAAGGACAAGTAAAATTAACAATGAAAACTCTAAAATATTTGTCAGTTAAAAATGATTTATTAGAAACCTGACACATGAGCAACTCGCTCATCAATCTTTCTGATAACAATAAATTACAATGCAATAAAAGATACAAGATATTAGACATGCTATACCGACTCCTTCAATGACCTCACTAAACTTTCCAGCAGTTAGTGGAAAAAGCCTCATTAAAGTATGGATACATCTAATATCAAATATATTTTGTTCCTTCATTCTGTTCAGAAATGCAAAATGTGCCTTTTTGAGTGATACACAAATTCTATTTTTTAGTGATACACAAAGGATATATTTGCTGCAGAACATACCACCTGGCCCAAATGTTCAAACATCAGCAACTTATCAAGACAGCTTATTTGTGAACCAATCATTAAGACAGATAAACAGGATATAAATTCAGTCTCATCAAGTCTTATACATTTAATATGAACATATTTAAGAGATTCAGACCTGGTCTGAAAATCTATCTTCCAGAGCTTACTCTCACTCCTGTACAGGCCATCATTTAAAAAGTCCAGGCCTGTTAAATCTGACGATAGTTTGACATACTCACAGATGAGTCTGGGGCCATGCTCTTTGTAAATGCTACATATAATACATATATATACCTACATTATCACATTTCTATGAAAGAATTCTATCTAGATATGAACATTTTTAATGATTTGTGATTTAAGATTACAAATCTGAGTAGTAGATCCCAACCTTAAAAAAAAAAAAAAAATAATAATTGTTCCAGTTTTCAGGAAACATTCCCATGAAATAGGATCAATGCCCAGTTTGTAGGAAACACATTCCTATGAAATGCGATAAATCCTGGTGCACACAGCACCTTTACTGCGATGTTTCAATGCTATTCACTAAGGACTGTTTTAAACCATATCGTAAGTGAATGGTAGAAGACAGTTTTGACTGCTTGGGCTATATAAGGATACATAATAAGTTTTTTAAAGTCTGGGCTATCGTCCTAAACATGCAAATTTTACCACTGAACACCTGTCCTGCATGAAGAGTCGTAAATCCCAGTCTATTGATACTATTTTTGTATACATTAAATAGACAATGCTATAGTCACTGGCACAAACATTTCACACACCTCTACTATATTGACAAATACACATGGAAAGACAGAAAAGAAAGACAAGGAGAAAGTAAAAGAAAAGTTCTTAAAATACATTGACACATATATAATACTAGATGAGATTAAAGCAATCCATACCTTACGACTATATAGGATAGATGTGACAACAGGATAAAAAAGAAAGAAATCAGAGAGAAAATCACAAACTGCGGGAAGCACAGACATTGTTTAACCTATTTATCCTACAAGGAGCCCATCACCTCAAACTCAAAGTAGGGAGATAGATTTATTGCAGTAATAAACAACGATGGGCTAATTATGGCAAATGAGCTATTACACAAACTATGCACATAATCACAGATAAAGAGGACTATGGTGTTATATAGATCTACCTTGTTATGAAAACCTAAAAAGTTGACGTTATGGAGCCTGCATATATATATATATATAAGTAATAGGAGGTACATCTTCAATCAGCCAAGTACATTAATCATTATACCAGTTCTGATTAATTTTATAATATCATGATAGGAGAGTTAATTATACTAAGACTCTAAAAACATGGTTAAAAATTTACGATTTTGTAGCACTGGAGCAAAACGACAAAGCAAAAATGGCAATCTACCACCATGCTTTCTAATGATTTTAGATGAATGATGAAAGACATGCGTGTAAAATTTTGCAGACAAAGAAACACATCAGTTTATCCTGGAGGCTTTAACGGGTCGCATGGCATCAGAGTGCCAGGTGCGTATGTTGGCCAGCGCTCTGTTGATTTTGTTGCACCACATGATCCTCTCCTCTTTAGTATCAGCAGATAGCCTGTGTCTACAATATAAAAAAACCTTTTTCTTAAAACATTAGTAATATTCATGTTTCCTTAAAATACATCATTGTTTCATGTACTGGTAATGAACAAGTACATTGCAACACACATCAAAGGAATATTTTTGCCTCAATGAAATTACTGAAGATTTTTTGACAGTTACAAAATAGCTTTTAATGAGATAACTAACCGTGTGGTTGTCATGGTGTTGTAGGTTTTTGTGACCAATGTGTCTGGTTCTCCCTTACGTGGCTGTCTTACAGTAACCAACTCAAATGTGTTTGGTCTGGCACAGATGTCCCGCGGAATCAGACCAACCTTCTCTGTTATACATCTTTTCAGGTCCATTAATCCTATTGGTTCCTACACCACAAAATACATCAACAAACACAAATAAAGAGATGTTCTTAAATCAACAGCATGGGAGGAATAGGAGTTAGTTCAGTAGCCCCACAACTCATCAGGTTATAAAACAGATCTAATATAAGAAACATTGCAATTTAATCTTAGCAATTTATATTTCAATATGCTCCATCTTTCCCATACAAAATATTTATCAGTTTATGATAAAATATCTTTCCTTCCAAACTGATATATTTTCTGGATTTATACTTGTATAACATAAAAAACCAAATTAGACATTACAGATTGTCTTACTGAATAATTACAATGATTACACCAAGTATACTTTCTACTGTCTTCTATTCTTGATATCATAGTAGCTGTTGGCCACCTCACCTTTCTTGTCTCGTCGTTAGGGTATTTCCACCAACAGAGTTTGTTACCAGTGAGTACACACCATCTCCTATGCCACGCCCCAAGACCACTGACATCCTCAAACATTGTCTGTAGATAGAACCAACAATAACATGTTATTAAACCCCCAATACATTCTAGAAAAAGGTACACTGTGTTTACCAAAATAAGAACATTTACAGTACAGTGGGATGGTGATTAGAGCTGAAATGTATAGCAGATTTTGGTAATTAAATATTCTTTAATGTATTTGAAAAGTATTTGAATATGTGGATGGTAATGCCGACTATAATGTATATACATATACTCAGCTATATACCATTCAAATTTTGAAGGACAAGAAGTAAAAAAGGTAGATCGTACAGCAGAAGTCTACCTGATGGCCTGCCTGCTCATCTTTGTTACTGCTTTAAAGAGTAATGAACAATTTGTTTGTAATTCCAGTAAATAATCTAATTTTGATGTACAATGCATTGGATTCATAGATCTGTGTCATACATTTACATATTACACTATAACATGCACCTATATGCCGAGATAAAACAAAAATACAAACGGCTCACAAAGTGAATTTACATTTGTCAGTTAGGTGCCTAAGAGGCAACTGGGCTACACTTAATCGTCTCCATCATTCTGATGTTCATCCTCTGAATTCTGTTAGAAATATTTCCAGACCCAGTTTACACATTTTGTTCATGTTCGCAATAAGGGGAGGTACCAAATATTTGAAACCATTTTATTATTTGAATGTTCAGGCTTAGGTATTAATTAGTGAACATTTCAACGTTCCTTTCTGCTCTAATAGTCACCAGACTGCATCTGAAGCCTAATTATGATTTAGATATATATGCGAAGTTGAAAAGTGACAAGGCTGAGACTGAAACCTAGCAATCAGGATATAAATCTTCTACTGGTGACATTCTACTTGATACTTGTTTTATGAAAATATGATAAACGACACCTGATAATAACAGTATTTTTATGAAATTCTTAAAAAGATAGAATATTGTCAAATTGTGTGACAATTTTTTCATTACCAGGAATCCACGTTCTTCTACATTCTGCTCCATCAAGCACTTGAGTCTCATGTAAATGGTGCCATGCAGTGGTGACAGGTAGGGTATCTGTTGTAAAGAAATTATTAAGCTAATGTAGATATCACAGGAAGCAATCATTATTTCAAGTAATATTCATTGAATCATATCTATAGGTATCATGGACAGATCTTCAAATAAACAATCAAAAGACAGGATTGATATGATTTATATCAATTGCAAATCAAGACCAAATACTCTGACAATCATTGTAACTATTTTTTCATTGCTAGTCTTACCAGGAGACACATAATTGTCTTACTAATCTTCGATAGGAGACACATATTAAGACTATTTTGCTGTGCTAATCTTCCCTACAAGACACATACTGAGACTATCATTGTCCTTCTAATCTTCCCAAAAAGACACATATTGAGACTGTTTTTGCCTTGCTGATCTTCCTTACAAGATGCATATTGAGATTATTTTTGCCTCGCTAATCTTTCCTAGGAAATGCATATTGAGACTATTTTAGCCTTGCCAACCTTTCCTAGGAGACACATATTGAGACTATTTTGCCCTGCTAATCTTTCCTAGGAAACATATTGAGACTATTTTGCTTTGCTAATGTTCCTCAAGAGACAAATGATTTTAGTGCCAGAGACTATACCAACCCTCTCTAATGTGAAGCTGCTTTTGTCCAGGTGTCTCATTGTGATGGGTAAGGAGGTGATGAGAGTGAAGCTTGTTGTTCTAACAGCAGTTGGACCCCCAGGACTTGGACCTGTCAACACAATTATGATTCACTTACAAAAATACATGTGTGGAAAATAACACTCCACTGTAATGATCTAATTGATATGTAAAAAACAAAGTAAATCAGGCTCAGAGTTTCACACCAGACTGCAAACTAAATGATTGGCTTGATATGCAATGAATATACCTATCTCATATTTTCACTTTTCACATATGTGTAATATATCCTTGACCACTTAGGGCTTGGATAATGAAGAGATGTTACACACTCACAGAATGCATTGATATAGAGCTGAAATTACTAAGTTGGTTCCACTTGCTGTGTCATATATAAAGTGAATTGAAGAAATTTTCATTTTAACTTATTTCATAATTCATGCATTAAATGGAAACTCAAGTGTCAATATGATACTGTATATATATATCAGTAAATAGACTTCTAGTCCAATCACCTGTCAATATCTCCATTCTAACTATAGTACGGTGGCAGGTTTTCATTACTGAAATGTTTATTCATTTTCTTCCGTCTGTCTAAATCTTTTGAATACCAATTGTGCATATCATATTTGAGATCTACCACTACTAACAATTAATGTGACCTACATCCTCTCAGCTATCTGATTAGAGTTGATTTGATTAGGAAAACATTAAAACTAAAAACCTGACATGGAAACCGACAATATTGTAGATGTTTCTCACCTGTCAGACTTGTTGATTTCAATGGTTTCTTTGGTGTTTTCTTCTTTTTGTCTTTTGTAGAAAACTCCTTTGAAACAGACTGTAAAATACGGTGCAATACTTATTAGGATAAAAAAAAAAAAAAAAAACAGAACAAAAAACTAAACTAACTTTTTTTACATGATCTAATTTAAACAACCTCTTGATTGTATGGTGTAGATGATCTCTTGGAAACTTTTATTTGTTTCTTCCTTTTTTTCAAAATGCTAACAAATTTATTTCAATTTATATATATTCTCATTTCATTTAATAAATATCCACCGACAAAATAATGCTTACGGTTTATTCTGATGAGTGGTCTTGAATAATAAAACTCACCATACTATAGATTTCCATACAAAGTTTAAAGCTGCCTGATATGCCGTGAATCTTAATGAGATTTGGAAAGTCAAGACTGCCCCTCATCATCGGGTCATGTGTGGACAGCATCTGAGTAACAATCACTTGTGTGTGGTTCCGTATCAACATCAGGAAGTAATGTACGGTGTTATCTGTAATATCAAAAACAGCTCCTGTTAGTGTCTTCACAGCTACTGACTAATATAATGGAGTAGTGTTTTTCAGCCTAAATCCCAATAGTATAATCAATTAAGGAATGAAGGTCCTAGTTAGAATGAGCAACTCTAAGATGTCACAGTATTGTGTATTATATCCTATGATTTCTCAGCTGTGTCTTACCAGCGCTAAAGCAAGAAGTCAAGTCAAGTGCATCAAATGACATAAGGCAAGTTCTCAAACAATAACAGTTAAAAGGATGTCTTAACCTGTGTTACCTATCCTAGTAACAACACATCTCTTATCCTGTGTTACCTATCCTAGTAACAACACATCTCTTATCCTGTGTTACCTATCCTAGTAACAACACATCTCTTATCCTGTGTTACCTATCCTAGTAACAACACATCTCTTATCCTGTGTTACCTATCCTAGTAACAGAGGTTATCTTACCCTGTGTTACCTATCCTAGTAACAGAGGTTATCTTACCCTGTGTTACCTATCCTAGTAACACAGGTCATCTTACCCTGTGTTACCTATCCTAGTAACAACACATCTCTTATCCTGTGTTACCTATCCTAGTAACAGAGGTTATATTACCCTGTGTTACCTATCCTAGTAACAGAGGTTATCTTACCCTGTGTTACCTATCCTAGTAACAACACATCTCTCATCCTCTGTTTTCTATCCTAGCAACCAAGGCTGTCTTACCTTGTGCTGTACCTATCCTAGTAACAAAATCCTTTTTGAGAGGCAGTCTGATGTCACTTATGGTAAGTGAGCCCTTTGGTCCACTGCCAGGGGGGTCCAACTGGCCTGTATCCTTCAGTCTTTGTACCTCTGTCAGATAAGCTTGTCTCTTCTGGCCTGAAGTAGAAAATTTTGAAAGCATGCTTCTTTAATAATGATAAAATAATCTTCTTAGTCTCTGTCTAGACACAGCCAGACACAACTAAAAACCCAATGTATTTATCCTTCACACAAGGAATCACTGATATCCGTCACACAAGGAATCACTGATATCCCTCACACAAGGAATCACTGATATCCGTCACACAAGGAATCACCGATATCCCTCACATAAGGAATCACTGATATCCCTACCACAAGGAATCACTGACATCCCTCACATAAGGAATCATTGATATCCCTCACACAAAGAATCACTGACATCCCTCACACAAGGAATCACTGATATCCCTCACACAAGGAATCACTGATATCCCTCACACAAGGAATCACTGATATCCCTCACACAAGGAATCACCGATATCCCTCACACAAGGAATCACTGATTTCCCTCACACAAGGAATCACTGATTTCCCTCACACAAGGAATCACCGATAATCGTCACACAAGGAATCATTGATATCCCTCACACAAGGAATCACTGATGTCCGTCACACAAGGAATCATTGATATCCGTCACACAAGGAATCACTGATATCCGTCACACAAGGAATCATTGATGTCCCTCACACAAGGAATCACTGATATCCTCACACAAGGAATCATTGATGTCCCTCACACAAGGAATCACTGATATCCTCACACAAGGAATCACTGATGTCCGTCACACAAGGAATCATTGATATCCGTCACACAAGGAATCATTGATATCCGTCACACAAGGAATCACTGAGATCCCTCACACAAGGAATCACTGATATTCGTCACACAAGGAATCACTGATATCCCTCACACAAGGAATCACTGATATCCGTCACACAAGGAATCATTGATATCCCTCACACAAGGAATCACCGATATCCCTCACACAAGGAACCACTGATATCCTCACACAAGGAATCAATGATATCCCTCAGACAAGGAATCACTGATATCCTCAGACAAGGAATCACTGATATCCTCAGACAAGGAATCACTGATATCCTCAGACAAGGAATCACTGATATCCGTCACACAAGGAATCACTGATATCCTCACACAAGGAATCATTGATATCCCTCACACAAGGAACCACTGATATCCTCACACAAGGAATCACTGGTATCCCTCAGACAAGGAATCACTGATATCCTCAGACAAGGAATCACTGATATCCGTCACACAAGGAATCACTGATATCCTCAGACAAGGAATCACTGATGTCCGTCACACAAGGAATCATTGATATCCGTCACACAAGGAATCATTGATATCCCTCACACAAGGAACCACTGATATCCTCACACAAGGAATCACTGATATCCTCACACAAGGAATCACTGATATCCCTCACACAAGGAACCACTGATATACTGCACACTAGGAATCAATTATATCATTTAATTGAATAAACATGCACTAACATACATTGTACTAAAACACCAAGAAAACTTAAAAGACAGAAAAAAAGCTATTACTAATAAAAGTACAATATATCTAGACATTACACATACATGAGAGAAGCAGCAATCTGTGACACTCCACTTGCTCGGCTGAGCCTGCAAAATGAGAGTTGGCAGCACAGCACTGGTTTAGGGCATTGCTTGTCTGCATTATTACACTCTGCTCCTGGCTTACCAACTCATTCAACTCCTAAAATAGATTTAAAGTTTGAAAATGAGATGCAAGTCTGAACTGAATAGGATGGAATTGTAGTCCAAATACTTAGAAGATGTTGACAATTTTAAAAGAATGAATATATAACAACAGATTCACAGTAATGGTCGCTATCAAAATTTGGGTAAGAAATTGCATTATACCAAAAATACATTAAAACTGGTAGATTTGATTCTGTTTGGATTACCTTAACATGTTCATGATCATTTACATATGAAATTCTCTAAAATTCATAGTTTAAATAGAATTGGAAAGTGCCTTATTAATTAATATTCTGGCAATTGTGCATTTGATTGAACGCACAACACTGAATTATTTTCTCCTTCCTTGACCTAATTGAAGAATTTGTTTACCTGTATCCTCTCCTTGATAGATTTACGCTCCATATCTCTGGGGAGACTGGTCGGCATCTGTATATCCTCCTCTACTACATCAGCTGAGTAAGTCCTGTTTCTCACAATCTTTTTATGTGCACCTGAACTCAGATCCATGTTCCTGTAACACATGCACAACAAACTGTAGCATAGGGAGCAAAGCATATAGCTCACAGTGCATATTTGTACCACATTTATAAAGAAGTAGCACATCAATGATAGATGTGTTTAATAGTTCCTAAATTAATGGAAATTCACAAGTAGTAAATGTTTCCATTATCTGTGACTAACTACATTTTGTAACAACACATCAGTGATCGTTAAGGATTGGAGAGAGAGAGAGTTCACATAAATTCTGTTTGATGTTTGGCATTACAATTAACACTAAAATACACCTGCACTAGCTGTATTACTCACTGTGAGTTTCTGTAGCCGCTGACACTGTATACAGGCTGGCTTTCGTTAGCCATGGCATAACTCTGGTGTCTGTGATGGCGCTAACAATACACAAAACATAAAGATCAATGACCCAATAATACCACAGCATTTAAAGTCTTGCAGTCTTTCCATTCTAAATGACATAAGACATCTTGAAATAGTTGCATTTAACTTTTCCTAAATTGAGTGTTTTGCGTGCACAAGAAGTTTAGAATAATGTTAACACTTACCGGGGCAGCCACAGGTTGTTTGCGTCTGTACACAACTTCATCCTCAGTATCATCCTCAGCACCTATTGCCTCATCCAGGAGGTCGCTCACTCCTTGTTCATCTCCATCATCTGAGTCATCATCTGTGTAGCCTCTATGACGCTGAGGTGGTTGACCTAATGAACTTTGACTGCTGGAGGCAGAGCTCTCACTATCCAGACTGCTGGAGCTATCCTCTTGCGCAAGACTCCTTAAGTTTGTGGTACTTTGGTGACGCACACTAGCTGGTACTGATGCCACAGGTTCATGCACTCTTTGCTGCCGGCTTTGACTTTTCTGCTGTTGTTCATTTGGACGATGAGGTAGCACACTCTGTCTACGGACAGAGGCAGGTACAAAGGCACTCAGACTAACATCATCACTGTCTGATTCATCATCCATTAAATCATGTTTGTCATTATTTGAAGTATATTCCTCCTCATCCTGGGTTGTAGTTCCCTCTGACTGTGTGTCTGTGTAGTCCATGTCATCTGTTTCCTCTTCTGTTGACATTACAGGTGGAGGCTGATTTCGACTCCGGGGAACCAAATCCTCGCCGTCGGTACTGTCAAAACTATCACCCTCTTCAAACTGTACACGTTTTGTGGATTCGCTACGAGTGACATCTGGTTTTTCATTACCACCACGTTTCTGTGAAATCAGTCTATAAATACTGCCTTGACCTTGCTGTGCTCCTGTTTTAGGAGCGGGGGGTCGTGCTGGTGGCTGACTGTTAGATTTTGGTCTATCCTGGTTTGTAAAGGTGTAGGTAGCAGATTCATCTGAAATATCAAATCCCATTGCAGCAAGTTTTCTCTCAAAATCTGGCAGCAAAGGGTGAAGGAAACACAATGTTAGCACCAAGCAAAGCAGTGAAGAGTACAAGAAGCAAGAAAAGCATGACAAGCAATCCCACAAAATCAAAATCTGTGCAATATCCTCAAATAAAAAGTTTATCATGCCCTGAATAACAGGGTGTGCACGATAGATAACTAGCCATTATCATATAAATATTCCTATATGATTCATTTATTATTCTGTAAATGACAGAGAGCCGTCACCACAATATTCTTATAGAATCTACTGGTATATAATCCTGTAAATGACAAGAGCCGTCACCACATAATATTCCTATGTATACAGTTCATTATCCCATGAATGGCATGCATGCAGGCAAACTAGTGAAGCAATTTGTGGCAAATGTATAATAAAGAATAAATGATAAAACATTTCATAATTGAATGAAATTCACATATCCAAATTTAACAGCATATCTTTTTTGTGCAAAGTGCTGTGTTGAAATATGCATCCCTGATTAACTTTAGAATCTTTAAGTTCCAACAATAAATATCACTCATGTGAATAGATTTTATTCACGAATTTGAAACCATGTGTACTGGTGGATTTTACAAACTAGTGCAAGGGTGATGGATTCACTTATAGATATTCGTAATCAATCCTTAATGAATCTCCTTGAACAATTGATTCTCAAAAGCTGCAAGCGCTGTAGCCATGAAAGGTATGATGTGTAGAATATTGAGGAAAAATAAATGTATGTGCTAAACAAATTGTATATACAGTGTAAATGTTAAAAAATTGTCAGTTATATGATATATCATTTTTGCAAACGAATTTTCAGACATTTGTAAATTATCTTTTATTTTGTTGTTTGCTACACTATACAATTTATCAATATCAAAAATATTGTACTTTCTTACTGGTTGTGATGTAAGTACTTTTTTCTTATGTGTCAGGGAATAATTATTACACTGACAGATAGTATTAACACTTATCTAAAAATACTGGCTTTGATGTTATAGAGCATGACACCACAGCTTCACCGTTCAGTTTCGTTAAGAAAATAAAACAGGAGAGCATCTATGTATGACTAATATTTTGAGATACCATTACATGGTGACTTACCTGCCCTAGCTCGAGCCTTGATAGCCTCTCGTCTGTCCTCTCCCTTCACAGACTCTTCCTCTGACTCGGACAACTTTGTCTCATAAGGCACAGGCTTATTCTGAAATTGATAATCTCATATCACACATCTAGATATATAAGTAAGGGTAGCTTATTTTCTTTCTTTGCTTTAGCTTACAACTTGCTGTTTGATTGCTTTAAACTTGTCGGTTCTACAAGTGTAAAACCAGGATACATGTCTTAAGTAAAAACTACACAAATCACTGTAATAGAACTAGTCCATCAACTCCAGAAGGGAGTACGAAGATACCCTGAAGACCCTCACCTGGTCAGACTGCTGTGTTGGTTTCATGTCTTCCTTCAGAATGCCGTTTTGCCATCTGTTCTGCAGGGTTGCCAATTCATTCATCCTTTCCCTTCTAAGCTTGTCTGCTATGTCATCTGTCTTACTGTGCTGGGCCTTCTCCAACAAGCGCTGCTGCATCATCTTGGTTGCACTGCCTACTTTACCAGGGGATGCTCCTGGCTGTAATTTCACTGGGGTGGATTTTACAGGTGTACACTTGACAGGTGAGCTCTTCAGCTGTCCTGCTTTCTCTACAATACTGTCTTTGAAGCTTTTATGAGGGGTTAGATTTTTGTTCTTCTTGTTGGGTGTTTTATCAACTGGAGCAGGTGTTTTCAGAGGAGATTTGGTTGGAGAGGAGGACCCTGGATCGACTTTCTTTATATGTGCCACCTTGTTATTGGATGACATGTCCTCCCATGCTGACATCCTGGCTCCTACAGAGTAGGCAGTCGGCTCCTCCTCTTTCTGTGGGGTCTCGTCATCAACTCTTTGCTGCCAAGATGCCATTCGCGATGACACGGGCCTAGATGCTGGGTCTTCCCTCATTTCTGAGCTCTCTGTTGCCTCTTTAGGCTGCGACGAGACTGACACAGGCCTTGGCAGAGGTGGTTTGTCAGCTACAGCAGTAGCCAATTGTCGGGCTGGTAAGTGGACCTTCTTAGTCACTGCTGTTTTGGATGGGGTGCTGGACACTTTTTCCCAGTTCGCCAGTTTGGAAGACATAGGTTTTTCCGAGGGATCCACAGGTTTCTCTTTTGGTGTATCTGCATTTTTCCAAGAATTCAGTCGCTCTCTGATTGGTTTTTCTGTTGGATCTTCTTCACTATCTTGTGACTCCTCCTGATCTCTACAGTTGACAGGAACTTGATCAACCACCTGACGAACTTTATGCTTTGGCTGGGAGTCTCTTGCTGGAGAATTCAGACGAACAGAATGCTGACTCACATGTTTTGCAGGTGAGGCAGAGGAGACTGTGGTCCTCTTAGGTGAGGAAACAGCAGGTGAGCTGACCGCTGGAGGAGGTGGTGGGGGTGGGGGTGCAACAGCCTTGCTTGGATTATGGGCTTTTACAGGTGAGCGAGAAGGAGACCCAGCACTATCAGATCCCGAGTCAATCCTAGGCGGCTGCCACTTTGGCTTCTTCTCTTCTTGTTTGCTAAATAAACATAAATATATTTGTACATACATGTGTTTAAACAGATCAGGTACATATATGATAATAAACTCTGTAAGTGGCTTTCATTTTCTGATGTATTGCTTCACGGAGGGATTCCAGATCCATAAAGAAAGAAAAGGATGTTTTCCACAGTGAGAAGATAGCATACATGAGCTTTTATTCTAAAACATCACTCAAAATAGTGCTGCATCTTCATCTCATGTAGCAACCCCTTATAAAAATCAGGTTGCATCCTTTATTTATCTCATATGTCATTTATGATATAACCACTTCACCACAACAACTTGCATTAATTAACAATCAGAAAATACACTGAAAGGGGAAAAAGGTTGTTTATCTTCAAATGATATCCCACTATATGTAATGATTTTTTTCTATACATTTCCTTATCTGCATGCTCAAAACCCATTAGATCAATTGTCTGACTGTATGTTGTTTGATTTTAGATATATACATTTATGATGTATCATAAATAGAGATGAAACAAACAACTTTGAAACAGATACCAATATCAAAATTTCCATATGCAGGTTGTGATAACCTGCAGTAAGACTTACTGTATAACTGGGTGACTAAGATCATCTTCCCAGTTATTAATGTTGGCTGCCAATTTGGCTAATCTGCCTCTCCTTGAATTTTTTCCCCCATTTTCTTTAACTGGTGACTCGTGATTCTGTGTAACTGGTGCAGTAGGTATTTCACCTGTTTAATAAACATTAGATGATACAAGTATTTCAATTTTTTGAAGAATTTCATAACATCATATTATTGAAATATTCAGTTAAATAGACCTGACTTTATCTACAGTAGGATTTATCGTCATGTATGACCTCAAGAACCTGATTACATATTGTAAACACTGTCTCTGTACCTTGTTCCTCCCTGGCTTTCGCAATCTGCTGCATGCGTGACTTAACACTACTGATAGCAGGTGTATCTGCTTTGATCTGCATCACTTCTTCCCTCAAACATTGTCTTTTCCCAGGAGATTCTGTAACAATTAAACAACTGATTTCATTTCCTAACATTTTTTAAACGTGAAACAAAGAAACCTGGATTTCTTGCAGATATATATTGTCAATTGCAAATTACTACATAATGCATGAGTGCAGTTAAAGACACTATATTTGGTCAAACCAGTACACTTTACCAATGTTATTTGGTACATGTATGAAAAATTGATTGACTTCATTTGAAAGGAGAACTGCAGCTAAAAAATTGATATCACATCCGCAGCACAAATCTAAAATATCAACAACAAAACCAAACTGCACAAAAACAGATATTGTAATAAAATAAGGTAGAGGTATATTTCTAAAAGATTTTCACAAGAAATACTTTTTTCAGTCCTTACAATTTACAGAGATAATTGAGCATTCTTAAAAAGAAATGGAAAAATCAATTCATATGTAACCATACATTGCCAATTTTCACAAACCTACAACTTCAGAACAAGCATGTGACAAAGCCAAAATATCCAGGAAAAATACTCTCACACTAATGTTTCATCCCTAAAAACAATATGTTGTGTTTTCCAAAATCAATACTAGAATTTAAATGTGATTTGTTAAGTCGATATCTTACCTTCATCCTTGCTCTTGAACACAACATTTTCTGAAGTGCTATCCTCCAGTATGCGTTTCCTAGGAGCAGGCTCTGGGGTTTTCCCAAGCTTCTGATTCAGCATCTCTCGTCTTTGTCTGGTACGTTCCAGTAACCTCTACCAGATAGTAATAAACATTGGATCAGGATTTTCTTCTAAAAAATCTTTTAAACAAGACTTCATTATTCAACATTTAGAAGCCAATTCCAAAAATATATATACTGACCTTGGCTCCCATGTCTATAAAAGTATAGACACTACATAGATGCTATAATAGTAGACAATTGCAATGACAAGAAATATGTTTCGGTATATGAACCTTATTTGTCAAAAATTGTTATTAAATGAAAAATAATAAAACAGTTTTTAGTGATTTATTTCATGTTTCCACAGAAACCCTAGAAAAATGGAAGGCAACATGTTACTGATACTTTTCATACACCCTTGTATGCTCAATTTTTACAAAGGTTCAGGGCAGCGCTGTTTTTGAGGGCTCTGTGGGAGTATTTCTTCACAAAATGCAATAAAAACGCTCTCTTCCAAAATTGTGAGAAAAAGCTTTGCATGATTTTAAGTGATAAGACACTATTATTTTCCGATGTATGGCATGAAATTTATTAATCAAACTTAATTAAATTAATGGCATATAAAACTCAATATGAAAAATGCAAGTGTGAGATAATTTGTCCATACATTAATATATTTACATTTATTATATAAAGCCACATTTAAATTTGTAAATCTATAATTTTGTTGGAATATAAATATATACTGTAGGCCTATATATGATCAGCAACAAGCATTGTAAACCATCTTCACAAAATTTCTTTGAAAAGTTCTTGATGAAGTCAGATGTAAAAAGATATGTTGCTAATATGACCATAATACAAATCCATACCATGTTTCATGTCGATATTATTTGATGGACTGTCCGATAAGTTGCAGAATAATGATAATCAACTATAACATGGGGCATTTCTATATGGGTAACATAGCTAAAGCAATTACTCTTCTAACTGAGCAATGATAGCTTTTCTGTAGAAAATACTGTGCAGGCCTAATTTTTCAATATTAAAAAAAAAATTAAATCAACATAATGGGCAAAGTACATTAAACAAGATACACTTAACTTGTTTTCAAAACAAATTCAAGTGACTGTAAAAATTACAAAACGAATAAAAAAATAATTTGAAGAAAACAATCATTACCACTACTATACATTTTGCTTGATAATTGTTATTGTTAATTGATAAAACAGATTTCAATTATCATCCAACGGATTTTTATTTTACTGACGACAACTAGTTCATTTTATTACACATATGATAAGTCAGTTATCTTCTATGTACACGAGTCTAACTCTGACTTGGCTATTACCTATGGGCTACGAAGATTGGGCTACGAAGATTTGGCTACAATCCAACGAATTTAAAAGTTAGGCTACAATTCATCAGATACGCCCGAAGGCTTGCGAAGCATGTGACCATGTGACCTAATATACAGTTGACCTACACTAAAATTAAAACCTGGAATTTGATTGCTATACATTCCGTTAAGTGCACCTGAACATCTTCGTCGGTTTCCATATCCTTCCCAAAATAATCATCGATGTTTCGTGTTGCTCTCGTGGACTTCTTAGATTTGTAATTTATTAATGCTTTTTGTCTTTGTTGGTTGGAAAGAGATTATCCATTAAAACAGTTTCTAATTAAACCTTACAAAGACAACATCGACCGACACAAATATCTAATAAACAACCTCCTTCTTTCTGCTTCTGAAAAAGAAATCACAAAAGAAAGTCCCCTTCCAACAGATCCTGTCGAATGTCCGCAGCGATATCTTCAAATAAGTGCCTGCACTTTCCAAATCAAATAGCATTTTGTTTTCTGGATTCTGAACACAATTCACAGTTTAATTGTTTTCTACGCTTACCTCTGTATATGGATCCATTGTTTGTCCTTCTCTAGGCCACGGAATTCATGAAACGATCGTGAATTCTGTTCAAATATTCAAATGCAGTACGGTATCCACCACACCGCTTCCTTCCTTCTCTGTTTACAACGTTTGAAATTGGCGGTTTTAAGTATCGTAATTTCTCGCGGACTGCGCGATTTTATTATCGAGGACTAACCGAACGAGATTATATTCGAATTCTTATCACGTGACTATCATGTGATTAAATAGTACGCAAAATGTTTTACAGCAGAGCACTTGTACTTTCGGTTCCCTTGTTATTTTGTTTTGTTATACCAACATCTACCTCAACTTCTGTGAAAGATTTGACGATACATTTTGGAGGAAATGGCGGGATTTCGTGTGCAAGTGAGATATAAATAGTTATTATTTGTATATTAGATATTTTGGAGAAAGAAAGTACTCATTCTTCGTGTTGGGGATTCCGTGTGACGAGTCTTCGCTAATAATATCCTAGTAAGACAAGTGGGAAAAGAGTTTTATTTTCGGTATTATTTAGCTGACATACAGTTTCTTTAATTATCCTTCGTATAACGTATAGCATCGATTAAAAACAGTAAGGATTTTATAGCGATTAATTATTTTATTGTGATAAAATCATTTTGTTGTTTTGTTTATTTAATTATTTTTCATTAAAGAGCATGGGCGTATCTGTATTAAACATCCCTGTAAGAGATAGATTATAAATAGGATACATGTAAAGACCAAATACTCACGGAATTGGAAAATAACATGAAATGTGATTTTATTTCATTTTTATTATTTGCTGAAAAATTAAGTTATAAAATAATTACTGGATTTTTTTACATCAAAATGTTGTTTTAAAGATTAGATATTACTTATTAAAGAATAAGGTTATTATGATACATATTTTTCTCTTATAATCTTGAGTTATTTTCTACAATTTGACAGTGGTTTTATAATTAAATTATATAGGATTGATTTATTGATTTATTGATTGATTGATGATGATGATGATGATGATGATGATGATGATGATGATGATGATGACGACAAGTCATATTTGTGAATGTTGTTATGTATCATGCAAAAATTTTGAAAAATTTTGTGGAAAGGAGTATGTTACGTCATGTGGTAACAATTGTAGCAATATTTTCTGGAAAGATGTTTTTAAAAGTTGGGTTATATTGAATAATTCCTTTCCTATGAGGCAAAGTATGCCAGAGTCAATTTTAAAAACCCCTTTATGGTACAATAATGACATTCAAGTGGGCAATAGATATGTCTTCTATCCAGTATGGTTTAATGCTGGTATATATACCATCAATGACCTAATTAAAAATTCTGATCATTTGACATTTTTTTCCTTTGATGAGTTTCTTCATAAATTTTTAATCAATACCAACTATTTACAGTATCGTGGCTTGATTACAGCCGTCAAGTGTTTCTTGAGAAAACATGACTTCCATCCATTAGGGCTATTTCAGCCTTTTATACCACTTCTATGTGAATTTTTTTATAAAAGTGAAAAAGGTGCCAAAGATTTCTACAATTCTATTATAAAACCAGCACTAACCTCTACTGGTATTCGAAAATGGAGTGATGAGTTTGACTTTGATGATCAGAAGTGGAAAGATATATTTATAAATCTGTTTACTATTACAAAAATTTCTAAGCTACAGTGGTTTCAAATAAGGATTATACATCACATTCTGGTTATGAACTCCTTTCTTTTCAATATTAATCTAATTCCTAGCCCTTTATGTACACTGTGTAATATGGAAAGAGAAACAATCATTCACTGTCTATGGGAGTGTATAGAGGTACAGACTCTATTGGAGAGATTTGAATCTCTTCTTGATATTCATCTGATTCCTTTCTGGATAAACAAAGAAACATATTTATTTGGAATTATCTATCCTAATGCTAACACTGTAGATAATGAAATTTTAATTCTCATTAAACACTATGTTTATATGTCAAGATGTCTACAAAAATCTCTTAATTTAAATGCTCTTATAAATAAGATTAAGGATCATTTCCATGTTCAAAAGTACAACATTTCTAGCAAAAACACTATTATGAAAACAAATTTTGAGAATAACTTGAAAAATGTATGCCCATTTTAGAACTATAGTATGTATGCTAGCAAGTCTGTTCCCAATGGCCATGGCCTTGACTTTACCAAACTGACTTTTTTATTTAATTTCCACAAAATTAGTGCTAATTTTATTTAATAATGCTTATAACCCTCCCAATTCTCTCTCTCTGTGACGAAATAACTTTGATAAGTGTCAGTGATATGATATTGTACTTGTGTGTGTGAGTGTTTTGTTAAGTACATGTAAGTTTGCTATGTGAGTGTAAGTGGGTGTGAATGTTGATGAGTGAGTTTGTGTGCAGTAAGTAGTAGATACAGTGCATGATGATAAAGATGATTATGATGATGATGATGCATGTATATACTGTAAGACATATTCAAGTCAGAGCACACAAGTGTGAGAGTGTGTGTGTATGTTTTTGTGTGGATTCTCTTGTATATAGTGTATTCTGTAATATGTAAAAACTTCTCAAAAAATAAATTAATAACAAAAAAAAAAAAAAAATATTTGAAAAAAAAAATTATATAGGTATGTCTTTATTTATTTCTGCTTAACTAAAAAAGATCATTGTTTCTTGGTGAGTTTTCAATAAAAGAGGAATAATTATTAGTAACATCTGAATTCAAACCCTTCCTTGTTATTGAAATTAAACAGCTGTAGTTCTTGTTGTATAATCAATCATATTTTAAGTGTGTTAAAACCAAGAGTTATTTCACATAGATCACATAATAACAGGGCTCTCACACCCCATTTTGGGACTGAGGCCCGGGGCCCTTTGAATTGGGAAAAATAATGGTGTTTTCCTTAGAATTGGGAAAACTTGGGGTCTAAATTGGGAAAAAAGATACTATTTTGCATTGGGAATGGGGCCGAATATCAGCCCCAAATCAGGCAGATCGAGAGCCCTGAATAAACTCTTTGCCTTTTCAGATATGTGGATGCCTTAATGCAATCACAAAGCAAATTTTTAGGTCTGAGAAATAATACTTTATATTACTTTAATTCTTTTTAGAAAACATTTATGTTATGATAATGATAGTATACACTGCCAAATATAAACTTTTTAAGTTTTAGTTAAACAGAGATATTTGTTTGTTTACTAAGTGTATTGCCTGCTGAGAAGTCAGGGTCATTTTGAGGTGGGGTCTCTGACTGAGCTCATGGCAGAGCTGTCCAAAGTGATGATAGGGGTTGGAGTATAAAATGGAGTTTGGAAGTAAGACGGGGATGGGTGTATGATGTGGTTGAAATGTGTGATGGGGTTTGGGTGTAAGATGGGATTGGGGTGTTTGATGTGGTTGAAGTGTATGATTGGGTGAGTGTATGATGGAGTTTTGGTGAATGATGTAGTTGAATGGTATAATAAGGGTAGGGTGTCAGATGACAAGGGACGAATGATGAGGTTGAAGTGTATGATGGGGTTAGGATGTATGATGGTGTTGATGTGTATGATTAGGTTGAAATATATGATGGGTTGAAGTGTATGATCAGGTTGAAATATATGATGGGTTGAAGTGTATGATTAGGTTGAAATATATGATGGGTTGAAGTGTATGATTAGGTTGAAATATATGATGGGTTGAAGTGTATGATGGGGTTTTATTGTTTTAATTTGTTGTCTTAATATTATTTTCACAGCATGTACAGTAATTATGAGTTTGACGGAACAACTGTCAGTGATTCATAATGAGACCATTATACATTCCCTAGAGCGACTATGTAAATACCTCCCAGACAAATATAGACAGCAATGTCAGATATTTGCGGAATTCTTCGGGAAAATTCTCATAGAAAGGTAAACAATGTTATATGTAAGGATTTGTTATATTTGAATATTAATTAACATCAACTTATTAAAATTACAAAGATTAATAAATGACAGGAATGGTATAGCTCGAACATTGATCCTTAGTGATGTCAAAGTGTTGAGTTATTGTATTCAGTAATGTTCCAGTTTTCTCCTCTTGGTAGTAGACCAGTAGAATGAGAGGTCCATGTGGAGGATATCAATGATTTGTGGAGTGCTACTGGGCTGTCTGTATGTTTCCTGCTGTCCTGTAGATGTTCTTTGACTGTCTGTATGTTTCCTTATATCCTGGAGGTGTTCTTTGACTGTCTGTATGTTTCCTTATATCCTGGAGGTGTTCTTTGACTGTCTGTATGTTTCCTAATGTCCTGTAGATGTTCTTTGACTGTCTGTATGTTTCCTTATATCCTGTAGATGTTCTTTGACTGTCTGTATGTTTCCTTATATCCTGTAGGTGTTCTTTGACTGTCTGTATGTTTCCTGCTGTCCTGTAGATGTTCTTTGACTGTCTGTATATTTCCTTATATCCTGTAGGTGTTCTTTGACTGTCTGTATATTTCCTTATATCCTGTAGATGTTCTTTGACTGTCTGTATGTTTCCTAATGTCCTGGAGGTGTTCTTTGACTGTCTGTATGTTTCCTTATATCCTGTAGGTGTTCTTTGACTGTCTGTATGTTTCCTGCTGTCTTGTAGATGTTCTTTGACTGTCTGTATGTTTCCTTATATCCTGTAAGTGTTCTTTGACTGTCTGTATGTTTGCTGCTGTCCTGTAAGTGTTCTTCGACTGTCTGTATATTTCCTTATATCCTGTAGGTGTTCTTTGACTGTCTGTATGTTTCCTTATATCCTGTAGATGTTCTTTGACTGTCTGTATGTTTCCTTATATCCTGTAGGTGTTCTTTGACTGTCTGTATGTTTCCTAATGTCCTGTAGGTGTTCTTTGACTGTCTGTATGTTTCCTTATGTCCTGGAGGTGTTCTTTGACTGTCTGTATGTTTCCTGCTGTCCTGTAGGTGTTCTTTGACTGTCTGTATGTTTGCTGCTGTCCTGTAGGTGTTCTTTGACTGTCTGTATGTTTCCTGCTGTCCTGTAGATGTTCTTTGACTGTCTGTATGTTTCCTTATATCCTGTAGGTGTTCTTTGACTGTCTGTATGTTTCCTTATATCCTGTAGGTGTTCTTTGACTGTCTGTATGTTTCCTGCTGTCCTGTAGGTGTTCTTTGACTATCTGTATGTTTCCTAATGTTCTCTAGATGTTCTTTGACTGTCTGTATGTTTCCTGCTGTCCTGTAAGTGTTCTTTGACTGTCTGTATGTTTCCTGCTGTCCTGTAAGTGTTCTTTGACTGTCTGTATGTTTCCTGCTGTCCTGTAGGTGTTCTTTGACTGTCTGTATGTTTCCTGCTGTCCTGTAGGTGTTCTTTGACTGTCTGTATGTTTCCTGCTGTCCTGTAGGTGTTCTTTGACTGTCTGTATGTTTCCTTATATCCTGTAGGTGTTCTTTGACTGTCTGCATGTTTCCTAATGTCCTGTAGGTGTTCTTTGACTGTCTGTATGTTTCCTGCTGTCCTGTAGGTGTTCTTTGACTGTCTGTATGTTTCCTGCTGTCCTGTAGGTGTTTTTTGACTGTCTGTATGTTTCCTGCTGTCCTGTAGGTGTTCTTTGACTGTCTGTATGTTTCCTGCTGTCCTGTAGGTGTTCTTTGACTGTCTGTATGTTTCCTGCTGTCCTGTAGGTTTTTTTTTGACTGTCTGTATGTTTCCTGCTGTCCTGTAGGTGTTCTTTGACTGTCTGTATGTTTCCTGCTGTCCTGTAGGTGTTCTTTGACTGTCTGTATGTTTCCTAATGTCCTGTAGGTGTTCTTTGACTGTCTGTATGTTTCCTGCTGTCCTGTAGGTGTTCTTTGACTGTCTGTATGTTTCCTGCTGTCCTGTAGGTGTTCTTTGACTGTCTGTATGTTTCCTAATGTCCTGTAGATGTTCTTTGACTGTCTGTATGTTTCCTGCTGTCCTGTAGGTGTTCTTTGACTGTCTGTATGTTTCCTGCTGTCCTGTAGGTGTTCTTTGACTGTCTGTATGTTTCCTGCTGTCCTGTAGGTGTTCTTTGACTGTCTGTATGTTTCCTGCTGTCATGTAGGTGTCCTTTGACTGTCTGTATGTTTCCTGCTGTCCTGTATATCCTGTCCTGTAGGTGTTCTTTGACTGTCTGTATGTTTCCTGCTGTCTTGTAGATGTTCTTTGACTGTCTGTATGTTTCCTTATATCTTGTAGATGTTCTTTGACTGTCTGCATGTTTCCTTATATCCTGTAGATGTTCTTTGACTGTCTGTATGTTTCCTTATATCCTGTAGGTGTTCTTTGACTGTCTGTATGTTTCCTGCTGTCCTGTAGGTGTTCTTTGACTGTCTGTATGTTTCCTTATATCCTGTAGGTGTTCTTTGACTGTCTGTAGGTGTTCTTTGACTGTCTCCCTAATGTCCTGTCCTGTATGTTTGCTGCTGTCCTGGAGGTGTTCTTTGACTGTCTGTATGTTTGCTGCTGTCCTGTAGGTGTTCTTTGACTGTCTGTATGTTTCCTAATGTCCTGTAGGTGTTCTTTGACTGTCTGTATGTTTCCTTATATCCTGTAGATGTTCTTTGACTGTCTGTATGTTTCCTTATATCCTGTAGGTGTTCTTTGACTGTCTGTATGTTTCCTTATGTCCTGTAGGTGTTCTTTGACTGTCTGTATGTTTGCTGCTGTCCTGGAGGTGTTCTTTGACTGTCTGTATGTTTGCTGCTGTCCTGTAGTCTGTGTTTCCTTTGACTGTGTCTGTATGTTTCCTTATATCCTGGAGGTTTCCTGCTGTCCTGTAGGTGTTCTTTGACTGTCTGTATGTTTCCTTATGTCCTGTAGGTGTTCTTTGACTGTCTGTATGTTTCCTGCTGTCCTGTAAGTGTTCTTTGACTGTCTGTTTGTTTCCTAATGTCCTGTAAGTGTTCTTTGACTGTCTGTATGTTTCCTGCTGTCCTGTAAGTGTTCTTTGACTGTCTGTATGTTTCCTAATGTCCTGTAAGTGTTCTTTGACTGTCTGTATGTTTCCTAATGTCCTGTAAGTGTTCTTTGACTGTCTGTATGTTTCCTAATGTGCTGGAGGTGTCCTTTGACTGTCTGTATGTTTGCTGCTGTCCTGTAGGTGTTCTTTGACTGTCTGTATGTTTCCTGATGTCCTGTAAGTGTTCTTTGACTGTCTGTATGCTCTCTAATGTCCTTTAGGTGCTTTTTGACACTGAGTATGTTTCCTTATGTCCTGGAGTTGTTCTTTGACTGTCTGCATGTTCCCCACATCTAAGGAGTACCAATCAAACAACAAATCACAGTTGTCCTAATTGTTACTCACACAACACAGATTAATAGTACAGTGTCTTCTTTATTATTCATTTACATTATCAAAATGACAGGTTCACAGAAGACGTAGTATCCTGTCCATTTGAGAGACAGATGAATAAAATCTTGTGGTCAATATTTTTTTTATTTATCTTTTTACCTAGACACATTTGACACATCTGCAAAATGTATTTTTCTTTATTTCATGACACTTCTCATGTGTGTATAATATTGAATAATGTCTACACATATTTATGTTTCCAGTTTCACAAAGGAAGACAACCCTGACACATTTTGCCATAAGATTCATTTCTGCTTCACCGAACCAGGAAAACAGGAATGCAGCATCTTCCCCAAGCCAAAATCTAGGGTAATTTTGTAGAATTCTATAGAATGGTCAATGTCAGAAAAGCATTCATCTTAAAATAATATCACTGTTCTTATTGGACTCAAATAAATAACATTTTATGGAATGCTGTGTTTTTCACTAATTGATGGCCGGAATGACCTTTTTTATGTGATGACGGGCTGTTAAGATAGTAATAAATAATAAATAAATTTTAGATAATTGAAGTGAAAACTTTATCAATGATGAGTAAATCTATACACACCAAGTGTCAAGCTTGGTCCTACTTAATGCATAAACACTAAGTGTCAAGTTTTACGGGTCAGTTTGGTCCTGCTTAAAACAGCTCACAGGTCAGTTAGCTCTGAAAGTCATGGGAGTCAAATGTGTTAAAATCTTTAAACCAACATCTTCTCAATAAATTATTGACCCAGAATACTGATATTGGGCCTGTAGATTATTGGGATGAATGCTTTCATGTTTGTCCAATTCAATGACCTTGACCCACTTTCAAGGTCACAAGGGTCAAATGTGTTGAAATGTTGTGAAAAATTCTTCTCAATAACCAAGAGACTCATGATACTGACATGGGTCCTGCAGCAAGGTTGGAAAAAAGAATACCTGTTTTTTTCCTAAATGAATGGCCTTGCCCTATTTCTCAAGGTCACATATCTCAAATGAGTTAAAATCTTTAACATTCCAATAATTTCTTCACAAGAACTAACAAACCCTGTAGATACTTATATTTGGCCTATTGTATGCGTAGAATAAGGTTTCTCAGGTCCCTACAAATGTATGACTTTGACCCTCTTTCAAAGTCACTGAGATCAAATGTGTTAAAAGTTTGAAATAGCCCCAATTGGATGGTACAAATACTGACATTGGGTTTGTAGTAAGTATGATAAAGGGCTAATAACGTTATTTACTCAATTTTCAAGTGTGTAGATATTGGTTGAAGTTAAATGTCTTTTCCAGTTAAATGTAGAAAATGTGAGAAATTCTGTACAATTTTTCTCCTTTAAATTTTTTTTTTGACAGAGTCCACGAAATGTTCACACAGGAATCCTCAAAGAAGTTTTAACTTACAAAATGAAGCAAACTCCGTACAAGGTCAGTGAGCGAAAACTAATCTTAGATGATATTGATCTTTAGAGATACAGTTTGTTATCAGTGATTTCCAATTTCCAATTGATATATAGAACAACATATAATGAAATTGAAAAAAGACTTAAAAAAGTTTGATAATATTTACATAAAAGGCTACATTTGTACAAATCTTGTGTGAATTTTTGATTATTTGTGTAAAAGGCTACATATATATGTGTGTATCTTTATATTTTGTTTTGCCAAAATGTTACAATTTAAGAGTCTTCTGAGATACTGTAAATTTTATTATAGAGAAGGTTTTTTTACACAGTTATGTATGTTGTTCTGTACAGGTAGCAATATTTTTTAGCATTAAATACTGATTATTTGATTTTGATCTGACTACATTTCCGTCATCATGCTTGCTTTTTTTCATAGATACACCAAGACCCTAAGATATGTGAATTGCCAGGAATTAAAGCTATTTGTGATTGGATAGAAATGTGAGTTACAATATGTATAGAGATAGACACGCCCATCTAGTCAGATGAACATGTATATAGTTTAATTGTACAGAACGGATTGGAATTGCATGTTTGAATTCATAAATACGAAAGTTTGTTTAGACTATGACTAAGATATTTTACTTAAATATAAATCGTGTTGTGATAAATAATATGGTTAGTTAGATTACAAACAATATATGATAAACAATATATATATACATAAAATTTTTGTAAGCGCTTTCAAGTTTTTCACTAGAAAAAATGGAAAATACATAATTATAGTTAGAATGATTGTATTTGATATACAATGTTAGCCAATGAGGAAAAAAAAGAAAGTAATAATTATTTCGTGTTGTGAACTGCTATATGATGTTTTTTCTTTCAGGTGCAAATATTTTCCTAACCTCATATATATATATATTATGTAAAATATTTTGTTGTACCAATATATTTTTCCCAAATAAATTTGAATTGAAATTATACGCAATCATGACAGAAACTGCATTAAATTTGGAAAATATTTACAACAACCGTTGACAAGGTCACTGAGTAAAAATGATAATTTAAACTGTTTTGTTTAGTAGTATGTTAATACTTAAACTGTTCTATATAATAATTTAATCCAAGCACAGAATCAATATATTGAGAATTCTTTTCATTTCCAAAGTAAACAATTGACAATGAGTGTGAATTCTTGAGAGTTTTTTTTTTCAAAAATATGGAGATTTCATTGACATTGAAGTATATTTTTAAATGTACAGATACTGAAATATGTGTTCTATCTTATCAGGATATTTGAGAAACATGACCCTGCCATTGATTTGGATGATGATAGATTTAGCACATATCAGGTGAGCCATTTTCTGTGTGCTAATTGGTAATAATGTTGTCCTCAATCTCTTGTTTGATATATGTGACATGTAGATGCACTGTTCTGAAAGACATAGAAAACAGATTTACCTAAAAAATTGTAAAACAAATGTTATCAATTTAAGTCCTGGGACCTCTTGGTTTAATTTCCATGGCAATTAAATAAGAAGTCATAGTATCTGAGGGATATTCCTGTATCAAAGGCCTGGGACCCGTGAGCTTTACCTATCACGCAGATTCAAACATCCAAATTGAACTTTTTCAACCAGTTATGAAGTTATTTTTATTAATTTTCTTTTAAATGAAATCTGATATTTCAGAGACAAGTAAAACCTCATCTTTAACAGAAATTATTATATATCTGGGTCCTCTTAATAGTTTTGATCATTTGAAGTAATATATATTGTTTTGTCGGAAACTTTGTTGTACAGACTCTTCGGGGAAGCTCTTGGAGAGGAAAAGACTGTGATGATTCTCGCAAGGACATTCACCCTGGAAGTAGGTCAGTGACACAGAAAAAATGTTTTAGAATCCTAATCATCACTTATATATTTTCTCAGCTTGCAAAATATAAAATTTATTGTAATATCATAACACAGTCTTAAAGTGAAATTGAATATTTTAGAACTTGTCCATCATATGAAATACACTCTCTGCTAGTGAAAAAAAAAGTTCTAATGCTTTAAGCATGTTTTGAATTAGCACAGCAATAATATACTTGGCTTTCACTTAAATGACAGGGGTTTGTTTCACTAATTGTATGTGAAATGGTATGTAATCACCTGCCAAATCACACAGTTTTCCCTAGTTACGGGGCCTTCAACATGGCTTCCAACATGAGCTAACGCTGTGGTTCATGATGAAATTCAGAGACGAACAGTGTATGTAAATTAATTTGAAATCATCAACATGTACAATTTCAGTCACAGACTGTTGTCTAATATTTTGCAAATGTTACACTAGATTTATAGTTGGCTAGCTTGTTAAAACAATTTGCCATGTGTTGACTATGAATTATGTCGATATTGATTCAAACTCTCTTTCATTTTTCCTCGCTATATTTTCGCACATTTTGAACTCTCTTCACAATATTTATTCAACTTTGTTCAAATTGACTGGACGTTAACCATTCTCCAGTGTCCCTCCACATTAAGACATTTCATACACTAAAGTCTAGACCTGCTAAAGTGATTGATATATAAAGTTTATAGAAGTTTCTGTATAAATGATGTGTTATAAATAAAGTTCATAAATTAATAACTTGTATCAGTGAGGGATTATACAGTGTAAGCATAAAGCTATTTACGAAATATGATATAGCACATCAACACATTAGATGAAATCTTCGTTTGTTTCTAAACATGAAATTTCGTAATAGTTTCGTCAGTTTCAGAGTCATGGATATAATATCAAATGTATGTGTCCATTAATAATTTAATTGACCAAAATGTCCAAGGGCTATTTCCCTATCGGTCATGTAGATACTTAGTGTGTATTGTCACAAAGGGGTCAGATTAACTTAATGACCATGTTGTTGTTGAACTATCACTACTTGAACCTATTAAACAAAGTCACCGGTGAAACTCAATTATCCAATATCCTGACCTGGATTGACCCGCACATCTGCATTAGTCATTTAGAGATGTGTTCTTGTATAAGAATTCAGTCCTATAGATAAATCAGGTGACTGTGTACATACCATATTTATCCTAAGTTGACAACATTTTTCATCGTTGTGTACAAATACAGTGTTATTAAATTGTCTTTAACTAAAATAAAATATACCCTGCCTCCCCTTTTGAATCTAAATTTGTTTTGTTGCCCCTCCCCCAACTACAGCCTTATTATAGTATTTGTTGCCCCTCCACACTACAGCCTTATTGTAGTATTTGTTGCCCCTCCCCCAACTACAGCCTTATTATAGTATTTGTTGCCCCTCCCCCAACTACAGCCTTATTGTAGTATTTGTTGCCCCTCCCCCAACTACAGCCTTATTGTAGTATTTGTTGCCCCTCCACACTACAGCCTTATTGTAGTGTTTGTTGCCCCTCTACACTAGAACCTTATTGTAGTATTTGTAGCCCTCCCCCAAGTATAGCCTTATTGTAGTATTTGTAGCCCTCCCCCAAGTATAGCCTTATTGTAGTATTTGTTGCCCCTCCCCCAAGTATAGCCTTATTGTAGTATTTGTTGCCCCTCCCCCAACTACAACCTTATTGTAGTATTTTTTGCCCCTCCCCCAACTGCAGCCTTATTGTCGTATTTTTTTGTAACTCCACACTACAGCCTTATTGTAGTATTTGTTGCCCCTCCCCCAACTACAACCTTATTGTAGTATTTTTTGCCCCTCCCCCAAGTATAGCCTTATTGTAGTATTTGTAGCCCTCCCCCCAAGTATAGCCTTATTGTAGTATTTGTTGCCCCTCCCCAACTACAACCTTATTGTAGTATTTGTAGCCCTCCCCCAAGTATAGCCTTATTGTAGTATTTGTTGCCCCTCCCCCAACTACAACCTTATTGTAATATTTTTTGCCCCTCCCCCAACTGCAGCCTTATTGTCGTATTTTTTTGTAACTCCACACTACAGCCTTATTGTAGTATTTTTGCCCCCTCCACACTACAGCCTTATTGTAGTTTTTTTGCCCCTCCCCCAACTACAGCCTTATTGTAGTATTTTTGCCCCTCCACACTAGAGCCATATTGTAGTATTTCTACCTCTCCCCAACTACAGCCTTATTGTAGTATTTTTTCCCCTCTACACTAGAGCTTTTTGTAGTATTTCTACCTCTCCCTAACTACAGCCTTATTGTAGTATAACTATGGTACTTGCATGCCATATTCAGCTCCCCTATTCTACCCCTACAGCCCCACCCTCTAAAAAAACAACAACAAAATAGAAGAGAGATGATAAATGTGAAGTGAGTAGCATAGCCAATAAGTTCAACATCAGTATAAAATGTGTAATTAAAACAATAACAATTGAGATGGTTAAAATGTCACATTTCTTTTTCAGACCACTCCAGGCAGATAAAAGCAGAGACAGTAACTGTAATGGTATCATGGTAGGTAGAGTAGGACCATGTCAGTGGTGTGAGACAGTAACTGGTATGGTATGTAGGTAGGTAGAATAGGACCATGTCAGTGGTGTGAGACAGTAACTGTAATGGTGTGTAGGTAGGTAGAGTAGGGCCATATCAGTGGTGTGAGACAGTAACTGTAATGGTGTGTAGGTAGAGTAGGACCATGTCTGTAGTGTGGGACGGACAGTAACTGTAATGGTGTGTAGGTAGATAGAGTAGGATCATGTCAGTGGTGTGAGACAGTAACTGTAATGGTGTGTATGTAGATAGAGAATGACCATGTCAGTGGTGTGAGACAGTAACTGTAATGGTGTGTAGGTAGGTAGAGTAGGACCATGTCAGTGGTGTGGGACAGTAACTGTAATGGTGTGTAGGTAGGTAGAGTAGGACCATGTCAGTGGTGTGAGACAGTAACTGTAATGGTGTGTAGGTAGAGTAGGACCATGTCTGTGGTGAGACAGTAACTGTAATGGTGTGTAGGTAGGTAGAGTAGGACCATATCAGTGGTGTGAGACAGTAACTGTAATGGTGTGTGGATAGGTAGAGTAGGGCCATATCAGTGGTGTGAGACAGTAACTGTAATGGTGTGTAGGTAGAGTAGGACCATGTCTGTGGTGTGAGACAGTAACTGTAATGGTGTGTAGGTAGAGAAGGACCATGTCTGTGGTGTGAGACAGTAACTGTAATGGTGTGTAGGTAGAGAAGGACCATGTCTGTGGTGTGAGACAGTAACTGTAATGGTGTGTAGGTAGAGTAGGACCATGTCTGTGGTGTGAGACAGTAACTGTAATGGTGTGTAGGTAGAGAAGGACCATGTCTGTGGTGTGAGACAGTAACTGTAATGGTGTGTAGGTAGGTAGAGAAGGACCATATCAGTGGTGTGAGACAGTAACTATAATGGTGTGTAGGTAGGTAGAGTAGGACCATGTCAGTGGTGTGAGACAGTAACTGTAATGGTGTGTAGGTAGGTAGAGTAGGACCATATCAGTGGTGTGAGACAGTAACTGTAATGGTGTGTAGGTAGAGTAGGACCATGTCAGTGGTGTGAAACAGTAACTGTAATGGTGTGTAGGTAGGTAGAGTAGGACCATGTCAGTGGTGTGAGACAGTAACTGTAATGGTGTGTAGGTAGGTAGAGAAGGACCATGTCAGTGGTGTGAGACAGTAACTGTAATGGTGTGTAGGTAGGTAGAGTAGGACCATGTCAGTGGTGTAAGACAGTAACTGTAATGGTGTGTAGGTAGGTAGAGAATGACCATGTCAGTGGTGTGAGACAGTAACTGTAATGGTGTGTAGGTAGAGTAGGACCATGTCAGTGGTGTGAGACAGTAACTGTAATGGTGTGTAGGTAGAGAAGGACCATGTCTGTGGTGTGAGACAGTAACTGTAATGGTGTGTAGGTAGAGAAGGACCATGTCAGTGGTGTGAGACAGTAACTGTAATGGTGTGTAGGTAGGTAGAGAAGGACCATGTCAGTGGTGTGAGACAGTAACTGTAATGGTGTGTAGGTAGGTAGAGTAGGACCATGTCAGTGGTGTGAAACAGTAACTGTAATGGTGTGTAGGTAGAGAAGGACCATGTCTGTGGTGTTAGACATTAACTTTAATGGTGTGTAGGTAGAGTAGGACCATGTCAGTGGTGTGAGACTTGTAACATTCATACACATGACTCATCATCATCATCATGTAAAACTTAACCTGCACCTGTGTAAAATATTATTATATCATACATATTCTGATCATGTTTAGGGAATTGATCCGGTCAGTGGCCAGGCGTACGAGGATCTGTACTGTAAGAAGAGTCAAGCCAGAGGCATTGTCATCCTTGGTGACTCCCTAAGTGCTCACTTCCATGTTCCAAGGGAGTGGCTCAACACCACAGAAATATCAGCAGTGAGTTTACTTGTCAGTCAAATTAGTATGTTAATGAAAAAAAAATATGAGCAAATATGTTTGTGCTTTTAGTCATTTTCTCTGTTACTTATGATAGATCAGTTGGATTAACTTTTTATAAATTTTGACAATTCCATAAAGAAACTTATCATGTCCATAGTTTTAATGTACAGCCAAACCTGTCTTAAGCCACCTTTATTCAAAGGCTACCTGTCTATAAAGGCCACTTTTTAAGTTTCCTATGTAATACAATTCAAAGTATTCAAACCTCTATGTAAAGGCCACCTGTGTATAAAGGTCACTTTTCTCTGCTCCCTTGAGTGATCTCTGTAGACAGGTTTGACTAATTTTCTTGGTATTGAACTGATGGTATTCACAGATATATTGGCTGTTTACTCCAGTTTCATTTCTAATTTTTGTTTTTTGTATTTTTTTTTAATAAGGCAGTTTTTGAGCCATTACCATTCATATTGGAGAATGAATTTGATTGGCCAGAATTGTCTTCTGGCACAGGTAAGGTCATACCTGTTGGTCTCCTTAATAATTACTAATTTCACTCTAACGTTGTGACTTTTAAATGTTGCATAATGCTAAACACTTCTATTTGTACTGAAATTAGATAAGTGCTTTGTATAGAATTGTTGATGACCAGACTCTAGGCAACACTATGTGCTATTGTGTCATACCTGTAAAGTTTTGTTCCCCATGATCCAAATTTTTGTAGCTAGAGGATGTCTTATCAGTGGAAGTCATAAAACTGACTGTAGGGGTAGAGAGAGAGTGGGGGGTGGGGGTCATGCTATTTTTTCTTTTCCATCTGCAGAAAAAAATGTCAGAAAAAATGAAATTATTTGAGAAAAAACAAAAATTAAATTTTCATTTCAATTTCAAATTCAAAAAGTTGAGAGTTAATTAAATTTTCATTTCAAATGACAGGTTTTCATAATTAAAAAGAATTAAAAATGGAGAAGAATGTCTTTTCAAATTCAGTTAAGATCATTTAATTTTTTTACAAATTTTATCGATTGTTCCAACATCATTTCACAACCTCGTAAACTGTTATCAGCTCTGTAACATTTTTTGAAAAATTGAAAATTTTATTCGATTATGGAAATCACTTGGATCTTCTGTGTAGTAAAATACTGTTAGCTTGATATTCCAAATGGTAGTGATTTTTTTTTCATGTGTGGTACTTTTTAAATTTCTTATCATTTAAGGTTTCATGAACAACAGCTATTCTAACGTAATTCATGGCCCCATGTATTCTGTCTACAACTATCTATGGCAAAGGAATCGTTGTAATCACAGGGATTACCAAAACCTCAGTGTTAATGGTGAGTTAACCGCAAGAATAACTCAGATGTCCTGGCATGTTAGCCAACCATCATCAGATTGCCTTCTTGCACCATCAAACAATCATTGATGTTGCTATTTCTTGATAAGCATTTAGCGAATCTTTCTCAATTGCTTTGATTTTGAGAATTGTTGAAAAAAGAAAATGGTTGATATGTGCCTTCCTGTGTTTAGAAAGTTAAAGTACATGATTTTTTTTTTTTTTTTTGTGTATATATATATATATATATATATATGTAATCGATATATCAATATTTACCTGGTAATAATATTATCAATATACAATAATATTGACAATTCATTTCTCTGTACTGTTGCTATTACTTCATTGATCATATAACTATTTCAGTATTCCAACGAACATATGTTAGTTAGGATCCAGTACCAATATTGAACCATACCGTCGATATTCCTTACTAGATTTTATATGTATATATCAGAATGAATGTTTACAGGTGCCAGATCTAGTGCTATGGCTGACACTATAGAGAAGAGGTAACAGATTTTTAAACTACAAGTTATATATTTCCTTCAATCTCAGATTTCTTTAACATTTTTAGGGGGTTGGAGGTTGAATAAAATCCAGGATGTTATGCTACTTAAAAGATACAATTAAATCAATTAGATGCTTTTGTTACAGATATTTACTCATGATTGTTTGTTAAATGATGACAAAACACTCGTGCTTTCAAAACAAATATAGCATCACTCAACACTCCATGTGGAATTTCATGTTTCATACATATGTTTCATATTATCAAGTTTAATAAATAAAGATTAATCCAACAGTTCGAATGTGGAACTTTGTGGTAGAATCCACGAGTGGATCTGTATAAGATTAAATAGAGTAGTGTCCTCAGGTGGATCTGTATAGGATTAAATAGAGTAGTGTCCTCAGGTGGATCTGTGTAGGATTAAATAGGGTAGTGTCCTCGGGTGGATCTGTATAATATTAAATAGAGTAGTGTCCTCGTGTGGATCTGTATAGGATTAAATAGAGTAGTGTCCTCGGGTGGATCTGTTTAGGATTAAATAGAGTAGTGTCCTCGGGTGGATCAGTATAATATTAAATAGAGTAGTGTCCTCAGGATGGATAGTGTCCTCAGGTGTAGGATTAAATAGAGTAGTGTCCTCGGGTGGATCTGTGTAGGATTAAATAGAGTAGTGTCCTCGGGTGGATCTGTATAGGATTAAATAGAGTAGTGTCCTCGGGTGGATCTGTATAGGATTAAATAGAGTAGTGTCCTCGGGTGTATCTGTGTAGGATTAAATAGAGTAGTGTCCTCGGGTAGATCTGTGTAGGATTAGATAGAATAGTGTCCACGGATGGATCTGTGTAGGATTAAATAGAGTAGTGTCCTCAGGTGGATCTGTATAGGATTAAATAGAGTAGTGTCCTTGGTTAGATCTGTATAGGATTAAATAGAGCAGTGTCCTCAGGTGGATCTGTGTAGGATTAAATAGGGTAGTGTCCTCGGGTGGATCTGTATAGGATTAAATATTGTAGTGTCCTCAGGTAGATCTGTATAGGATTAAATAGGGTAGTGTCCTCAGGTGGATCTGTATAGGATTAAATAGGGTAGTGTCCTTGGTTAGATCTCTATAGGATTAAATAGTGTAGTGTCTTTGGTTAGATCTGTAGAGGATTAAATAGAGTAGTGTCCTTGTGTGGATCTGTATAGGATTAAATAGAGTAGTGTCCTCAGGTGGATCTGTTTATAGGATTAAATAGAATAGTGTCTTCAGGTGGATCTGTTTATAGGATTAAATAGAGTAGTGTCTTCAGGTGGATCAGTATAGGATTAAATAGAGTAGTGTCCTCAGGTGGATCTGTACAGGATTAAATAGAATAGTGTCCTCGGTGGATCTGTGTAGGATTAAATAGAGTAGTGTCCTCAGGTGGATCTGTGTAGGATTAAATAGAGTAGTGTCCCCAGGTGGATCTGTGTAGGATTAAATAGAATAGTGTCCACGGATGGATCTGTGTAGGATTAAATAGAGTAGTGTCCTCAGGTGGATCTGTGTAGGATTAAATAGAGTAGTGTCCTCGGGTAGATCTGTGTAGGATTAGATAGAATAGTGTCCACGGATGGATCTGTGTAGGATTAAATAGAGTAGTGTCCTCAGGTGAATCAGTATAGGATTAAATAGAGTAGTGTCCCCATGTGGATCTGTATAGGATTAAATAGAGTAGTGTCCTCGGGTGGATCAGTATAGGATTAAATAGAGTTGTGTCCTCGGGTAGATCTGTGTAGGATTAGATAGAATAGTGTCCACGGATGGGTCTGTATAGGATTAAATAGAGTAGTGTCCTCAGGTGGATCTGTGTAGGATTAGAGATGTCCTCGGGTGGAATAGGATTAAATAGTGTGTCCTCAGGTTAAATAGAGTAGATCCTCAGTATAGGATTAAATAGAGTAGTGTCCTCAGGTGGATCTGTACAGGATTAAATAGAGTAGTGTCCTCAGGTGGATCTGTATAGGATTAAATAGAGTAGTGTCTTCAGGTGGATCAGTATAGGATTAAATAGAGTAGTGTCCTCGGGTGGATCAGTATAGGATTAAATAGAGTAGTGTCCTCGTGTGGATCTGTATAGGATTAAATAGAGTAGTGTCCTCGTGTAGATCTGTGTAGGATTAAATAGAGTAGTGTCTTCAGGTGGATCAGTATAGGATTAAATAGAGTAGTGTCCTCAGGTAGATCTGTGTAGGATTAAAAAGAGTAGTGTCCCCGGGTGGATCTGTATAAGATTAAATAGAGTAGTGTCCCCGGGTGGATCAGTGTAGGATTAAATAGAGTAGTGTCCTCGGGTGGATCAGTTTAGGATTAAATAGAGTAGTGTCCTCGGGTGGATCAGTATAGGATTAAATAGAGTAGTGTCCTCAGGTGGATCTGTATAGGATTAAATAGAGTAGTGTCCTCAGGTGGATCTGTATAGGATTAAATAGAGTAGTGTCCTCGGGTGGATCTGTGTAGGATTAAATAGAGTAGTGTCCTCGGGTGGATCTGTATAGGATTAAATAGAGTAGTGTCCTCGGGTGGATCTGTATAGGATTAAATAGAGTAGTGTCCTCAGGTGGATCTGTATAGGATTAAATAGAGTAGTGTCCTCAGCTTGATCTGTATAGGATTAAATAGAGTTGTGTCCACAGGTGGATCTGTATAGGATTAAATAGAGTAGTGTCCTAGTGTGGATCTGTAGAGGATTAAATAGAGTAGTGTCCTCAGGTGGATCTGTGTAGGATTAAATAGAGTAGTGTCCTTGGGTGGATCTGTGTAGGATTAAATAGAGTAGTGTCCTCAGGTGGATCTGTATAGGATTAAATAGAGTAGTGTCCTCAGGTGGATCTGTATAGGATTAAATAGAGTAGTGTCCTCAGGTGGATCTGTATAGGATTAAATAGAGTAGTGTCCTCGGGTAGATCTGTATAGGATTAAATAGAGTAGTGTCCTCGGGTGGATCTGTATAGGATTAAATAGAGTAGTGTCCTCAGGTGGATCTGTGTAGGATTAAATAGAGTAGTGTCCTCAGGTGGATCTGTGTAGGATTAAATAGAGTAGTGTCCCCAGGTTGATCTGTGTAGGATTAAATAGAGTAGTGTCCTCAGCTGGATCTGTATAGGATTAAATAGAGTAGTGTCCTCAGCTTGATCTGTATAGGATTAAATAGAGTTGTGTCCTCGGGTAGATCTGTATAGGATTAAACAGAGTTGTTTCCTAGGGTGGATCAGTAAAGGATTAAATAGAGTAGTGTCCTCAGGTGGATCTGTGTAGGATTAAATAGAGTAGTGTCCTCAGGTGGATCTGTATAGGATTAAATAGAGTAGTGTCCTCGGGTGTATCTGTGTAGGATTAAATAGAATAGTGTCCTCGGATGGATCTGTGTAGGATTAAATAGAGTAGTGTCCTCAGGTGGATCTGTGTAGGATTAAATAGAATAGTGTCCACGGATGGATCTGTGTAGGATTAAATAGAGTAGTGTCCTCAGGTGGATCTGTATAGGATTAAATAGAGTAGTGTCCCCAGGTGGATCTGTATAGGATTAAATAGAGTAGTGTCCTCAGGTGGAATCGAGTATGTCCTCGGAGGATTAAATAGAGTAGTGTCCCCATGTGGATCTGTATAGGATTAAATAGAGTAGTGTCCTCAGCTGGATCTGTATAGGATTAAATAGAGTAGTGTCCTCGGGTGTATCTGTGTAGGATTAAATAGAGTAGTGTCCTCGGGTTAATCTGTATAGGATTCAGTAGAGTAGTGTCTGCTGGTGGATCTGTATAGGATTCAGTAGAGCAGTGTCCTCAGGTGGATCTGTATAGGATTAAATGAGTAGTGTCTTCCTTTTTGCTTTATTAAACTATCAATTATCACAGAAATAGGATTAAATAGATAACCCTGTCACAGTTTTCCACTCATTTTACTATGTATATTTCTCGTCCGCTGAAAGTCTTGTGGATGTAAAACCTGTTAAATAATATTTTTAAATAGTTCGAGCGATTTAATGAATGCGATAGAAAAAATGCACCATTGCATGTATATATAGAATCAGAATATGCAGTGATCGTAAACATTTGAAAAAACAGAAAAATTCTGGAGATAAATTCATTTTGGTATTCTGTAAATGTTGTAATGTTATTTTTTTCACTATAGTCTCAGTGACATTTTTTTTTTTTTTTTGGGCTCCTTTAGAATTATAATTCTGTATGTACCGGGTAAGTCTTTTCTCAGAATAATTTCTTAATTCATCCTTAAGATTTAAGTCAATCATTGGGAGTCTTTATAAACAATTTATTGGTTTTTGGAAGGTTTCTCTAAACAGGGTATTTCACTGAATAATTGTCAGTCTTAGAAAATAGATCATGTTTTATCATTTTATGTTCAAATTATACAAATGATAAAAATCTGATTTAGTCATCCAGATACGTTTGCCCACATGACAACGCCAGACGAAATGAAGAACAACTCCATGAAAACTTTACAGTTTCTGGTGAGGATCTTTTTATACCCTCAGCTTTGGTTCAGTTAGGACTACAGTGTGTTATGTCTTTGTCATGTATGTCTGTCCATCTGTCTGTAACCCTGGTAGATACTAGCTGTATACAGCTCCATTAAAGAGAACTTCTCATTAGCCTGATCGGTTGGGTATCAGTCCAGTACACCAGAGGTCCCAGGTTCAAAGCCTAGCGGAGGCATTGAAATAAATAATGACCTCTGTGACATCGGTGCCCATGGAGGGACCCATGAATAGTACTTAGCCATGCCCCGCCAGCATTGCTGTAACCCCTGGAAACTTGGGGACAAGTTATTTCCTGGAGAGGGAGTATGTAACCCTTGTAAATACTAGCCGCAATATACCGCTCGGCTGGAGAGAACTTCTCTTTAGATCAATCAGTTGAGCGCCAGTCTAGTACGCCAGAGGTCCCAGGTTCAAATCCTAGAGGAGACATTGAAATAGATAATGACTTCTGACATGTCCATCACACTTGTTATCATCACTCTAGCAGTAATATTACCTCAGATTTTTTTTAAATTTCATAGGCTTTTTTACATTGGCTTTATAATAGACAGGTTTAAATATCTGTTTCAGATTTCAAATTTCCAGACCTTAGTCTGTCCAAGTTTATTAAATGTACTATTTTTAGAATACATGTACTGCATACCTTACCCAATGAATTTTCTGTTCCATTAAGAATTTTCTTTGACCTATGATGGAAGTACATTTTTACCAAAAATATTTATCATCATCAAGGTTGGTGACCCACTACTTTCATGTCTTTAATGATATGATTTTGAATATACTGGTCAATACTGATGAATGCCGAGTAAAATACAATGTGAACAATATTTTCGTATCTTCTACAGGAGAAAAACCTACCCCGTGGGAGTCACGTTTTTCTGATCGGTTTGGCCGATGGAAGAGTCCTTTATGACAGTCTCAAGGATAGAATTCACCCGATTGGTTCCTTGAGGAATGATGTCACATATTCAAACTTCTACGATTATTTCAACTGCTTGGAGGTAAAGACATTGACACTATGTTTAATTACATGAGACAATTTTTGTATAGAGACTGTTCTGAGGGAAAAGTTTGTATGTTTGATCTGTTCTCCCATAAACAGCAAGGGTCTGAGTTTTCTTGAAGGAGTTGGTAGCTACCTCACTAAACATAATACAGGAAGTCCTAACATGCCAATATGAGCCTTTTGGAGAAAGTAACTTGCAAAAGGATTCAACCTCAACAAAAACAATCTGAACTTGGCTTCCAGCGAAAAACATAGTTCCCTGAGTAAATTTTTTGGTCTGAATTATTCAGACATTCTGTCAACTTTTGTATATTGGTATTGAGTTGATGTGCCGATGGTGATAGAACGTCAGAATATTTTCAGACTAAAATGTTTTTGTGTTTTATATCTCTATGCAGATATCTCCGTGTGTTGGATGGATGAATACCAACGAGACGATTAGAAATATGACAACAGAGGTAACCATTGAAGGAAATATGCTGTATCCCTCGGGAAATAAATTTTCTGTTTGTGTGTTACAGTATAGAAATTATTAGAATACAATGTAGCCATGGTAACCACAGAATGTTGACATAGTTACAATACGGTATTGACCTGGATACAATACATCTAAAAAAAAAAGAGAATATTTTCAGTAATATTCATATTGAAATTTTAAATTCAAATTTAAATTTTAATTTCGTACATACTTTCAGTAATAAATGATCACAAAAAAATGGGTTTTCTCCTCATATGTAAATTATATCTTAGACAGAACTTTCAGAATTGAAGTAACCTGCTGTGTGTAAAGCCAAGTTTCATTCATTCATGGAGAAATATTGATTCTGTACTTTACCAAATTGTATGTTGAATAAGATATCTTGTTAAAATATAAGACATCTTATCAACAGGTATAGAATATATCTTATCTAGTAAATTAGATATTTTAAATAATTTAGTCAAGCACAGGATCAATATTGTGCATTAAAAAAAGACAACTTGGCTTGGCATACTACTTTCGTTCACATATTCTTGGACTAAAGAATAAACCTCGCCATCTTATTTTGTAGAAATAAATGTAGGTAGCCAAGGTAAAATATTAACTGCGATATTTCACTCAGCTAGGGAGGTCTTCTGTTTAACTTGATCCGTTGAGCTTCACGCTAGTCAGCCAAAGGTCCCGGGTTCGAATCCTAGCAGAGGCATTGAAATAAATATTGACCTGCATTACAGAAGTACACACTAAGACTAGGAAATACACTGTAATGTACATGTTTATAAAATTACAAGAGAACTTATCATGTTCTCAGCTTAAGCATAAAAAACTTCATGACAACTACCAGACTTAAATACAGAATGTACAAGATTATCCTAAAAGAGCAGTGGAGACAATATGGCTGCCTCTGACTAAGTTCTCTTGTTGCTCCTGTGTATTTATTTTATCTTTTTGTTGCAAAAGGAATTTCTGATATTTTGATAACTGATAGTTATGTATGTTTGGGTAACAGAGAGCCATGCAGCTAAGTAATGTCCTGAAGGAGGTAGCACAGACCCAAGCAGACAAGTACAGCAACTTTAAATTGGCATACATGGAAAACCCTATTTTTCAAGGTACAGTATGATTCCTGTTAAGTCAGTTTTATAAACATGCATGAATGGCGTACAGCATTCTTTGACATGCTTGAGGTGGTAAAGCCTTTTGTAAGTGGCAGGACCTGTGACAATTTTATCGGCCATTTGAGTTCTGCTGTTGTTGACCTGTGATTCATTGATGGCTTGCTCTTTAGCCGTATTTGTTGGTGATGTGACCTTTGACCTCTCTAAGTCGATGATGTAATGCTGGATCCTATTTTTTGTTGGTGATATCTTGGTAGTGTGGTCATTGATCTTTGATCATATTTCTTGGTGGTGTGATGTTTAACTGTCTATTACAACAATGTAGTACTTGTGATTTGGGGAGGGGGGATGGGGGGGGGAAGAGATATGCCCTAACCTCAAAATGGTTTTGTGATATAATTGTTAATGAACATTTGTTAGTAATATGACTTTTGATCTAACCTTGGTTGTAGGTATGACCTTTGACCTTTGTTGTCAGGGTGATATTTAACCTCTATTTTTTGAGGACATAGAATTTGACCTCTTATTACTATATATATATTCCAGCTATTGATGCTTTGAAGAAACGTGGTGGTCAAATTTGGGAGGTGCTGGAACCTGTCGATGGCTTTCATTCAAATCAGGTAAACTGTTGGAATAAATGTCTACAGTAACATTTTACAACATAGCATATATTGGAATTTTAAAAAAGTTATTGAAACAAGAGGTGGATGCGACCTCATTTTACTGTACCAGATTATTTCAGAAATGTATTTCATGCATTGCTACATCCTCGATACTACAAGGTTTACGATCATGTTTGCTCTCTGCACCCTTCGTACATGACATGACGAAACTGAATGTTCCATGTGCAACCCATTGTGGACAAGACAAAAAGTCTAGTTTGATCCTTTGATGTACAACAAACGAATCTCAAGATTGCATAATGGTATATTGTAATGACTTTGAAGTTGGGTGTCACTCCTTTGTAATCTTCAAAGGGAGGGTATCAGCCTGTGATTGGTCAGTTGGTTTTTTAGGTCATCTGACCCGAAGGGTCCGATGACCTATAGTCATCATGCTTCGTCCGCCGTGGGCCGTGCGCCGTCCATAAACTTTTCATTCAAACGACTTCTTCTCAATAATTGGAAGGCCCAGGCAACTAATATTTGGCCTGTAGCTTGCTTTGATGAAGCCCTACCAAGTTTGTTAAAAAGAATGACCTTGACCTTCATTCAAGGTCACAGGGGTCAAATGTCTTAAAATCTTCAAACGACTTCTTCTCAATAACTGGAGGGCCCAGGCAACTAATATTTAGCCTGTAGCTTGCTTTGATGAAACCCTACCAAGTTTGTTCAAATGAATGACCTTGACCTTCATTCAAGGTCACAGGGGTCAAATGTCTTTAAATCTTCAAAGGACTTCTTCTCAGTAATCAAAAGGCCCAGGCAACTAAAATAAGGCCTGTAGCATGCTGGGATGAAGGACTACCAAGTTTGTTCAAATGAATGACCTTGACCCACTTTAAAGGTCACAGGGGTCAAATATGTTAAAATCTTTAAACAACTTCTTCTCAATAACCAAAAGGCTCAGATTGCTGATATTGTGCCTGTGGCATGCTGGGATGAAGGGCTATCAAGTTTGTTTAAATGAATGACCTTGAACAACTTTCAAGGTCACAGGGGTCAAATATGTCAAAATCTTTAAATAACTTTTTCTCAAATACTAGAAGGCCTAGGGGGCTAATACTTGGCCCAAAGCATGCTGGCATGGAGCCCTACAAAGTTTGTTCAAATGAATGACCTTGGCCCACTTTCAAGGTCACAGGGGTCAAATATGTTAAAATATACAAAGGACTTCATCTCAATAAGCAAAAGTCTATGAGTGCCGATATTGGGTCTGTAGCATGCTGGGAGGAAAGGCTACCAAGTTTATTTAAATGAATGACCTTGAACAACTTTCAAGGTCGCAGGGGTCAAATATGTCAAAATCTTTAAATAACTTCTTCTCAAATACTAGAAGGCCTAGGGGGCTAATACTTGGCCCATAGCATGCTGGCATGGAGCCCTACAAAGTTTGTTCAAATGAATGACCTTGGCCCACTTTCAAGGTCACAGGGGTCAAATATGTTAAAATGTACAAAGGACTTCATCTCAATAAGCAAAAGTCTATGAGTGCCGATATTGGGTCTGTAGCATGCTGGGAGGAAAGGCTACCAAGTTTATTCAAATGAATGACCTCAACACCACTTTCAAGGTCACAATATGTTAAAATATACAAAGGACTTCTCAATAAGCAAAAGTCTATGAGTGCCGATATTGGGTCTGTAGCATGCTGGGAGGAAAGGCTACCAAGTTAAAATATACAACCCACTTTCAAGACTTCTTCTCAACAAGCAAAAGTCCATGAGTGCTGATATTGGGCCTGTAAGATGCTTGGAGGAGAGGCTACCAAGTTTGTTCAAATGAATGACCTCAACCCACTTTCTAGGTTTGGCTTGTTAGATCTAACCTCCGTTGTTAAAATAAATGATCTTGACCCATTTTCAAAGTCACAGGGGTCTTACGTCTTACCATCTTCTAAAAAACTTTTCTGAATAACCAGAAAGGCCAACGTACTAATATTAGGCCTATAGTATGCCAAAACAACGGACTACCAAGTTTTTTAAAATGAATGACTTTGACCAACTTCCTAAGTCACACGGTGATATATGTACCAAACCATTAAAAAAATTCTCATTCACCAGAAGACCCAGGGTAATGATATTTGACCTGTAGGATGCTGGGATGATGGGCTACCAAGTTTGTTAAATTAAATTTTCTTGACCCCTTTCCAAGCTCCCATGGGTCAAATGTGTATAAAACCTACAGGAAACATCTTCTGAATAACCAGGAAGCTCAAGGTAATGATATTTAGCTTGTACCATGCTGAAATGAAGGTCTGCGAAGTTTGTTGAAATGCCTTGACCAACTTTTCAATGTGGTAGATAAGTGACTTGATTTTTAAATCAAGATTAAATTAATTCAAAATTTGAAATCTTGTATTTTATGTCAGATGACCGTAAAGGCCCATGGGGCCTCTTGTTTTGGAAACCAATCACATTTCTTCGCTTGTGCCTTGCTGTGACATATTCGAGGGGTGCAGAGAGTGAATTACAAAGATCGTAACCCCTGAGGTATTGAGGATGGTATTGTTAATGTTCTTTCTATATCATGTAAGGAAGATGTTCATAGTCTGAGATTGAAATTGACATTCATTTACACTCATTTAAAATTATCTACAGTTGATATCAATTGCTGATGTCTATATATAGTCTATTCCTGGTAAAAAGAAACTCATTTGATAAAAAAGTGCTTCAGATCCATTAAATACACTGTCATTTCTACATCAGCTGGGACAAGCACTCACAGCCCAGGCATTATGGCAGAATTTGGAGACCCAGTACCCTGAAGCTATTGGTCCTATTAACCCATTCAATGACAAGATCCATGCCATCTTTGGAGATCAGGGAGGCTATTGAGCATGTGCAATACCACAGGAAGTCACTTGTGTTGGAGTTATATATATCACCCCAAATATCCTTTATCCACTGTCGTTAGCTCTTACTCGTCTTAAAAACTTTTCTGTCCAAATACCAATTGTTATACTTGTCTGTTCAGAGATTTGTCTCCTTGCAATACTATTACACCTTTCTATACCTGTCTATAAGGACCACTTAAGGGTGTTAAGAAAACTGACCTTTTTAGGCAGACAGGTTTATATCGAGGGAAAATAATTTTAAACTGTAAGTACATGTAATCATTGGTCTTTATAGACAGGTATCTGTTATCTGCCAGCAGTCATTAAAGCAGGTATGATTCCATATATTTTTTTAAACAGGAAAAAGATATTTTGTGATATAATATTATATGTGTATGATATTTGCACTCTATATTTATAATTGTAAAACATGACAATGTAAGTAAGTGTGATTAACAAAGATATATTATATTAACTTTGATATTCATATTGCCATTGTTAAGTTTTTTTATTTACCAAAAAAATAGTTAAGAATCAATAACTTTTAAGAAATGTAAATTTTTTCCCTTAATTCACTATTTGAACATTTTACATTTTCTGTGACTTCAGTGAACCATATAGAACACAGCAATATTTTTATTGATATATTTGTAACATAGAAAATACAACTCGGCAAAAAGGAGTATTTTATCATTTTTTGAAATCGTGTTTCAAATGTTTCACAATTTTGTGGAAAACTTCAAAGAACGACAAGATACCAGTAAAATGTGGTGTTTTGAAACAGAAAAACATTTGTTAAGTAAAAAAAAATTATGATTTACTGTAAAAAGGTAAATGGTTATTGGATTTTCACAATTATTTTTTGACTCCAGGAAACATTGACCTGTGAGTGGGTGAGGAGAGTCTGCAGTGGGTTTTGTTAAAATGTTGCATTTATTTTTTACAAATGTCCCAGTGTTTAAATATTATATAGAGGGGATTGTAAAACTAGTCATTTATAAAACGTATGTGTTAAAACTAATAGGAAATAGTTTGAACACAACTGAGTGTAAACCATTATGGCAAATTTATCATTTTTTTTCTCAATTTTAAAATCTTTATTTCATAGAAAGATACATATATGAATCTTATATTTTCTTCTCTGCTGATGTGGCAGCTAGTGCACTCTTGAGAATTTATTCTAAATCTGGAATATTTTATAACCCTTAGCAAATACAAATATATTTATTTTTTTATTTATCATGATATTTCATAAATTAGGAACACTATTCATCTTTATAGTAAAACCTGATCAATGCATGTGGTTTTTATATTTGAAGCTGGGTAGCGAAACCTGCAGAACAATCATAGTGGGAAATTTGGGAAGATACCGGGGTATGGGTAAGTTATATTCATGTTTATGTTTGGAAAACTAGGGATGTGGATATTTGTATGATGTTATATAAAAAAAGAAAATAAATTAAAAAAATGAAAAACCTGCTGGATCCACTTAAAAATCCATTGGACCTAAATCTTGGTCAATATGCAGATGATATGTCACAGTTAAAAGACTATAGAAAAAGGAAAACCATACATACTATACTGTTATGAGATTTCTGTGATTGGTTGATAATTACTTATCTGTCTTGTTACAATGTAATTCTCTAGGGAACAAGCATTTTCATTGGCTAATATGTTTATGTTGTCAACTAATAACTAAAAAGATACTGATGTCATTTTGTAACGTCACGTTTGATTGGCCATTTGGGCAGAATAAGAAATATTCAAAGCAAATGGTCCATTTTAAATGTCAAAAATATCGAAGATGGATTAACTTTCTTTGTATTTTTTATGTTATATATTGACCCATAACATGAAAATGGAGTATACTCTTGGCATTAAACCACTTCATAGTTTGTTGAAAGTAAACGCCATTTCTTGTGTTATACCTCAGTAAGTAAAGTTAATCCTGGTGTTTTTGAATGTTTGTTCTTTACTCACAAGTTTTATGATCATTGTAAGCTGTATAGAGCTACTGGGACACCACTAAGGGAAAAAGTGCTCTTTTTTCATTCCTTTTGGTTCTGAATCGTAACCCTTTTAATTCATAAATGATTTTAACCATAAAGTTCAAAGATGGCTGACCACTTATCTTTCCTATCCTATTTCTCTGAATCAGCTTTGGTTAGATACAGACTGAATGAATGTGCATGTGTGTAGTGCTTTGATTGTTATAAGCCTGAATTTACAACAATTCACATTTTTCACCTTACCTTTAAATATTACATGACACTAGATAAAACTGTAACCCTGGTAACAATATGTTAATTGACTGTTTACTATTTTGATTGAAAGATATTTATTTCAGCGGGTTTTTTTTTTTTGTTTTTTGTTTTTTTTTTGGGTTTTTTTTAATGTCCCTTGTTCTGCCTCAATTTTAAATATTTTCATATCATTATTTCACTTTGATTATGTAGGACCTGAATGTATATATATCAACAATTTTTGTATTACTGTAAATTTCTTGATTTTTGTCTATTCTAATTTCGCAAATTGTTTTTCGAAAAGTGATGGATCTAATGAAAAAAGTTATTAAACTTTTGAAAAGTGACGTATTCATGATTTTAAGACAAGTGTTCAGAGATAAATTTCTTATACAGAGTGGCAATATTAGGTTGGTATAAGCAGTATTTTTGCATTTTTAGCATTTTTTGAGTTGGCAACCATGGCAATCACATGTCAGAAATCAAAGAACATTTTTGATCGTCTTTCTAATATCAATGTAATTGTTATTGTAGTATATGTATACATGTAAGGATGTATTTTTCATGACCAGACTGCTTTACCTGTATATCTCAAACATTACCAGTAATTTCTACATTATGAATACAGGAGAACTTGCTTAATATCACGTTCCATTTGCCAGGGGAAAATGTGATAATAAGTGAAATGTGACATTAACAGTTGACATCTTTTTCTCTTTTTACATCTAAACCCAGAACTTTATAATTTTACATTCCATGATTTATCAATGGTGGACGCCAGGCTTTAATTGCTAAATAATTTGTAACAACATTAAACCAATGAAATTAATTTGACAAAATGTTTATAATTCTGACCAATTTTATGTGTCTATTAACCCCGTCTTCCTTTTTAATATAGAATTTATAAATAGCAATGAAGATTGATATATTTTTTTATTGTTAATTGATATGAAAATATCATGGTGCTTTAAAGATCTATGTAATTATTGTCAATATATTTTTATAATCACGTATGTCAAAATAGGGTGTAATTTTAATATATACTCTATGTTGTTTTAATCATCATAAAAGTTTCTGTGATGTATCTTTTTTCATCTTTAATTGATCAAGATTAAAATCCTCTTTATCTATCACAGTAGGATTTGTGTTATTTATGAGCTGTTAAATTCATGTCTTTATCAATTTATTGCATTTCTTTGTCTTTACAAGTCTGTACATGGAAGGCCTGTATTATGAAACATTTTTGATACCTGAACATTTGAAAAAAATGGTAGATAGATTTAAACTTAAATCTTAATGAATGGGGATCTGAAGTTTTTCAGATAACGTGCTTCAGCCCTTACAGAACGTAGTTAAGGGAACAAAATAGAAAGCTGTTGTGTAAAAATGAATCGTTTAAAAATGTAAACTTGAGTGGGTTGTTTTTTCATTATGTAGAGAAGGACTTCTAATGATTCTTAAAACAGGTCACAGTCGCATAATTTCGTTTCATGCATTATTCAGTCTACATTTCCCAGGAAATAAATTGTTCGATACTGCTTTTTTTCGGTCATGCTTGAATTCTGACGAATAATGGTGCTGATTCAGAATACACATCAATTCGATGTGTCGATATCCTATTAACCAATTTAGCTTACCGATAGCACCAGTGCATAACTTCTTACATTGCCCCCCAAAGTGTCACAGACTTAGCAGAACCAAACAATTGTAGAGTATTGATGTAGTCTACTGGATTAACCAAGATTTACATGGCGGTATCGTTGAAGATGCAGAAGGGAACCTTGTTCATTTTGTACTCATCAGTTTGAAATAAGATTCTATTAACATGTCAATGGTTAAGGTTAAAGGTCAAATGTCTCCATTGAACAGTTTTGAAGCAAAAAAAAATCACGTATAAGATACTTGTATCTCATGAATGCCTCAATAGATTTACTTCATATGTTTTTTTTTATATTTCCTCCTGTCGGTTGAGGCACCATAGTTTTTCTAGCTGTGGTTCCTGAAATCAAGGCGATGTTTGGTATACTTCCTCCTGTCGGTTGAAGCACCATAGTTTTTCTAGCTGTGGTTCCTGAAATCAAGGCGATGTTTGGTATACTTCCTCCTGTCGGTTGAAGCACCATAGTTTTTCTAGCTGTGACGTTCTTGACATCAAGACGATGTTTGGTATACTTCCTCCTGTCGGTTGAAGCACCATAGATGTTCTAGCTGTGAAGTTCTTGACATCAAGATGATGTTTTGTATACTTCCTCCTGTCGGTTGGAGCACCAGAGATGTTCTAGCTGTGAAGTTCTTGACATCGAGGCGATGCTTGGTATACTTTCTCCTGTCGGTTGAGGCACCATAGTTTTTCTAGATGTGAAGTTCCTGACATCCAGATGATGTTTGGTATACTTCCTCCTGTCGGTTGAGGCACCATAGTTTTTCTAGCTGTGGTTCCTGAAATCGAGGCGATGTTTGGTATACTTCCTCCTGTCGGTTGAGGCACCATAGTTTTTCTAGCTGTGAAGTTCCCGAAATCGAGGCGATGTTTGGTATACTTCCTCCTGTCGGTTGAAGCGATGTTTGGTATACTTCCTCCTGTCGGTTGAAGCACCATAGTTTTTCTAGCTGTGGTTCCTGAAATCGAGGCGATGTTTGGTATACTTCCTCCTGTCGGATGAAGCACCATAGTTTTTCTAGCTGTGGTTCCCGAAATCGAGGCGATGTTTTGTATACTTCCTCCTGTCGGTTGAAGCACCATAGTTTTTCTAGCTGTGAAGTTCCCGAAATCGAGGCGTTGTTTGGTATACTTTCTCCTGTCGTTTGAAGCACCATAGTTTTTCTAGCTGTGAAGTTCCCGAAATCGAGGCGATGTTTGGTATACTTCCTCCTGTCGTTTGAAGCAACATAGTTTTTCTAGCTGTGAAGTTCCCGAAATCGAGGCGATGTTTGGTATACTTCCTCCTGTCGGTTGAAGCACCATAGTTTTTCTAGCTGTGAAGTTCCCGAAATCGAGGCGATGTTTGGTATACTTCCTCCTGTCGGTTGAAGCACCATAGTTTTTCTAGCTGTGAAGTTCCCGAAATCGAGGCGATGTTTGGTATATTTCTTCCTGTCGGTTGGAGCACCATAGATGTTTGCTGTGACATCGTAGTTGTTGATAATCTGTTTCTAGATACACATTCTCACTTAATCCGAGGTCAAGTTTATGTTTCACAGAACAACAGCTGTCCGGTGATTGTCCATTCACTTGAACCGACCTTGACATCGGCAGACTCATCGCCTTTCATAACAGCCAGTAGTTCTTTTGTTTTTGTCATTTTACTTTTTCAACAAAATGCTTTAACAGCTTGCTATTGACGTAGATACTGTACATCTAAAGGATATGTTCGGGAACACAGGTCTTCCGATGTCAATATTTATACCCCTCTAAATGTCTATTCGATTAAACCCCAGTAACATGTATATTTGCGATCTAATTCTACATCATTACACCCTCCTTACGGAGTGACAAATGATGTATTCGACCTGTCAATATTGTCTCTTGTAAGTATCTGAACTGGAAGTGATAGATCGTCATCTAGGAATGAAAATAATGGTTACTATGGAACATACTAGGTCAGGCAGTTTGTCAACTGCCGACTGACTATGGTTTTTAAGATTTTGTTATTTTTCTTTTTTCGTTCAAAGTAGTGAATATATTGCAGGACCCTTCTGTAAAATATAAGTACAAAAAAGATAGCAGAGTAGCTTATATAGATAATGTATTTCAATGTTTATATTTCATGAATGGTTTTTACAAACATTATTGGCGCCAGAGAAAATGCTACTTTGTGTATGTTTAAACAGCATTAATAAGATCAAGATGTATCGAAATTTTCATGTTTATAGGAAGTAGAAATAAAAAAAAAACACGGCCCCGCTGAGGTTCGAACTGACGACCCGTTGGTTTCTACTCGAAAAATCTACTGCTTGACTAAAGGGAAATTCCTACTTAACCGAAGGTAGTAAGGTATGGATCACAAATCATTTATGACCGAATCAAAATCAATTTCACCTGATGTACATTTCATACAGCACAGTAAAACCTGATGTACATTTCATACAGAACAGTTTTTTACAATAAAATAGTCGATAATTATAAACGTTGTATTAAACTGACTCCGGTTAACAAAAAAGACGTTTTAAATTTTCTGGGATTACAAGTGTTCTGTCGATATTCACACCAGTCAGCTAGGAAATATATCCGATTTTCAAAATTGGTACATTCCTTAATTTCGTGTATGTTTTTCAAGTTGTTAACTTTAAACAAAGATCTGGCTCTGTATTTTTCATAAGAGGTTCTTTCTTATCCAATTCAGTGTCTTCCGTCTTCTCCACAACCTGTTTGTCTGTATAACACCGAAATAAGTCATATCTTTTAGATATCGTCCCGCAAGTAAACAGCCGCTCCGTTACATAGGACACGCCAATGATGGAGAAGAGAGAACACAGCATTGCGAGAGTTTTAAAAGGGAAAAGCTGACCATATTCTTCATGGTACATAGGATAATTGATTAAGGAACCGATATTGAGGAACGGTTCTCCACCTGCAACCCGGAGGAACATACCGATGATAAAGCCAGTTAGACTGCCGTATGTGTTAGCGCATTTAACATAGAGGACGCAGACAAGCTGCGGAAACTGCACGACATACATCAGGTCAGCACACAGTATAAACAATCCGTACACGCTGCCCACTGTGAGGGCAATAATAGCTCCAACAGTGCCCACAACGATTATGGTCACGCGAAGGACCCATACAATCTCTCGCTGAGTTGCCTGGAATTCAACAAATATAGAAGGTATTAGAATTTCAATATGGTATATGGTAAAATAAAAAAAGTACATCATCTGATCATATGTGATGATAACGAACTGCGACAAACAAAACACACACACACCCTCACTCACACACCCTCACACACACACACACACACACACACACACACACACACACACACACACACACACACACACACACACACACACACACAAACACACAACAATCCTCCCATCTTAAAAAAAAACAAACAAGAAATACCCAATAAAACACAGAAACAAAAACCAAGAAACTCTAAAAGACCCCGATATAAAACCACGGCCTTAGATATAGCAGTCTGTTTTTAAAAAAAACCCAAATATTTGGTAAAACGAGACATTTGCATGATTTAGCATTACCTACAGAAAAATTATGTACGTGTAACAAACAAACGTCCATTATAGGTAATCCTAATTTACCTTCGGTCGGAATATATTTTTGTATATATTATTTGCAAATACAGTTCCTGTAGCGAGCACACAGGAATCGGCCGAAGACATAACAGCTGCCGAGACGGCCCCTATACCGACGATGGAGACGGACATAGGGCAGAGGTACTGAAGCACCATGGGGAAAATATGTGTCCACTGTTGGTATTCCAGCGGTATGTTGCCATTGTAGTCAGTTGCATTCCAATCTAAGAAAGAGAAACCATTTTATAGAATTGTACAATGCTCGGTGGTGCGATTTTCATTGAATCGAAATGAATCACTGGCTTCAAATAATTTTTTGGATATTTTCGGTGAAACATGGTATGGTGACTAAAAGGATACAAAAGCATCGCTTATGTAGGCAATATTACATACATGATAAGGGTAGCTAAGGAGTAGGCGTACCTGCAGCAGAACCTATGACCCCGACGATAGCAGGAGGAATCGCAAGGAGAAGAGAGATGACGGCAGCTAACAGAGTAGCATTCCGAGCAAGCGTTGGACTCTTACAGGCCAACACACGCTGGTACAATGCCTAATCCAAGAAAGGTTGTATTATTATCCAACATATTGTTTAAACTCACTCAACAGTGACTCGGTTACCTGCGTATGAAATAGGACATTCGTCATAAGACGCAAGACCTCTGATCATTACCTTTCTTTTTGTGTGACATTTGACAGTGTCCTCTATATTAACATTAGCAATAAATGACCTTTCCGATGACCTTTCCGATTGTCTCAATGTAGAACATTTGAAGGTTACCGCTATATGTTCTTTGAGGTCGTTCCTACCAATGACCTTTAACTGATTGCCTCTATATGACCTTTCTGGTCGTCCCTACCTATGACCTTTAACTGATTGCCTCTATATGACCTTTCTGGTCGTCCCTACCTATGACCTTTAATGATTGCCTCTATATGACCTTTCTGGTCGTCCCTACCTATGACCTTTAATGATTGCCTCTATATGACCTTTCTGGTCGTCCCTACCTATGACCTTTAATGATTGCCTCTATATGACCTTTCTGGTCGTCCCTACCTATGACCTTTAATGATTGCCTCTATATGACCTTTTAGGTTGTCTTTACCTATAACCTTTGTTGATCGGCTCTATTTGATTTTTTCGGTCGTCCCTACTTATGAGCTTGTTGCCTCTACATGACTTTTTTCTGATACGAATAATGACAAGGTATCTAATGTTTTTTGTAATAATAACTAGAAAGTATTTTATAACAGATAAAACCATTTAATGTTACAATGTATTTTTATATTAATTACAGATCATGTGATAGCAGCTACAAAGTATCTAAATATAACTGAAACCATCTAATGCTACAAAGTGTGTAATTATAACTTGAACAATCTACTGCTACAAAGTGTCTTATATAACTGAAACCATCTACTGCTACAAAGTATCTAATATAACTGAAAACATCTACTGCTACAAAGTATCTTATTATAACTGAAAACATCTACTGCTACAAAGTATCTTATTATAACTGAGACCATCTAATGCTACAAAGTGTCTTACTATAACTGAAACCAACTACTGCTACAAAGTATCTTATTATAACTGAAACCATCTAATGCTACAAAGTATCTTACTATAACTGAAACCATCTAATGCTACAAAGTATCTTACTATAACTGAAACCATCTACTGCTACAAAGTATCTTACTATAACTGAAACCATCTACTGCTACAAAGTATCTTATTATAACTGAAATCATCTACTGCTACAAAGTATCTTACTATAACTGAAACCATCTACTGCTACAAAGTATCTTACTATAACTGAAACCATCTACTGCTACAAAGTATCTTATTATAACTGAAACCATCTAATGCTACAAAGTATCTTACTATAACTGAAACCATCTAATGCTACAAAATATCTTACTATAACTGAAACCATCTACTGCTACAAAGTGTCTGATAATATGAAATCGTTTCTCATGGTAACCAAATATAACTTATACTACCACATATATCTATATCCTGCACCGAAGTTGTTGTCTTACCTGCCAAGGCATTCCTCCCATAATCAGCATACAGATTGTATCTATGTAAACTCCTATCATTTCTGGTTCCAGATTTCCAGCCCATGACTCCTTCACACGTGACAAATCAACAACAGGATTCTGGAGGCCGAATGGTATCGCTAGTAGCTGTCAAATCAAATGGTGTGATTTTATTGAGACAGTAAGTTATATGTGAACGCTTTGACTTTGCAGTATACAGGACAGAAGTCTTTGTCGAAATCATTGTGAGGGTCGGTTACATTTGAGTAAGTTACAATAGAAAACTTCATGATTTACATATAGATCAAACAACAAGACGCTAAAACCACTGTGACAAAATTGTGAAAAGCAATGAAGGTATAAAATATTATCTAAAAAACACTGTTAAAACATAACCAAACAAACAAATACACAAAATGAAAACAAACAAACAAACAAACAAAACACAAAAAGAGAGAGAGAAAAAAAACAAAAACAAAACCCCCCAAAAATAAACAAAAAAACAAAAACAAAAAAAAAACAAAAACAAAAACAAAAAAACAAAACAAAAAGAAAACGAAATCAAACAAAAAGAAATAAATTCAAGCTCTGATAAAATGTTTGACATCATTTTAAACATTTCGTATTTAAAGACAGCAAAAGTTCTAAATTCTATAGTGTTACGGACTAAACAATCTGATACAAAACCTTCATATAAAAGTGATACGAGGTTGTACCAGCCACTGCCCCAGGCTAAAATCCCGCTTGCTGTGAGAATAATTGTCTTGAAAGAATATATTAAGGGTATCTGAAGAGGTTATTACACAGGCGCTCCAAACCCATTGAAATGATGATAGATTACCAGGTAGTGTTACAACATTACTGGTTATAATACATACCTACATATGTGTTATACTGTTACCTACCACACACTCATATAAGTGTACCATTCTGGTTCTAATTTCAGCCTTACGTCCCAAAACGGAATTCATTAAAGCGTTCTGGATGATGATGGGGTCCCGAAACGGAATTCATTAAAGCGTTCTAGATGAAGATGGGGTCCCGAAACGGAATTCGTTTAAACGTTCTAAAAGAAGATGGGGTCCCGAAACAGAATTCATTAAAGCGTTCCAGAAGAAGATCGGGTTCCGAAACAGAATTCATTAAAGCAGAAACAGAATTCATTAAAGCGTTCCAGAAGAAGATCGGGTCCCGAAACGGAATCCATTTAAGCGTTCCAGAAGAAGATCGGGTTCTGAAACAGAATTCATTAAAGCGTTCCAGAAGAAGATCGGGTTCCGAAACAGAATTCATTAAAGCGTTCCAGAAGAAGATCGGGTCCCGAAACAGAATTCATTAAAGCGTTCCAGAAGAAGATCGGGTCCCGAAACAGAATTCATTAAAGCGTTCCAGAAGAAGATCGGGTCCCGAAACAGAATTCATTAAAGCGTTCCAGAAGAAGATCGGGTCCCGAAACAGAATTCATTAAAGCGTTCCAGAAGAAGATCGGGTTCCGAAACAGAATTCATCAAAGCGTTCCAGAAGAAGATCGGGTCCCGAAACGGAATCCATTTAAGCATTCCCGAAGAAGATCGGGTTCTGAAACAGAATTCATTAAAGCGTTCCAGAAGAAGATCGGGTTCTGAAACAGAATTCATTAAAGCGTTCCAGAAGAAGACGGGGTCCCGAAACAGAATTCATTAAAGCGTCCTAGAAGAAGATGAGATCCTTGCACTCGCTTAACTTTCACATCCATACCTACATATTTCTCTCTGAATATATTATGTATTTGAAAATTAGTATATAGCTATCTAACATTTGAACTATGACCTTTACCGAGGTATTTGACGAAATCAACAGGTTTGTATGACATTTACGTCTTATTTGGTAATTAATAAAACAAAAATGAGAAAAGAAAACACGAGAAAACTGTTACAAACAAACAGTCTATAATAATGGTTATGTAACAAATTTTTCATTATCTATTGTTGTCATTACAATATTTTTCTGCCTCGAGGAGGTCAAATATGGCGCCATCTTTCCTGCTGTGATAGTAGACCGACCCCGACATAAGAAGTGAAGTGGAGATAACAATGATGATTATTTTTTGTTACACATTCCGATCTAACATAAAATTGATCACATTTTCCAGTAGAATGACAATTCTAGACATCGAATGATATTCTGAACACAGTGACCAACCATCTCGGATATAAACATTGTTCAATTTTCGGCTTCTGTATAATTTTTTCATCATGTAACTTTATGTGACTAATAGACAAGTCAAAGAAGTTATGATATATATATAAATGTGAAGGCTGAATGTCAAATTTACAAGCCACAGACAATGGGAACATTTAGTACGATGGAGACGCACTGGATGCCATTATCATACTCATCGACAGGAAAGATGATTGAAGTTATATATAATGATCTATTTACATGTATCAGGTTTGACTTTTCAAACCCATGTATATCACATGGACTGTTGTCTAGTAGATGTAATATGGAACGATTTAGGGTAAAGACTATGGTGGTATTTTATCCCGTGCAAAATGAACATAACTGCCATCGTACTTAACATGGGTCATGGAAGCAACGCTGATTTAAAGTCAGATGAGTACAGCGGAGATTGTTCGTTAGTATAATAGGTTACAAACCAATGAAGCGCCTTGTTTCAACAATTTAGAATTAAGATATATGTTTCTTCTGATATCATGAAGTGTGAAAAACATACGTGTATGGGGTCATAGAGGACGCTACCTACCAAGCCAACTGCCATGAAGAAGAGCTGTATGACGTCAGTGTAAGCTACGGCGTAGAGACCACCGAAAAAGGTATAGACGACGGCCACACAAGCAGACACGATAACGGACATGGTCATATCAAGACCAAGAACTATGGAAAGTGTCGTACCTAGGAACCGGAAATACGTCATAACATAAGTTCAATACAAGAAAATGACTGATATTGATATCAAACATATCTAAAAACCAACAATAGTGCTTAAAACAAAATATTAACACAAAATAATGAGGACGTTGTGTAACTCCTTGTAGTATTTTGAAAGTATTTTAACATTAAATCGATATCAGGGATAAAAAAAATTCTTAATGAGGTGTCGAATTAGTTTAAAGTTCATCTCGGAAGTACAATATTAAATACACGATGGTTAGTTTTATGATACCTAAAGCTCCTAGTATGGCTGCCTCCCAAAATAAGTCTCCCATCAACTCGGGGAAGAAGAGCAGACCGCCCATTTTCTCGCCATACTTTTGCTGGAACGGGTCAAAGATGGTCGAGTATTCCATACGCCGGACTTTAGGTGCAATTACTACACCAGCTAAAACATAAAAAAAAATTAATATAAAACCAAAGTACACATCTTTAAACAAATCTGACTGAAAAAAACACGTTTAAATATTTACCATTTCCAGTAATATTTGCAATATTTACGCCAATGATAATACATATTTCAGGGTGGTTAGGAAATTCCTGCTGTGCTTCAAGGCATTGTTGTATTTGGTACGAAGAATTTCAAACACATGATTTGGACTTCGAATTGATAATTGATGTGTTTATCATTCAGAATAATTCACATTATATCAGTACAAAAACTTATCTGTTGTCTTCTGTAAAAGTACTTAATTTGGTACTATCAAATTTTCGCGCACTGTTTTAACAAATCAGCGCAATGATTAATTAGCACATATGTATTCTACTGTATTCCAAACCCACGTCTGTATTATTACACTCAAATGATACATTCATCACAATTGTCTTACCAATCGCCATGCCAATATTGTAGCCTATGGGTCCGATCGCCCAGACCAATCCGTCTCTTCCCATAGCCTCGGCTGTTCCGTTGATATAGCCACCTCCGACCATGGTAGCTAATGGAAGGTAGAACGGTTATACTATACCATTAAACAATTATATTGCTTGATCGCTTTTTTAAAAAAAATGTTCAATACAGGAAAATTCCTGCAAATAGCAAGTTCTGCTAAATCCAGTGTAAAATGTCCAGATGAAATTTGTACGTGGAAAATATTGAGAAATTGGAATCTAGTACTTACCAGCTGTGGTGAAACTGGCCACAAACAGACCGAAGCTCCTGTTGGCGACGAAGAGTTCCTCAGCATCATTGGTTTTTGTACTCTTACGTCCAGCAACGATGCCAATGATGAGTATGATTACATAAAACACTCCTATAACCACCAACCCGATAACGTTCACTGCCATCTTTCAAGGGTTCGTCCTCAAAATACGAAGATGAATATTTTGTCGAGGCCGAGATCACCTCCAGGTCTATGCGGGTGCCCTCTTTAAAGATATGATAAACTGTATAGTAATTTGATATGGAAATAAACGTTGTGTATGTATGTCACGTAGTAGGAGAGATCTGTGCTGTAGCCAGTAGCCAGCAAAAACACTGTGACACGAACATTTTGGTTTAAGCGAAATGAATGCACAGAGTGTACACCTACAGAGAAATTAATGATTTACAAGAATATTTGCAAAAACAATCGCTCAGTCGCGCATTCACAATCATTTGAAGCTAAAAACATTGTCAGATATGTGAACACATAACCTGATATACAGGATATTCAAATACCTAACTTGGGATCGTTTACGCTACAGTGTTACACTTATAGATAAATAGAAACTTTGTGCCATTATTAATTCAGCCAGGAGTAAATTACGCAGTTTCAACAGACAAACTCTAGGTACATTTAGTGCAAATTTCCTCCATGCGTAAAATTCTACATTGACAGTCTACAAATAAAATGCGTATATTGACAGACAGAAGGACAGACAGCCTGACAGACGGACAGACAACAGACAAACATACTTTCCTTATTTCCCCTTTGTAGAAATTTACATGGGCTGTCTCCTATGTTTTACATCAAATAATGATATAGACACTTTAAAAAATCACAGTAGAGTGTCCATAGTCTACATGCCGCAGTTTTTCTCTCAGACCGATAAGATAATTTTATAAGTTCTCCATGTAATTACTAATACCTAACTATTAGTATATGTTACTATCGATACTTAACTTTTAGTATACATAACTATTTATACTTAACTACAAGTGTGAGTTACAATCAATCTATGTCAATTACAGAAGAGAGTGTTTGTTGGATCTATATTAGGTAGCATATCTACAGACCATCACAGAAGTGTGATGTAAACATTATAACTCTTTAATCATTCAAATAGTACTCTTACTTTTACAATTAAACGCATAATTGATATTCAATTCACATCAATATCTTGTTGTTTCGATATACTATTTCTCAAAGTGAAGTAACAAGGAGAACAAATTTTGTAAGGCTGTTAAACATTGGAGGAAATACGCAAGAGAATGCATAATATCTAGTATGCTTCACCCATTTAATAAAAAATACCATACCTGACATTATAACATATCTAAGTATATTTCATTGCGAATATTTTGTATTGTGAGATGGTGAATATGTCCATGTGTAATCTTCTCTCTCTGTCGTGATGTAATGTTGTTCACGATCTTCTTCGTCACGCGGAGATCTGACGAAGACTAATTTGATTGGCTGTACCAATGTTTCAGAGTCGATCATCCACCAACCAATCGAACAGCTGCTGCAGGATTTTTAACATCACGACGGAACGTTCTTCATTAGAATATATAGGAACAACAAAGATATCTAGAAGTGGCTGATCCAGTGGGCAAATCTGTCAAGTCTTATACATTGTGCTTTATTTTTCATATCCTCTCATCGAATATGACTGAAGCCATTCTAAGGAAACACATTTCGTCGTTGTCCTAAAACAGTCTACTTTTAGAAAATGTCACCCATTTGGAGCGACATCAGATCACTGAATGACGATGAAAGCAAAGTGTAGGCGAACTTTATTTTTTGCATAATGATGTATAGGGGGTATATACTAATAACGATGACGAAGTGAACACTTCATATGTTATTACAACATACCCAGTCTACAATATCAAGTATCCTATGATAAATATATGCTTATATCTGACTTATGGATAAAACAACATTTAAATAATTATATTACCAACATGTATTACAAATGATTACATAATTTTAAATATATCTTATGATTGTACAAAACACACAGCAGTGATTGGTGGCTTTTAACACATATTTTAACTGCATCACTCAGCTGATTCGTCTTTCCAGAACTAGTCAGTAATGACAGGGGCCTAACGTGCTAAAACATATAAGACGACAGAGGATTTAGAATTTTGTCGAAAAATATATGAAAATTTAGATAGGAAGGTTATTAGACCCAAACTAAAATTATTTTGAAATATCATAATACAATCTTAGAAAAGCGTCAGGTGCTGGCGGATATTTTGAACCGAGTCGTTATTCGAATGAATTAAAACGTGATATTATGATCATACTGACTAGGTAAAATAGTTGTTATCAGGTAAGATATACCTATCTTTTAAACAAGTGTCATCAGCGTGATACTTCAACTTTGTTACCAAGTTTGTTTTCTCATGGATCACATACCTGCGCAGTCGTCGGTTGATGTGCCGTGAACTTTACAGAATTGTCCTCCTCTGCCAGGTTAAAATACCAAATCAATTTATGTGTGAAAGGTCAAGTTGAACATCACATTAAATGTCCTACGCGCCAACTGACACTGAATCTAGAATGAGACTATAACTTATAAACACATTATTGACTTACCTAATATGGAAGCGATAATGAACTGTTAATCTTGACGCGAGACGTTGTTCCTATGTTAACGACCTTTTTCACTGTATCATATCATTACACGGGTATGGTATATGTATCGTCTTACCTGTAGATATGAGATAACGTCTGTGTCTGTTTTTTATCTTATATCTTTTACAAGTCTACCTAATGCTGAAAGATAAATGTAAATCAGATTTATCTGATTCCGAAATAGAAAGGAAAACAATTTTTATCCCGGATCAAACCAAATGTGAAAAATGTTAGTTCAACGTCCTGATATACATTATATATTCACTTTTTTCTTTTCCTTTCTAGTACAATATTTCTACCGTAATTACAATGTTAAGTTGCGGTTCCTTAAATATTAACATATATATAACTTGAGATTCGTTTTGGCGACATAGCATTTGATAATTTATTGCTTTACTATTTTTCTCATCAGTTCATAAATTCGTTTTCTAGATTTCGCTTGGGTAGCAAATTGTTTAATTTTTAGTAAAAGAAACACAACAAAGTTTGCCTGAATATGTGTCTCAGCTTATGATCACCAATTATAAATGTTTCAATCTAAATGTATTCATAAACTTTATATCTTAAACAATATTAAACAAAATCGCGAAAAAACCGAATCAACTGTGACCTGTAAAGACAATAGGTTGAGGATTTAGTAATACTGCTATCCAGAAATGGAAAATTAAATGGAAAACGACAATTGAAGTCATTATGCATATCATACTGTCTGTTTTGGTTTCGTTGCAGATAAAGATCGAGATAAGCTGCTGATGTAGTAGAGTTTAGATGTGGTCATTAAATCTCATGTTATTTAAAGGAAAGACATCACTGTATCTGAAAGTGAAAAAGAAGGATTTTAAAGGATTTTGGGACCTGTTTTGATAAGCTCTTCGACAAATTCAACCATGTATGGTAATAAAAACAAGTCGGCCAACAGATGGACTCGCATTTATTGGTATGCCAATAGCCTATTGGAAGATCTTACCACCAAACACGACGAAGATGTTGTCAACTGGAAACGAAATTCACTTCAGTATACACAACCATATATTTGTACCTCCGTTCAAAGAAAGCCCTCATAACAAAAGAAAGAAAGCACATTTTAAACAAATTTAAAGTTAATTAAACAGCATCATACAGCTGTCTCGTCCTTCTAGGGCTCGTCGGTGATGCTAATGGCCGACATTTTGAAGCATAGGAAACGACTGAAGAAAATCCAAGGTGATCGAAAGAAAATGTAAAATCTAAATGGGTAGGTGAACTAGCCCTATGATTGAAGAATTTAATAATTACGAGTTGTCAGGTAAATGGCAGTCACATGTGCTTAAGATCAACACTGTAAACCTTGTCTGTATTGGACCTGAGATAGCAGGGGTAGTAAACAGAGAAAAATCTTTCACGGTCTTTCCGTTTCATCCTTATGGTAATCGGGTCATGGTTGTCTGCCTCCAATGACTGCTCGGTTTTTCCTCTTTATATGTAGGTAAATGTTGAATAGTATTAAGAAATCCGATACATTTTAAAGGAGATCGGGAATTGCTGGTATAAATATTTATATATGCTGGTTAAGCTGGGTAACATTGGATGTATCAAAACACGACATCTATAGATATAACAACGTAAAGGTGAGCGTGCCATTTTCTCGCACTTGAATATTGTAAGAGTGGTATCAAAGACTGCGTGACTTGACTTTATATGCTACTGTGCATTGTGGTTTGTATTTATGTTTAATCAAGGTCTTCTGTATGTTTAAAAAGAAGGTGTGGATATGTAGGATGTACATGGTCACAGCTAAAACTGAATATGAAGGACTCGAATAATTTTTGTATTCTGTTTTGAAAAAAAAATTATTGCAACTAACGAATCTTCTCGTTCATTGTAAACCTACAACAAATGTATTGACCACGTTCATCCTAAATATGCCAACAGAATCGGAAATTAAGAACACGACAGACATTTCTACTTCAGCCACTAACGGGGACAGATTTCAACCAAGCTGTATAAAGTCTGATGCTTTCAATTTTCATATTGTGAATTTTTCAATTTTCAGATAGGTGAATATCTGTTTCCCACACCTGTGATTTTTACGGGTTACAGTTGAATCGGTTTCGAGGGTTTGTGTCCTATATCTCTGTGCCCGTAGAAAATGTCGAAAACTGACAGATAAATTCTCAACACATTGTTTAAAGAGATATTACAGGCTGAGGAAAATCATATGGTAGTTTCATGGTCATCCCAATGGCTTTGGTGGGAATTATTAAATTTCCTTTTGGGATGTGAAATTGGATATCGCTTGCTTCCATGATGCTTTACCCTGACGAAACACGTGTTCTTCCTTTCTCAGTACTTCCTTGCTGTTTATATTTTGTCGTTCTATCCATCAAATTCTGATGTTATATATGATTTTATCAATGCATTCTGACCATTAGAACATGTTTAAGATTTTTGATTAATGCATTTAAATTTTTCCGTCACTGGTTCGTTGTTGCTAGTAGATATATTTAGAGTGAACAAATGCATACTGTAAACAAGGGAGATAACTCGCATTAAAATTTTGGTCACTTACGCGACTGTTTCGTGTTAAGTATAGTGTGTTGATGGTTCAGTGATTAGATAAATTACGTGTTTTTGGAATAGGAAAATATTTCAATTTGAAGCCGTAATTAGTTTCTGTAGAGTGTACCACTATGTACTGAGTATTATGATATCTTTGTGTGTGTGGATAATTAATTTGGAACCTTTCATTAAACTGAGCAAAAATTCAAAAGTTAAAATGTGAATGTCTATCGGTAAAATAATAAGAATAAAAAAAAATGTAAAATTTATGAAAAATTACAGCATGAGTTCTTCAGCGCATAAAAAAATCAATTTTTTCGTATCACTATAGATAATGTTACAAGAATGTTAAAATGAAAAAAAACCCCAACATATAAGGAATTCATACTTGTGTTTCTGCGTAGTTCTGACATAACATCTGTCTGATTTGTTCTGTTTAATCAGCCATCCTACGTCCGAATGATATACAACTAGCTCAGAATTAACCTACTACCTGTACAATATCAAACGTGATTCATGTCAACCTCTGGATGAAGGATTCTCATGAAGAGATAGGAAAAAAAAGAAGTGTGCTATATTAGTGTCTCCCACGTATTCGATGGACTATATCTGTTTGCGATCATGACAAAATCCGTAATCTGTTAAGAGTATTTCTCGTCTAGGAATGGTGTTCATATGGACGAAGTACCTGCACAATGGAGTTTAATTCATTATTCAGTTCACCTTGGTCTAAGTCTTTACTGTCTTGTGTGATTTTTGGGTACCCTTTTTGTCTTAAACGCTTGATCTGCGTTTCCATGACACCGCGATGAAACTTCTTGAATGCCTGTAATTGCTTAGTGTTGAGAATAATAAGTATTAACTATGATTTGATGTATCATGTATATCTTCATGAATAGTTTTGATGATTTATAACGCTTATAAACTCAAACAAAATTCCAAACACAGTCAGTTGTAAAATTTTATTATTGAAAAAAAAGACTACAAATTAAGCTATACATAACAAATTATATTTGAAATATTATTTCTGTTTTAATATTGCTAAAATTCATAACACAATTCAACCAAATCAAGTTTCCTGTGATCCTCCAGTATTTTTTGTTATCTCCCAAGATACGAATCTGTTTTTTTTATTTTTTTGAAAGTTATGAAGTCAAAAAAGGGAAGGACTTCTGTTAATCAACCGCGGATAGGCACACATACCTTGATGTTACACATGTTTTATCGCTTTCTATAACGGACCTTTTCTTTTGAGAATTAATACGATATTGTTTGAACCAAGTGAATGTGACATTACTAACCATATCACTTCATCATATTATGAGGTGATGGATTTTTTTTTTTTTTTGCACGGAATTCGGATTTTGTACTCGTCCATGCTATTATCATGCTCTTGTAAAGGTCACGGAAAAATCTGTATTTAACATTTTAAGCATGTTCTCGACTTAATATAGTCTTTCCTATACTCAGGATATCAACCCTCTTTTTGGCGGCACAAATAAGTATAATAAAGGCCTTTTCACCTTAACATTCAACAATGCAAATTCGCAGTAGATATGTGGAATACCAGAGTCAAATTTCCGATAAACATCAAAACGAGTGATGTTAAAATTCTATACTACATCTCTCGTGCAAAATGTCACAGAGCGCGCGCTCTCCCCCACTGTGCGATACTCTCCGTTATAGTGTAAAGATGAGATCACATCACTACTCATTCATTCGAAGTTGGTAAGTTGGGTTTTGTTGCTTAACTCTACCACATCCGAAGTTACTTTTAATCTCATTCTTGAGAATATTAATTCCGGATAATGACCAGTCTTTCTGACCAAGACTTAAAAACTAGAAAGTCATTGTTTACTTCCGGAAACATAATCGCTCTCTAATCACGTGTGGTAAGAACACATGTGGTCTGGATACAGGACAGTGGAGGCATCACACATTACCTAGCTACGATGCAGCTAGATTGTAAACCTGTATATAACACTGGGATAAACGATTCACATATGTATGAGGTCAAACCACTAGACGCTGTCACCGTGGCATGCATACTCATCAACACGTTTGTTGTACTGTATAAAGGTAAACACGACATCGATCAAACTGGTAAGGTCTTTTGACAAACGGATAGTCTCCACAACATCTTCCAGTCGTTACATCACCACGGAATTGGCATCTTTGTTACAATAGGACAATCTTAAAACATATTTGCTCGCCGGTCTCGCCTGTTTTGTTATATTTTTCTTTTTTTTTCGTAACACAGTTGATAAACCCGGATCATTTGCATTACCGTTCCTTGGTAATTTCTTTAATATAGCTCTTCAGGGGAAACGAAACAGGTTGTACAGACTCCAGAAAATATAAGGAAACAGTTTTAGATTGTACCTTGGACGGCGTTTGATCGTTATCATTTGGGGTTTTAGATATTATCAACAATGCATTCACCAAACAAGCAGACTCGTTCAGTGATTGTCCAAACGACGGTACAAGGATTTGGTCAAATGGACACACTTGGAAGGTACTTTGAAGATTCCTGTTACAGCCAATGCGAGATTTCTAGAAGAAAGAAATTTAGAAGAATGTAATGTTCTGTGAGGAATGGCAAATAGAATCACAAGCATTCAGTAAAAGGGATCTGTACAGACACGCTGTATCAAACGTCACACACACCATTATATTTGGGAAATGATGTGATCACAATGACCCAGCGTTTCGGAACGTTATCGACAGAAACAGTTTGTTATTCGACATGTCACTTGGAGGTAATTCGCAGACAACTTTTAGGCCATTGATGAAACCAGAGACATATATAACACAACATGTGTTATATATGTCTCTGCTGAAACAACATAACCAGTACACAGAGGCGCAAGTGAAATAGCACGCGTCATCTTTTGACGAAAAAAAACATATGTGATTTCAACAACACCTATCTTCATGCAAAGAACAATGATAAGGCTATAGACATCATCACACCGAGTTGTTCTGAATCTGTTTAACGCCGGAACAGGCACTACGACAGCTTCGTTGGATTGGTCATCACTATGCATGATCAACTAACCGGATGTACAAGGCAAATGTGAACGATAAATTGATGAAATAGTTGGTCACGGACGTCAGGTATAAATATTGGACAAATTTCAACTGCCTTATGTAGAAGCGACTTTACTTGAAATTCAGCGTCGGACAAATGTGGCCATTGCGTGTCTTCCGCATGTAGCGACACGTGACTCCATTGTAGGAGGTTATCGTATGCCTGAGGGAGCTATTGTTATAGAACACCTTCAGGTCACATAGGAAGATTCTAGTTGCTTGGATGGTCCGCTTGCGTTTAAACCTGGCCGGTTTTTTTTTAGATTCGGACGGTAAGATAAGGAATGATGATGCTTTCATGCCATTTTCTTTTGGTCCACGTGCCTGTCACGGTGATCCTCTTACTAAAAAAGTGATGCTATTGATGTTTTGTAACATACTTCAGAGGTTTAATTTTAGACGATGTTTTGTCACACGAAGGAGATCACGGGATATCTAGGACACCGAAGCCTTATCAATTAAGGTTTTTCCTCGGAAGTAAAATTATCGCGAATTCTTGTTGATCTTAAGTAGTGTCGAAATACTGGGTATAAACGCGAATGATTTTTGTACAATAGTTATTCATTAATTCAACGTTTATGAATCTCCCGATTAATGCATAATGTTCTGCATATAGTAAATTAGTTTCAAAGATAATAAAAATGCTGGTTACAACAGGATTGAAATATTAATTCTACAAGTGGACATGAAAAACATCCAAAACCTGTTCTTCAATAAGATATGTTTATAGTCCAACGAGACTTTTGTGTTACATGTCTGAAGATACATGAAAACAACGTTTGTAATAGCGTATACATAAGAATTTTTACATAAGGTGAACAAATGACCAATAAACAAACACGTCTGGTTAATTAAAAGTGTCATGTAATTTGTACATAATTAACATGGACAAAAAATGGAAGAATCATTCTTGCATAAATCTGTTAAAGCTTGATATATATATAAATCGTCCATATATACTAATGATTATTAATAAGGTTGACGAGGCATCGGATTCTTCTGTTTGGTGAATTACGCGCAACTGCTTAAGAAGAAAATTTGAAATCGGTGTCGAGCGCTGCTTTTTGTTTAGTTTAATTTCATAGATATGTTCCGCGTTGTCATTTTTGTCTATTAAATGTATTGTTTTCCGTATTCACACAGTCAGCTAAATAAAAGAGCAAATAAACACTAAAACACCAAAGCCAGAAAGTTTTATATAAAAGCATCAGACCGTAACTTAGATTAACCTATATATTAGTTAATACTTTCGTCATAATTGTGTGGAATTGACACTTAATGGCAACAATAATTCATGCATGACGTTACGATTGTATAATGTCAAAATTCTGATTAAAAATGAAAAAGTTCATGATTTACAGCTTTTTTATAATTATTATTTTCAATTACTTTTTTATTTTTACTAGATACTGACAATGAAACATAAAAACGGCATGACACAGACTGAAGTAAGTACTAAAACGTTTCGTTTACCAAAAGCTAGTGTTAATAGCTTTCTCTCATACAAGTTCATTTTCTTTTCATGTCGGCGTAAACGGATACAGTTTTGAAATGTTCACAATGCTACACATACATCATTAAAATCAATTCTGTAGTTGATATTTAAGAGGGTGAAAGTACTAGTCTCAGTCATTCTTATATTGTTTTATGTACAAACAGCTTTACGTTGGTGTAGGTGTTGATCTTCAAGGCTAAATTGAAGTGTTCTTCTCAGAAAGTACTGCACCATCATTCAAGGGTTCCGTTAAACACGGGATGTGTTCTCCATTTTCTTTTGACTCCCCTGTCCTCTGCGCCGCTTCCTCTGTGAAACATTGTAGAATGTCATATTTCTTGGAGATTGTCCCATTTTTGAAAAGTCTGTCGGTGAGGTAAGACACTCCAATGATAAAGATAAACGAGATGATCATGGTCATGGTTTTGAAGGGGAACATCTGTCCGTGCTTGTCATCGTAGTAGGGGTACTTGATCAGGGGAGGAATGAACAGGTAAGGCTCCCCACCGGTAAATCGCAGGAGCATAGCAACGATGAATCCAGACAGACTCCCATAGGAGTTGGCGAAGCTGACCCAGAGGACACAGATGAGCTGCGGAAACTGGACCACGAACATAAGATCACCACAGAGTATGAACAGTCCATAAACAGTTCCTACGGTCAAAGCTATGATGGCGCCAAGAGCTCCAACGACGACTATGGCGCCTCGTAACACCCACACAAGTTCCCTTTCAGATGCCTGAACAAAGTATGATACAACATAAATGATATATTATAGTCGTTTAACAACGTGCACGTATATGAATAATAAATAATGGGTGGTCGGGTGGCGCAGTGTTAACGCACTCGCCTTTCACCTAGCCGACCGGGGTTCGATTCCCGGAACGGACGTGAAAAGGTAAGGGGTCACCTGTCGTTTAACAACGCGCGCTGGGCCAACAAGTATTATGTTTAAATAACTTGTTTCGCAATTGTTGTAAAACAAATAAAGTTTATATTTAATAAATATCAGTAATAATAGACGAAAAATCATGTTAGGAAGAAGCATGTAAAAACATATTTCCATTTTAAGTCAACTGAAAAATTAAACATGACGAACAATGCCATGAATAAAGAGCAGATGGAAATATTTCCTCTCCAAAAACCAACGACCTACCTTTGGTCTGAAGATATTTTTGTATATGTTGCTTGCGAAGACTGTCCCGCTGGCAAGAACACACGAGTCGGCAGATGACATGACTGCAGCAGACACAGCGCCTATTCCAACGATGGAAATACCTGCAGGACACACGAACTGCAAAACCATTGGCAGTATATTTGTCCACTCTCCAAAGCTCAGCGGAAGGGTGCCTTCGTAAGAAGTTGAATTCCAATCTGAAATTAGAACAGAACATTCGGCTTGTACATTCAACATCAATTACAAGGTTTAGAAATATATCATCCAAATTTCAACATTAGAAAATATTTACACAGCGTTTAATTATAAAATAAAGCATATGGAAATTATGTTGCTCCTTTTGTAGAAATTGATATTACAGGGTGCTTTTTAATGATAAAATATAGAATTAAATGCTGAAAAGTTTTTGATATCAAGCAATTGATGTTAAAATGATCTGAAAAGAATGCATGATATATACATTAATGAATGACCTCCGTGGCTAAGTGATTATCAACATTAACATGTGTGTTCAGATATATAGATTCGTTAAAAAAATATTGACTAATATTGTTTCATCCATGAAATAGTGGCTGTAATGATGTATATGTGATAAAAGAAATACCTTACACCGTATATTTTTTATCAGTTATCTGTAAAGTTTGAAAAGGCAATATACATAATTATTATGATTGAAAATGATTTTGCTGTCATCTTGAAATTAAAGATTACAGAATTTCAAATAAATCATCACTTTAATATTTGAATTTCACAAGAATCTGAAAACAAAGCACATACATGTAAATGATGAATAAAAACTTGGATGTAAAGACACTATTGTTAGAATTATTGCAAAATATAATGACGCGAATAAAATAAGGTACATGACATCTTTTTGAGGTTTAACAATTTAAAATGAAGTCTTGTTGAGACAAAATACGTTTGAAATGAAAATTACAATTTTATAATTTCCAAAAGTTCGAAACTTTAAGAATATATAATTATTGAAAGATATATACCTGTGTGATATGATAAAGAAAATGAATTGATATAGATTGTTACTATTACATTTACAAATGATACTATGCGTTCATGAGTCTGGAAAGGACACACTATTATCCTACAACAAATATTATAAGACCTACAAAGAAATACAAGATTAAGTAGACATGTGTAGAAAGGCCTTAATTATAACAATATGATTACATTTTGCAACATGAAACGAAAAAAAAGTTTGTTTCAATTGTATACAAACTCCAGATTAGAAATACCGGAAGTGACGTCTGGTTTCCGTTAGGCGATGATGAGGCCACACGGTTGATATCCGGGTGGGCATGGAGCATCACGGTGCTCACACTCCTCTACATAGAAGAGCTCTAGAAAACATAGTCATATATTCTAGTACAACAGGAGGAAATCAACGTTGATGAGTAATATAAAGTTGGTATTCATTCTATAGGATTTGGTAATTCGGAGACAATATCAATATCAATTAAATGCATCGTGCTTAGCTTCTTGTAGCTGATATTTTCAAAGGAGATTACGTTTATTATTTTTTCTACTACATTCGTTTGTACGATAATTTCATCCTCATTGAAAAGCTGCGATCATAATTAAATTTTAAATTGCTTAGATGACGTAAATTAACGAAATTTTATTAATTTTTTAAGCATACCTACGTAGTTTATATTGGTTTTTTTACTTAAATCTCGACTCTAATCTAAATTTTTAAGTTAACGTACTTTGGTTAGTAAATAGTACATAAAGCGATTTTCTCCTGTCGTTTATCTTAAGCTTAAAGACTTGTTTGTTTTGTCGAATGAAAAATCAGAATAGAAAAAAATTGTACTCGGATAATATAATGTCACACTGTTATAACGTGTGACATGTCTTTCTTTATGCTCCTGAATATACAGACATGCATACATATATCTATATAAGGAAAAGCTCGAATAATGAAAATGATGAAAAGTCTGAGTTAACACAAAAACAACGGGTATAGGGTATAAGCAAATAGCCATCCTACGATGAATAGTAAGTGGGAAATTTACTCGCCAGTTGGTAGTTTAGTTACATCATGTTGCAGTACATTAACGTAAGTCAGATTTCACATATTGAAATCCATAGCTATTTAACTTGAAAATTAATTTATTTACTTATTTTCAAATAGTTATGTTCGAAAGAATAAAGGGAAGTTGTCTTTGTGTTGTATTTTATTTGAAAACTATGGAAAGGGTTCTTCTTCATGGAGGTTATTACCATTCATACAGAACAGAAGTATTCTGATATCACGAAAGGACAATAAAATGATATATTGATAAATATCCAGCTTGTGTCGAACTTGAAATATGCAGTTTTTGGCTATCCTTCTTTTCATAGTTTTCTACCTTTTAAAAATATAAATGCAGACTTAATCAATGATATATAGAATATTGCCTTTTCTTAGCTGCTCGTTTGTTATTTAAATACATTAATTCAAGTAGCAATAGTAATATGGGGTCCTCATTCTATCCATGATTCAAACATTGTTCACTCTTTGGCATAAGAACGAAACAGTTGTATGATGCAATTTTGGGGGCTCTACTGTATCTACCTCTAAAGTTGCTTTTCATTTGTGTATCTGTTGTTCAATCTTCGAAGGCTAAAATATTCATCATTTTACATTGCTTAACATATGTTCAATGAAACTGAATTATTAGCATCTGTCGATTTAATCGATTTATAATGGAAAAGTGACTGATATTGGTGATTTTATTGCAGTACATAAAATGCTCAGTGATGAAGAAAGTATACAGTGGAGTAAAAGAAAAAAGCTAAAAAAAAAAAAAAAAAAAACCCAAAGAAAACAAAACAACAAACGGAAAACCAATGAAGTCCTCGTTTTCTTAAAGGTAGGGAGTCGCTTCGCAGCATTTGTATTGTATCGACATTTAAATTTCCTCAATACTGATATAATGTACTGATATCAGGAATTAATAGCATGATCAGTAGAGCAAAATGTAATCATGAAGAAAATTGGACATTAACTCAGCTCGGAAGAGATCATCTTCGCTAACCCAGAGTCCTGACGCTCACGCGCAGTACGTGAGCTTCAGGACCGTGGGTTTTCGGGAACGTAAACAGATATATTTGTCGAAATATAAACTATTGTAAAATCAACATTTCATTTCATTAGCTAGAATGATTCTTTGATAAAGACATCAAACATAACACTGCGACTCCCTACCTAATAAAACGAGTATTAACAAAACATTAGAAAGGGAATGCAGAGAAAAAGTGATAATATAGATGTAAAACTACTTGGGTTTCAAAGGCAAAATGGAAAGTTAAACAAAATTCAAAATTCAAACACTTCTTTTAGGACTTGTTCAACAAAATGTGTGGAGTGACAATCTTGGTGTATCGGAATTTTACTGTGTATGTTTGGGGAAAAATAGACGAATTTATGTGTAATCTATAAATTTGTTTTCTATTTTTCAAAGAATTAATGAGAGAATAGTGAATTAGAACAGAAAAGATGATTGTCGATATTATCAAAAAAATGAAATATTAAAAACCAAAATTGATTTCAACAATGACGAACATCACTTTTGTGTTGGAAAAATGAGTATATCTTTTCCTGTTTTCAGTGAATCAAGCAGATTTTTGAAAATGTCTTTATGCTCTTTTCGTACAGAAATAAAACCAAATAACACAATTCGTATATACGGTATAATGTGCGCGTTGATTTAAGATGTTTAAGTGTTCTCAGAAGAAGGACACTCATATCTAATTTCGTGCATAGGTTTACGTTTCCCAATCACAGTTCCAAAACTATTGAAAGTCGGCTATATTGAACTCCTATGTCAGATCTTATTCGCGTTATTTCTAAACAATTCTTTCATCGAATGATTAAATGTTTTGATGGATGAACGTTAGCATTAAGTGATAATAGTATTGGAAACTGCTGATAGCATATCATCAATATATAACGCATTTTTTTCTTCTAATGAATGTCTTTTGATATTTGTTGTAGTAGACGCAGAGAGAGATACAGACGTGCTGTGATATACTTTATTATCCTATACACAGATCCTATACCGCCTACAAGCCTACACCGCTTTCGAATCTGTAAGTCAGTATTTACAAAATACTTCCAGCATTACGATACGTGTTGGAACACGTGAACAGTTTAGGATATTGTTTTACATAAGAATGAATAAATTCTTGTGAAGTCTATACCCGAATTTTAATAAATGAAATTCCAATGGCCAATAAAATACCTTAGATAATATTTTTTCTGGTAGGAATACAACAATGAGAAAATATTATATTAGAATTCCAAACTTTGTAATTTTGTAACAGTTTTATAACACAAGAAGACTTTGTGTTAGAAATCTTGAAATCAGGAAAAAACCTATCTCTTACTTTCTTTTTAAGAAGAAACGTTTGTTGTAAGAGGTCAATTGGCTTAAAAAAATTTGAAATATCAGTTGTTAATTTCAGATCAGGAATATGAGTTTTTTTTAATCATAACATTTGATGTTTAAATCATGTATTATTTGGCTGTAAATCAGTAACTTAAGAAATGTTGGTTTGAATTTTTAGATTTTAAAAAGTGTTAATATAAGTAAAAGCTCACTTTACCTGTTGCTGCTCCAGCGACGCCCAAAATTCCCGGAGGGATGGCTAGTACAAGGGCAATGCCAGCCCCAACCACAGTGGAAATTTGAGCAAGTTTGGGGGATTTGCAAGCCAGTATGCGTTGATACCATGCCTGCATTTGAAAGGTGTTTGTTTTCAAAATTGTACTAATCATAAATATATATCATGAATATATTTTTCGCGTTCTATAACATCGCTTTCACACATACACACACTCATACACACCACTACCGGTTTATGTAACAAACCGAGGTAAATTTTGAAACAAGTAAAAGAAGAAGCAAAGCGAGGTCTACCAAAACTAACGATGGGAGTGGAATTGATGATTAACCTGTCTAAAACTATCGTCAAAGCTTGATCGGTACATAGATTAACAGTTATTCTGAAATTTGAATTTTTACATGCATTTTGAGATGAAAATGTGTCATGTTAAGCCGTGGTATAGACAAATTGAGGCACACACACTCAATCCAATTTAATATAACTGTTATATCATACAAAAACAAAATTAGAACAGTTTACATAGCAAAGGAATTTATTATAAAGATACATCTAAATAAGGTATTCACTACATCTTGAAAAGGCTACAGTAAATAAAGGTAGTGGTAACACAATACCTCATTTCAGCGAAATTGTGTGAGGAAACACAATGGCAATACTCAACCAGCTTAGGTACATTAAACTCCCCTCACTTTAACGAAATTCTGTTAACAAACACAATGTAGTGACACCAGTCCAGCCTAGCAAGGTACATGAAAATTATCTCACTTTAACAAAAGTCTGTCAACACACAGTGTGGTAACACCAGACCAGCCTAGCGAGATACATTAAAGTTACCGCACTTTCACGAAATTCTGTTAACGCACAGTGTGGTAACACTATACCAGTCTAGTGGGGTACATGAAAATGACCTCACTTTAACGAAATTCTGTTAACCCTTTAGCTCCCAGCGACGCATTTCTACGCCTTTTGATGTCGGTGCTGGAAAAACGTCATATCTCCTTTATATGCGGAGGTATTGATCTACTGATTATATCTCATAAATTTGAAGAAGATGCTGCACAACTTTTGTTTTTTCGATATGGTAAATGTTTCTTTCGCTTTTGCGAGTTGAACATATAAGGCATTTTTTCCCGAACATCTTGGATCGATGACGTTGTGTACATGATGTACGTAAATGTCTATTCGCGAGTCCGGTTTGTATTCCACATATATATTCATAAAGATGTGAAGCCATGAAACATACATTGCAAAATGTTGATCATCTTGCGTTCACTTTTTGTCAGTGTCGATTTCACGTTAAATTAAATTTGTTTCAATATCCATACAAAGTTTATATTAATTGATATACCACCCAGCTTGGCATGTTAATATCATCGTCTTTTTCATACATCAAAGCTTTTGCTGTATGCAACAGGCGACAAAACTACTATAATCCTTGTTTTAAAAATGCCTACATTACTAGTCACGGTTAATTTATCTCCATATTTGCATTAACATAATATGTTGAAAATCTGACATTTTCTCATACCAAAGCGTTTGCTGATAGCAATCGGCGACAAGACTACAACAACCATTGTGTTCATTAACATGAAGTTTAACGAAAGGCTATAATTCTTCGTGGTTGTTTGAACATCGTCTTCGTCACCCACGCAGACATCCAATATCTTTTGGTCTTTAATTTTAATTACATCCATTGTAGTGAACACCCAGTAAAGTCGGAATTAAGTTTCTTATGTTTTTCCCCTCCTTCAAAACAAAATTTGTCTATGTCTCCCTTGATAATTCAGTTGAGTTTTAACGCTTTAGGTTCTGTCCCTTAGCCGAGATATACCAGAGTTTATGTAATTGGTAGGTACTACTTCCTACTATAGGCCTAATAAAAGTGTAACATTAGGTTATCTTCTTAACAATATAGTATTAATAGATGGGGGATTTCACGTTGTAATTCTAAATATACAAAGTAACAACATTAAATAAAGAAGCATCCATTTTTGTAAAGATCAGTAATAGCAACACTCCAATATATAAAGTTGACTTTATGTATTCATTTATTTAACAGGTTAAACGTACGCTATAACGGTCTTTTGATCTTTCAACATTTCAGGAGACGCGATAAATTTGGCAATCAGGTTATTATGTATATAAAACAATGTCTGTACTCAACTTACACAAGATAAATAAATCAATATTGGTGTTCCTTGCTTGTATGCTCATATTTATATCATGCCCCTCGTTTCAATTGTTTAAGCTTAATATACATGCCTGTGTTCTAATATATTTATGAATATAATTCAGGAGTTATATTCCATATCAGAAGAGAAAAATAGGTGTTTCTTGTTAATTGTTTAAGCGATGTAAACGTATAAAATGTGTATGCAGATCTTTCTTAAAAGAAGTTTAGTTTGCTATTGTAACCAGGTCAATATACACTGTGTTTGTGTTGTAGCCTTTAGCTCAGTCCAGCTGTTAAACAAAACCTTTGTCACTACCACTTAAGAAGTAAAATGAATATGCGGATTTTAAAGAACTGGAAAGATCTTTTGACTATCGAGTTGTATGATAAGAGTGGTGATTTCAATTTCCCTCTTATGAATTTCTCATTTCTGGATAGCAACATTCCTGCATGCCGCAGTTCGTTCGATATTCAATGGGCTCTTCTTTTATCCCTATTTTCCTGCAAGAAGTCATAAAATGACGACAAACTCGTAACACAGGGTTTCAATTGATGCAGGTTGATGAAAAAATGACTGGGAAGTTTTAGTCAAAAGCCGTCAATGTGAACAATTAAAAATATTCTTCTTATTTGTATGATATGAAGCTGTACCTTGTTCGAAAATGAGAACGTGACATTACTTACTTGGATTGACCAAAGTGTTGTCGATGAAGCAGATGCTTACATCGGAACACGTCTAGTCTTTGAGTAACAAGAAATTTATCGACCACGTCCATCGTATTTACCCAATAGAACTGGAATCAGAGATACGGCAGACTTTTCTATCTGCGTATTTCGATTTTTCCTACAACAAAACCAACACGGACAGCATTCTAACAAGCTTTATGATACGCGTGATGATTTCAATTTTAATTTTCCTTTCGCGAATTTTCCATTTCATGATAGCATTATCCCGGCATCTCCAACCTATGGTATATACACGTCACAGCTGATTCGATATTCAAGGTCCTGTTCCCATTATCACAATTTTTATACAAGAAGTCGTCAACTGAAGATCAAACTTGTAAGACAAGAGTTTAAAAGATGCAGGTTGATAAAAATTATGGGGAAGTTTAATGGTCGCCATAGTGATTTGATACTCGTTAGTTTTGAGAACGCGACATTACTTACTTGGATTGACCAAAGTTAACACGACAGATGTTGTCTATGAGGAAGAAGACGTTTACTTTTCTCATCGGCTTTCTCAGTAGTCTTCGTATAGACATTTCTTTTGTTCGTATTTTGCCCCTGTTTTATTTATTTGAGTTTTGGATTATGATTATCCAGACATAAAAGTATTTTCAGTTGTCTAGACATTCAAATGACCTCGCTTTTTTGTCATATTTCACTTCGTGACTATGTTGTCATGCTTTGTACCTTGGAACGTAATATGAACAAACACACATCCTTAAAAAAAAAAAAAAAAAACCCACACACAACAAACACACGAAGTAAACACGTTTCTGACAACAACAACACAGATTTTCCATTATTTTGTCACATCGCTGACAATTGATTGGGAAACACACATTTAAAGGTAACGACAAACATACGCAGTACACACACATGTCAATACATTGACGAATAGGCACACATGCACATCAAATGTTCTGATATCACATCTTTATAGACAAAAATAGAAGTGTAAACTAGAAAGAGTATCCCACTTCACCTTATTAGACAAAGTTATTAATTTTCCTGTTACGCTTTTGTCAGAACTGCAGTAAGTTTCATGGGTAATTTCCTCTTTCTTTTTTTATAAAAATGATGTGGCTCAACAAAATCTTATTGGAAAATGGAATTTGAATAATGTATTTTTAGATGTCTCCCTTGTTAGACTTCATCACAAAATTAGAAAAATTAGGTCCACGGTATATTGTTTTTATTTCGTAAGAAAATAAATCTTCTGTGAGTGTTAAGACCTGTTGTTTCATTTTTATAAGAATCACGATTTTCTTATTTGTGTATTTTATACTTGCAAAACCAAGGTAAATGAAAGTTGTAATATCTATGACAGCAAAACCCATCAGACTTATTTCAAGTTTAAGCAATTATATTGACATATAAATACATATTTGACAAAGGGATGGGACATCAAGTAGAGCCTATTGAAGTGGTACAAGACAAAATACATTAACATGCAATATGGCTATTAGATAACAGTAATAATGCAATGTAACACAAGGGCAGCAACTCCTATTTACCTCAATTTGATTTTGTTGAACATAACATTTATCATATTTATTTTAAAGAATCTACATTCTTTTTTTGCGAGATGGTATTTTTCAAACATACGAAAATAATAATGCCCTCTCTACCTAAACATTTACATCCTTTTTAAATTTAAGGGTACAATATAAATCCATGGCAAATGCTTGAGTTTGAAACAAAATGTGATTTTACATTATTCCTTACGACTTGCTGTGGACGTTTAATTGGTATTTATTTTCTTTCTTGATATATATATATACCAAATAATGCTATATACTTTATCATTTCATAGTCCGCAATAATTATATCATATTCCAGTTATTCTGGAAAGTTTTCATCACAAACATGACTTAAAACAGATTTTACAGTCTTCTCGATAATTTCTTGGGCTAAAAAGAAATTAAGAGTGGATTTTTTTTTGAAAACGTTGAGAGGTATTAAATCGTTCATTGCTAAATTTAAACTCTTGCACATGATTATTTCTTTAAGTATTCAAACATTTACCTGCCAAGGAACTCCCCCACAGACACATAAGAAAATTGTGTCAATGTACAAGCCGATGTGTTCGGTGTGAACCTGTCCCAACCAACTAGTTGTCACCTTGGACATATCAACGACAGGGCTGGTGACGGCAAATGGAACTGCTAGCACCTATAAACGGCGAAAAAGGTAAGTTTAGTGATAAGTTCGTGTTAGCCTGAACCAATGCACAATCATTTGCTTTAGAACTGTATCTGCTACATCGTTTTCATATTTTCATAAGAGTTACTACGGCAAGAGTCATTTGCAGCGGACAATATCAATGCCAAGACACTTAATAAGAGTCACAGATTCCAAAAGCCCTATATTAATCAATCTTATTTACCAGACCAACGGCTATGAGTAAGAGCTGCACAATGTCTGTGTATGCCACAGAATATAGGCCTCCAAAGAACGTGTAGATAACCGCCACACAGGCGGAGATGACGACGGATGCTGTGATGTTAATGTCCAGTACAATAGATAATGTTGTACCTGTGTTAAAATAAGGATATGATAGGTAATGTTATACCAGTTTTAAAAATAATGATAAAATAGATAAAACAGATATCTGAAGTGCTTGGTAGAATTATATTTCACATCTGATCATAACTGTTTTTCTTCACTTAAAGTGGAATCAGTTGTAGTAGAAGGATTCAAAGCAAGAAGCCTGATGTACGTTTCACATAATATGCTTTATCTATATCTGAAGTGTTTCTTTAATTTTCTCAAATAATCAGTAATTTACATTCTATCACCGCAAAATTTATAAAGATTCATTTTCACTTTGTATTCTTAAAAAATATACGTAGTTACAAAACAATCATTTATACCTAACGCTCCAAATATGGCTGCTTCCCAGAACACGTCTCCGAAGAATTCCGAGATAAAAAGAACTCCGCCCATTTTTGGGCCATATTTGACCTGAAAGGGATCCACTATGGTCGTATAACGTGCAGCACGGACCTTGGGTGCAATAAAGATGCCACCTGTGTCGAAACATAAGGTATACAGTATACCACGACACAACACCATCAGTTCCACGTTATATAATGATCAATATTTGTTTATATCAACACTTTTAACTTCTCATTTCGATGTAATGTAGTATAGATATCAAGATGATGTTATATATCATTTTTTCAAAGATTGCACAAACGACACACAAAGGAATATCAACTTATGATACAGTTTAAAATGAAAGCAATTGAATATATTTGGACAATGACAAGAGGTTTCCATAGGCGATTTCCATAGAAAACACTAGCATACCTGAAGATGTCAAGTTGATAAAATGAGAACCAATAACTATAGATGGAAGACCAGTTTTTGTTCTTTGTCATTAAAAAGTATCTTTCTTGCAATAGAATGATTCAGCAATATCATTATTTCTTAATCTAAAGTCAAATATGTCTTATAAGCATATATAGATTGGACTTGTCATATTTATTCAATACTTGCAATAAAATATCTTGCAAACAGTTTCCTCCTCATTTTTTTCTGTGCCTGCGGTGGATGTTCTTACTTACCTATCGCCATCCCAATGTTGTATCCTATTGGACCAATGGTCCAGACCAAACCGTCTCTCCCTATCACTTCCGCTGTACCGTTTACATATCCTCCTCCAACCATACTCGCTGTTAAAACAACATAATAGTAAGGTAACTGGAAACAATTTTTTATCAAAACGGAAGCGCATCAAAAATTTTGTATTCCAGCTTCATCTTAATTCAAATATCATTTATAAGATAAAATCTGAAGACTTTGCTATGACACATGTTTTTTTTTGTTTTTTTTTTGTTTGTCTTTTTTAAGACTGGTGATATCAAACATTTGACCTCAGTTGAGATGCATTTGTGGCTTTGTTATTTCTTCACTAGTTATTTTTTCTGTAAAAGAATAAGAAAATAAAGAAACTAAATTACCTGCAGTTGTCAAACAGGCCACAACCAATCCAAAACTGCGATTGGCCAAGAACAATTCGTCAGCAGTGCCAGACTTGTTTTTGCGCCGTCCTATTAAAATTCCAAATGTGAGGATTGCAACGTAAAACACTGCAATCGCCACCAGTCCTGGTATATTGACCGCCATTTTGAAATCCTTCCTCACTTCTGCGAAAAAAATAATAGGGTTTTTATAGCGAACACAAACAAAATCAGTATCAAATATTTCCCGCCAGCGTTCAATCACTCGCTTTAATAGTTGACATCATACACACCATGACTGCATTCCTCTTAGAAAAATCTTAATTAAAAGAAAATATTAAATGTTTAATATCCATCTGTTCTAAGGGTGAGTGATTTTATGTTATGACACAGCAACCGTCACCTGATGGTCATTAAGTCGTCAAGATATTTTACCTCAACAACTGAGCATGCTGAAATGAAAGGCTTTCAGTTTTAATCAAATGGAATATTTTTACCTTTTTTCAATAATTACAATAATTCACTCCTCAAATTATATCCTCTCAATATTAAATCCTCAAATGACTCTCAATATTAAATACGGGTACAATTCGGATCAACACACATTACTTTATATAATGTGTTAATTAATGAATATTTTAACATGGTAACAAAACTGATGATGAAAGACAATTTTTCAATCGTGCCTTATCCTATATATTGTACAAAAGACACACAAGTGAACAGCATCTTTAAATAATTTAGAGCGAGATATAGTAGTGCCAAACAATGAATTAAACTGTACCATACAGCTGTTTCTTCCTTCTAGGACTACTCAGTATATATAACAAGGGGGTGTAACCAATCCGGATACATTATTTTGTAAAATTACATCCACGACGAGCTGTTGTATGAATAAGGCGATGCTACGTAGCGAATATCTTTCAGAAAAGAATATCGTTAAAAATTACTTGATGAAGATGAGGTATCGTAACTTATAGGTGACTAATATTTGTTACTACCAAGTTAAATCCAGGTTTTTTTTACTGAAAATCAACGTCAAGAAGCAGCCCAAGATTTTATAAACGATGTCTGAAAATTATGAAAATGTTGCATACATCCGTCGGTGTAGCTGCGTTGTCTGGAAACTTTATATGAAGTTTGGCTTGGAGCCATCGCTGTGTTCTCTAAAACTTGTAGAGACTCTAGAAGATTATCTTTTCGGTCGGAGTGTAATAAATGCTTTATCTATATTATGTTTCTGCGAGAATAGCGCTAATTTGGAAAAATTGTAATATCAATACTGAAAATAAAAAAGAAATTGATGTGATGACTTTACTAAATTGTAATGGGTTTGATTTCGTTCCAACATGATATCAGTAATTGGTCGTTCACACGAAACCTTCCCTGTGTATGTGCAATGGACACAACGTCGGCACCAATTTGCAGTGTTTCGGTCCCAACCTATACCGTGCGATTAAGTCGCTGTAGTTATTTATAAACGAGAATCTCGGCAAGTGACGTAGCGGAAAAGTTTGATGTTCATTACAAGAGAATGGAAATGCCAGCTGTTTTATGACAAACAGTCCTGTATGTGGTAAAGGTGATTCACACACAGAAATAATTATATATATTCGGGCTACTCTGCTTACACACTTGTTTTGATCTAGGATTACCAAGTTGAATGCATTGCAGTGTCACCTGTACTGCTATCTCTATTTATAATGGTATCAAATGTGCCACATACATTCTTTAAAGATTTAATCCCAAATCTTAAGTGAAGTTGCCTCTTGCGATCGTGTTATGCAGCTGCAGGTACAAAATACAAAGTACAACTTACCTAACGACCAGTATCCCTTCTTACCATCAATGGTGGAAGTGAATGGTAATTCGAGAAGCCAATAACAAGCTTCAATGGTTCTTTTGTGTATTGGGTATGTGTTGGCATTTGTTGGTTTGTGTGCCATCATGGCATTGCATATATCATTGTAAAGTGGCCAGTTTCCAACCTCTGTACTACCGACAAGTAGTGCCTGTTTTCCCAGTTGCAGTGTACTGCATCGCAGAAGAACGAAGGAAAACCAACAAAACAAAAATTGTTGGTAGTTACCATGAATGTTATGTTGCCATACTTAAAATCTCAATAGAGCGCTGCCGAGATAACTGAATCCTTGTCGAACACTGTAGACTTGATGGAATGACTGCTGAGAAAATAGACTTGTAGTGGCTTTTAACACCACAAGTACATAATCACAATTTGTATGTTTAAAAGCCACCAATTTATTTTTGCTAGACAGAGTTATCAGTTGCATATGTACCTCGTAATTTTCGTCGATGCTATGTCAAGCTATCACCGAAATTTTTGCCAGTTTTGCTAAAATTGCCATATCCTGCTGAGAGAAAAAATTAATATGAAAATAGTTTGTGCCCTTATCCTGCGTGCATGTGTCTTTTTTTGATGTCATGAGAAAGCTGTACAATACATTCACCATTTACTAGTTATTGTTTATGTTGTTTGTGTACGATGTAGTTATAATAGTTATTGTTGATGTTGTTTGTGTACGGTATAGTTATACTAGTTATTGTTGATGTTGTTTGTGTACGGTATAGTTGTACTAGATATTGTTGATGTTGTTTGTGTACGGTATAGTTATATTAGTTATTGGTGATGTTGTTTGTGTACGATGTAGTTATACTTGTTATTGTTGATGTTGTTTGTGTACGATGTAGTTATACTAGTTACTGTTGATGTTGTTTGTGTACGTTGTAGTTATACTAGTTATTGTTGATGTTGTTTGTGTACGTTGTAGTTATATTAGTTATTGTTGATGTTGTTTGTGTACGATGTAGTTATTGTTGTATTATACTTTACTGTTGATGTTGTGTACGTTGTAGTTATATAGTTATTGTTGATGTTATATTATACTTGTTATTGTTGATGTTTGTGTACGTTGTAGTTATACTAGTTATTGTTGATGTTGTTTGTGTACGTAATATTTGTACTAGTTATTGTTGATGTTGTTTGTGTAGGTTATAGTTATTGTTTATGTTGTTTGTGTACGATGTAGTAATGTTGTTTGTGTACGATGTAGTTATACTAGTTTCTGTTGATGTTGTTTGTGTACGGTATAGTTATATTAGTTATTGTTGATGTTGTTTGTGTACGATGTAGTTATACTAGTTATTGTTGATGTTGTTTGTGTACGATGTAGTTATACTAGTTTCTGTTGATGTTGTTTGTGTACGTTGTAGTTGTACTAGTTATTGTTGATGTTGTTTGTGTACGGTATAGTTGTACTAGTTATTGTTGATGTTGTTTGTGTACGTTGTAGTTATACTAGTTATTGTTGATGTTGTTTGTGTGCGTAAAATGCACCGTTTTAATTGTTGGCGATGGCGATGGCTGTTTAAACATTTGTACATAACACTTCTTTCTGTCTGGCTGTTTATGTGAAGATGATACTTTTCTAGACATTTATAATAGTAATGGGTGGTGTTAAATATCAAATGAAAATTGTCAAAAGTTTTTGCTCAATCTTATTCCCAGTAATATATTGTTATGCAATGAGTAATTCGTTTGAAGTCACGACTTCACTGCTTAGCTTAATTTACCATTTCATGCAATATTCAGACACCATATATCTTTCACGCCTATCGGGTTCTCCACACAAGATCCTGTTTACTAAATAACACACCAATAACATTTACATACTGCGATGGTTGTTGCGATTTCCGTACCACACACGCGTCGTGGCTTTAATTTAGAGCATACAAAATAATGGTTGTCGATGATAGAAAACGAACAAGAGACCTTTATTTTTCATTTAAAAGGTGTTTTTGAGGGGGTGTGGGGAAGGAAAGAAAAACAGATACAGTTTTAAAAAATCTAATAGTTTATGATTTCACAATTGCGTCTGACGGAACTTTTCAAAGCTTTGCCTTCTACAGACGTCATTGAAAAATAAAAAAAAATAATTTGGTTATACAGAACTAAAATTGTAAAGTGGTTTTATGTTTAGTCAATGATTCTCACACCTACACTATAAACTGAGATTTGGTTTGGAATCCTATTGCTTTATATCTTATGAACATATGCCGTCCCAAATACTACGCCTCTTTAATATCATGCTACTACACTAAAGTATTCTGTGGAAGGCTCCCAGCAGAACACCTCGCCTGGTAACAATGTAATGAAAACTATTAACCCAGTCGTTATGCTAACAATTATATATAACAATCGCCTTGTATTAATTAAACACAATATCTCAAAGTACTATAGTCTGTGAAGACAGCTGCCTGTGGTACTAATACTATGCTGATAGTAAACATAGCAGAAGTTCCGTGGCTTTGATATTTGCTGAATTTCTACGCTCCCGTTCCGTAAACCCGTGACATTCTACTACATCTGGGGCTCTACGCCCCGTTTTAAAAATACATTCTTATACATTATGGGTTCTTTGCCCCCGTCCCGTAAACAACATTCTGATACATTATGAGTTCTTTGCCCCCGTTTTGTAAACTACATTCTGATACATCAGGGCCCTAAGCCTCCGTTTCATAAACTGCATTCTGATACATCAGGGCTTCTATGCCCCAATTTCGTAAACTACATTCAGCTTCACATCAGGACTCTTACGCTCCCGTTCCTTAAATTAAATTGTGCGACTTCAGGGGCTCTATCCCGTTCCGTAAACTACATTCTGATACATCAGAGGCTCTACACACCCGTTCCTTGTACAATACTCTGCTACTTTTTTATCATCATCACTATTTAAACTTAATTCATTTTACAACAATTGCGAAACAACTTGTTTATCTTATATAAACCACTCTTGTTAGCCCGGATGGAAGCACGCGTGATGAAAAACCAATGCAATAAGTATGTAAGTTAAGAACAAAGTATTTTCTCTAAACAAAGTGTTCCATTTATGTTAGCATGATGCCTTACGTTATGAACTTAATAAATATGCATACTGTAATCAATTGCATTTTGAAACCGTGGTCATTAGACATTTAAGCAAACTATAACACTTCACAACGAAACTGTAAAGGGTGTATATCATATATATATAGTTTCTTAAAATCTCGTTTCTTTGATCAGATGAAGCACTACATCCAATGCTTAACATGTGACAAGACTGGGAGATTTTCATTTTATATTTTCTTGTCTTAGGTATCTGAACGCGTCTTAAGAGCAATATTTTGATATATACTATTTCCAGTTTTGAACTCTGATTTTTAGTGTTTAATATTCACCTGTATTTACATACATGCCTGGTTCCCACCTCGTTTATACAAATGATACCAACTTTTGATAATATATATGTGTACGTGGATTAAGTTCAAATAAATTACTATTCGTTCTGAAAAAAGGGGAAAATATTCCAATAAAAAATCTAAATTTTCGTTTGATAGTAATGATTAATTTTAGCACTGATTTTGAATCAAACAGAAAAATCCTTGGTGGTTTTCCAAGCTAGACAGCGCGTTATCCTTCGTAGCACGTGGCAAACACCGACCGTAAAAAGTTAACAAACACCACGTGGTGTATTGCCGAAATATATAGGTACTAACTAAGACGTAAAACAAGGATGTAGGTAATGGTTTGTGTAATGTTATGACACAACTCATAGAACATCTAGAAACATTTATCCAATAAAAACAAGCTTACACAAATTTCTCACAAAACCTCATTTTTAAGACCACTTTGGCGACTGGACAAAAGTGGTCTTAATAACAAGGTAGCCTTAATAGTGAGGTGGATCAGATTGACTGTCAAGAACCGTAACTTTGTTTAAAATAAAGACTGTTTATGTATCATTAAGTAATGTACATGTATATTATTCAACAACAATAACTTTGTTAATAAGTTTATTAAACTGTATATAAAGTGTTGAATTTTATGAAATGCACGTAAAACAGATAAAATTGGTGAATTCACAAAACAATATATATGTATATATTCCTTAGTTTTTTGCAGAACATACATGTATATTTACTATTGTAAACATTGAATAAAAAAAACAATCAATACTAAGTTCAATTGGAATTTAACGTTAATTTCTAAAAATTTTCACATAGGTTCACCAACACATTAACTCAGTCAATATATTACACAATAAAACACCTTTGTCGCTTTTTTCTTTTAAAAAGTGTCCAGTGTACATGACAGGAAGAGCTACGAAACTACTAACATTTAAGTCAGGAATGGCGCATCTTTTTTAATATTTCAGTCATGTAAAAACAGATTTTATCAAGTTTTTTCCATCCTGTACATTGAAATATAGTTATGTTGGTCAATTTAATACATATCTTTGAGAAGAAGAGTAACACAGTAATACCGAAACACTTAAACAACCGGATATATTTCTATCATTCTACCGCTACGTACATACATTACTGAAGGAATTTATTCATATTAATTATGCTTATGAAGACACAAAAACGCCTTTTTCTTTGTAAAGAATATACATTTGCTGAAAGTTTTATACTGAAAACATTTGGAAGAAAATAATGCATTGTGTATACTTACACTGATAAGTATCTCGTGGAGAAAAAATCACCGACTTCTGGCAGCGTGCGAGATCTCCTGGTATGTATGTACTCCCCAAAGTGAGTAGGAACCCTTGTGTGTGCCGTCTTTACAACCTCGCATCTGTGGCGCGCTTAACCGCAGAAACAGGCAAGGGTTTGGCATGTTCAAGTTCTTTATTACTTTAAGTCATCTTGCTCATCAGTAGACAATTGAATATTTACCATGGATAGACGTCAAATGATACTTTCGCACCTCACCCACACCCCCTCACACAAAAAATCTAACATATAGTGTAGAGAATGACATTAATACAAATAAAACATATTCTAACTATAAACAATTATCTTTCAATCTCGTCATAGCATCATCTTACAATGTTTACAAGTTGAAATAACAAGCATACGTTACACACAGAACTATCAATATACCATGTGACGAACAAAGGAAAAAGGATTGTAATAAAAAAAAACCCCACAGATTTCAAATGTGACGAACATAGGACACACCGTGTAACTTCAATATAGACATACAGTATAGTGTACAAGTTTTAAAGTTTTAAAAATTTTGCAAGATCTGAGATATCCATTCTATTTTTAGTAGACAAGAGCCCTATCAATTTGAACATACTGGCATTTCTATAGTAATAAGATTTAATAAAATTCTTACGTAGTGAATGAAAGAACGGACATTTTAAAATAAAATGAAATTCATCTTCGATGTCTTGCATTGTACAAAGTAAGCACAGTCTACGGTGTCGTTCTATATTATTATATCTCCCAGTTTCAACAAGTAAATCGTGTGAAGACAATCTAATTCTACTAAATTCGTTTAGGCTAAGATTATCAAGTGACTTCCTCAGATGTTCTTGTAAACAAAATTCGTTGCAGAGGAAACTATACTGACTACCTTTTGGGTGGGGAAGAACTTATTTTATCAATACAGTCTTGACGAAATATATCAATTATTCTCTGTTTAAAAATAGCGTACATAGTAATGTCTGGATGTCGAGATTCCCATATGTTGCCCAGTCCTAATCTATATAGCTCATTCCTAATACCAGTTATCCAAATATCATTATTTTGGACCATCTCCCTGTAACATGCTTGTAAAATACAATATTCTGTGTTTTAAAGTTTTAACCAACATTTTATTATTCTACATTTACGTGTGATATATCAAGGATATCTACCAAGTTCAAAATAAACCATACATTTAGGGGTACTTTTACGAACTTTCAGTAATCTTTTGCAAAAATGTAAATGTACCTTTTCTACGTCGGGTGCTTTATGCAGTCCCCAGATTTCAGCTCCATAAGTGAGTATACTATTTACGTAAGTATCAAAAACCGAGATTTGTGTTTCAGGATTGAAAAATTATTACGACATACTTTCCTTATTGCAAACCACGCTTTCTTTCCTTGTTCTGCTACTTTCTGTTGAGTTATGCGGAACTTACCGTTGTAATAAGCACACCACCAAGATAATTGAATTCGTTGATAATTTCCAAAACACAACCATTATAAATCCATATTTCAATCGCCCTGATAACTCCACCATTACGAAATATGACTATTTTAGTTTTAGAAGTATCTACTGTGATATTCCATTTCTGTGTATATTCCAATAAGGAGTCTAATAATTTTTGTAACCCTTCCGGAGTTTCCGACAATATGACCATGTCATCGGCGTACATTAAAAGAAATATATTTATCATCTGTATTTCAATAGACGGACAGTTGTCATTTAAAAAAATGCATTTCACAGTCATTAACATAAAACGAATATAAAATTGGTGAGAGAATTTCTCCCTGGAATAATCCATTTTCACAATTTAAAAAAAATCTGACAGAGACCCTCCGGCCATAACACAGCATTTGACATTCCTATATAGAGATCTAGTAATATTTAATATTTTCCCATTATGTATACGCCCATCGTGTAGAGGACTGTTTTGATAATACTGTTTTCGTTAGAAAGCGTTAAAGAAAATTGCGTTTTTCTGTATTTTTAAATGAGAGTACACTTACTAGAAAATATCCAGAAAATTAAGTAGGAAGAATGCAGGAAATCCAAGCTATTGTCCTAACTATTCTTATGAAAATTCTTCTGTAGTTGATCATGCAAATTATAGTATTCAAATGATAATACAGTGCCACTAATTTACCTATATAGAGGTCAGCAACAGTCATATTTATGACTGATTTTAGTCACGTGCTACAAAGAGTTTCAAAGCTTTGGTTCTATTTCCCAGTTTAATCCTGTCTATCCGTTCAAAATGGCCAGACCTTAAACAACATGTTTACCTCTTTTACCCCTATCGGGCCCCAACCTCTTGTCCCAAGGAGTGTGTGGTGGTAGTGGTGGAGGGAGGGCGGAGGGAAGTGGACTTATATTCATCATTGCTACAGTGTCCACTGTCCAAATACCTGATGCTTTTGACCAAATTTAGACAAAAACCTTGAAGATTTATAAATATTTTGGTAAATTTCTATTATTTGGCTCCGACACATAGACTAGTGTTTCAGACCCCGAAAAATGGTTCCCTTCCCCTAAGAATGATACTGACCGAATTTGTCAGAATTCAACCACGACAGATGGACAGACAACGGATGTTACGCCACAGCATAAACTAGCCAATCTTTGGGTCAGCCCATTCATTATTAAGGAAGTCATAACTTGGACCTGGTTTATATCATTAGATGTTGGCTCACAAGGTATCATTGAAATAGTAAAAAGCATTGTAAACTCATAGATAACAACGGTATACCCTCGACAGAAAGTACTCAAAGTCTCAATAACAAGCGTATACCCTCGACAGAAAGTAATCAAAGTGTTGGTAACAATCGAATACCATCACAAGAGAGTACTTATAGTATTAGTTACAATCGTCTGCCCTCGCCAGAAAGTAATCAAAATCTTAATAACAATCTATACCTTCGCCAGAAAATACTCAAAGTTTAAATAACAACCTATACCCTACCCAGAAAATACTCAAAGTTTAAATAACGATCTATAACCTCGCCAGAAAATGCTCAAAGTTTAAATAACAACCTATACCCTACCCAGAAAATACTCAAAGTTTAAATAACGATCTATAACCTCGCCAGAAAATGCTCAAAGTTTAAATAACAACCTATACCCTACCCAGAAAATACTCAAAGTTTAAATAACGATCTATAACCTCGCCAGAAAATGCTCAAAGTTTAAATAACAACCTATACCCTACCCAGAAAATACTCAAAGTTTAAATAACGATCTATAACCTCGCCAGAAAATGCTCAAAGTTTAAATAACGATCTATAACCTCGCCAGAAAATGCTCAAAGTTTAAATAACAATCTATACCCTACCCAGAAAATACTCAAAGTTTAAATAACGATCTATAACCTCGCCAGAAAATGCTCAAAGTTTAAATAACAATCTATACCCTACCCAGAAAATGCTCAAAGTTTAAGTAACAACCTATACCCTACCCAGAAAATACTCAAAGTTTAAATAACAACCTATACCCTACCCAGAAAATACTCAAAGTTTAAATAACGATCTATAACCTCGCCAGAAAATGCTCAAAGTTTAAATAACGATCTATAACCTCGCCAGAAAATGCTCAAAGTTTAAATAACGATCTATACCCTACCCAGAAAATACTCAAAGTTTAAATAACAACCTATACCCTACCCAGAAAATACTCAAAGTTTAAATAACGATCTATACCCTAAAGTTTAAATAACAATCTATACCCTACCCAGAAAATACTCAAAGTTTAAATAACAATCTATACCCTACCCAGAAAATACTCAAAGTTTAAATAACAACCTATACCCTACCCAGAAAATACTCAAAGTTTAAATAACAATCTATAACCTCGAAAATACTCAAAGTTTAAATAACCAGAAAATGCTCAAAGTTTAAATAACAATCTATACCCTACCCAGAAAATACTCAAAGTTTAAATAACAACCTATACCCTACCCAGAAAATACTCAAAGTTTAAATAACAACCTATACCCTACCCAGAAAATGCTCAAAGTTTAAATAACAACCTATACCCTACCCAGAAAATACTCAAAGTTTAAATAACAATCTATACCCTACCCAGAAAATACTCAAAGTTTAAATAACGATCTATAACCTCGCCAGAAAATGCTCAAAGTTTAAATAACAACCTATACCCTACCCAGAAAATACTCAAAGTTTAAATAACAACATATACCCTACCCAGAAAATACTCAAAGTTTAAATAACAACCTATACCCTACCCAGAAAATACTCAAAGTTTAAATAACAATCTATACTCTACCCAGAAAATACTCAAAGTTTAAATAACAACCTATACCCTACCCAGAAAATACTCAAAGTTTAAATAACGATCTATAACCTCGCCAGAAAATACTCAAAGTTTAAATAACAATCTATACCCTCGCCAGAAAATACTCAAAGTTTAAATAACAACCTATACCCTCGCCAGAAAGTACTCAATGTTTTAGTTACAATCTATAGCCTCGATAGAAAGTACTCAATGTTTTAGTTACAATCTATAGCCTCGATAGAAAGTACTCAAGGTTTTAGTTACAATCTATACCCTCGCCAGAAAGTACTCAAGGTTTTAGTTACAATCTATAGCCTACCCAGAAAATACTCAAGGTTTTAGTTACAATCGTATAGCCTCGCCAGAAAGTACTCAAGGTTTTAGTTACAATCTATAGCCTCGCCAGAAAGTACTCAAGGTTTTAGTTACAATCGTATACCCTCGCCAGAAAGTACTCAATGTTTTAGTTACAATCTATAGCCTCGCCAGAAAGTACTCAAGGTTTTAGTTACAATCGTATACCCTCGCCAGAAAATACTCAAGGTTTTAGTTACAATCGTATACCCTCGCCAGAAAATGATCAAAGTTTTAGTTACAATCTATAGCCTACCCAGAAAATACTCAAGGTTTTAGTTACAATCGTATAGCCTCGCCAGAAAGTACTCAAGGTTTTAGTTACAATCGTATACCCTCGCCAGAAAATACTCAAGGTTTTAGTTACAATCATATACTCTACCCAGAAAATACTCAAAGTTTAAATAACGATCTATACCTTCGCCAGAAAATACTCAAAGTTTAAATAACAATCGTATACCCTCGCCAGAAAATACTCAAAGTTTAAATAACAATCGTATACCCTCGCCAGAAAGTACTCAAGGTTTTAGTTACAATCTATAGCCTCGCCAGAAAGTACTCAAGGTTTTAGTTACAATCTATAGCCTCGCCAGAAAGTACTCAAGGTTTTAGTTACAATCTATAGCCTCGCCAGAAAGTACTCAAGGTTTTAGTTACAATCTATAGCCTCGCCAGAAAGTACTCAAGGTTTTAGTTACAATCTATAGCCTCGCCAGAAAGTACTCAAGGTTTTAGTTACAATCTATAGCCTCGCCAGAAAGTACTCAAGGTTTTAGTTACAATCTATAGCCTCGCCAACAAGTACTCAAGGTTTTAGTTACAATCTATAGCCTCGCCAGAAAGTACTCAAGGTTTTAGTTACAATCTATAGCCTCGCCAGAAATTATTCAATTTTTTATAACAATCGTATACCCTCAAATCAACACCAAATGGTAATGGTATTACCATCGTGACACAAACATGGGATGAAAGCAATTATTAAGCCGATCAATGTGTGATGGTTTTTAAATGATCCGCGCATGTCGTCCGAGTAATGTTCGCATTCAGACGCCTTAATACCACAAGTAACACAAGCATCTTAAAACAGATTTTCTACACCACTTAGCTACCTCTTACAGCTTCTAAATTACCTAGTAGTTGTCAAATACACATACGAAACACATGGCTCTGAATGGTGCATGATTCGTAAGTAATTAAGAAACCTGATTTTGTAATAGACAGGTTTCAAGATTCTACTGTTGTCATATTCTAAACAAGTAAGATCGTTAATAAAGTATTATATTACTTTATTACACTATATATTACTTACTGTCAAGCTATTGTTGTTTTTTCCTTATTCATCATATATTATGTATCCGTCCTTGCTACTTTACTTTCAGCTAACACGACTGAACAGCTGTTTTACATTCCTTATCTCTGTGTACCCTGTTATCGTGTGCAGAAGGTAGTGTGCAGTTTACTAGAAGAAGCTGAGTGACAGTATCAACAGACGTTAACCAATTACGCCACTGCAAATATAACGCCCCATTAAGAGAAACGAGAAATAAAATATTCCATCTTACATAGAGTAGACACTGATTGATTGTTTGAGTTTTTACATACAGGACATGATTGAAATATGAAAAGGGCCACACACGGGTGATGTAAATTCTCGATGTATTTGCGTGATGTTTCATCAAGACAATTATACTGACACGGGTCACCAGTCTTCAGCGGAATATCAAGCAGAGGACGTTGAGTGTTTTTAAAGCATTGGTCTCAGGGAAATAGACCCCAATTCCATGCTTTTATCGATAATATACAGAGCAGATATATATATTTGATCATAATGTTGGATTAAATGTAGGTTTGTTTTCGACTACAATGCTATCCCGTCGTAATGACGTCCGCGAACAAATCCACCATCCCGCAAGAAGTTCCAAAATAATTCACCTCTAACAAGGTCTTTTCTGTTGGACCTTTTTCATGTGTTTGTCCGAGGAAAATGGCGGTGTTTGAACCATGTATGGAGGTCGTTGTCGACCTGGCCTGGATGTCATGAAACATTCTTTTTGCTTAGAAAATCACATATGACGTCTCTTTTCATGACGTCGTTGTGATTGGTTAAGTTAAAACTAATGACAGTTTAAGTCTAAGATCGGTCCATGATCCTGTGGCCTGGACACCCCACCAGGTCACATTTTACCGACAATGGCCTCAACTGCCCTAGTGTATCAGGTTCGATGTTGAACCATACGCAATGATAATGAAGCACTGTTTAGTTGACTTTGGTATGTCAGGACTTGGGAAAAGAAACCAAAGCCATCTTCCTCAGTTTGGGGCTCATTCGTCAACAAGAGATCTTAGTGTTGTTAGATGAGAGAAAAAGGACAAAGCTCGCAGATTTAGTCACATCTTCCGATCATTCAAAGGAAGTTGTAAGGGCAATTTTCACTCCCTATCTGCAAGTCACTTTTCCCCTTATGGCTGCAATGCTATATCAGTTGTGCAGTGAAGGTTGACACACTGCACTTCGTTTTATCGTCTATTTTAAGTGTGCTTCTTGAAATCCAACCAACATGGAGGACTTTGTCGTCATGACATCAAACCAAATACCACACAACGTTATACACATCGCTGGCCACATACATCGTACATTCTTATATAATTCCGACTTCACAGACTAGTTAATATCTCACAAAAGTCCCTTTGATGAACATGGCTAATAAATTTCATATCTTGTGTGTTCTACACCACTTGATACTTTTGTATAATTATCTTACAAAGAAGACAATATACTTTATGAAAAACAAACGCTTAAAACTTCAAAGCAGTGTATTATTTACTCGATATTATCACAATGAAAAATTTTAGTGTTGTAACGAAGAGGTTCCCATCTGTTAATGAAGGTATCTTTTTTAATTTTTCATACATCGTCATTATACCTTTGATGTTCTATAACTTCTAGTCTCCTTATTGTTCGTTTTCGTTGTGGTGTCTTCTCAGTTTCTCCGTTTGATTTGACTTGAATAAGAAATATTTATTAATGTGTTTGTTTCTTTGTTTTTGCTTTGTTCCTTTTTATTCCTCTTTTTGTCGTATTTTCGTTGTTTTTTACTGAACTGAGATAAAGTTACGTCCTCTTCTTAGAATTTATTTCGTTAACATACAGATTTCTAAAGTAACATGTAGTTCCATATACCTTACATTAATGTAAAAACCAGTTTTTCTTGTGTTGTCACAACAGGGACATTGAAGAGGCCAGATTTGATCTGATGCCCCTTTCACAAATACTTTGTTTCCTGCGCTTTATGTGGGTGACTCAACTGAAAGGTTATCAGTAATCACATGAAAAGGTTTGGATTTTAAACTATCCTGTTAGCCATTTACCGTTACGCTGTCTCTGTACATAAGAATGTCCCTTGTCAATTGGAATAGTGTGTTGAAATTTGGTCACCATACAACTCTTATTCATCAGATTGACGTAATCCACTGAAAAATATGAAAGTTTATAAAATGTTCTAAATCAAACATGGATTACAACAACCATTCATTCTTATTTATGAATATGTCGTCATTTTAATACAGGTTGCCTGGAAGGCATAAGAAAATACATCCATTGACGATATCTGGTTCAAATATGTGCATGATTTATTTTACTAATTATTTAACAAGGAAAATGAAAGTTTAGTGCCTCTTCAGTTTTTAAGATCCAGTAGCTCAAAATCGTGTTTATCCTAGTAGATGTCTTATCAATATAAGACTATACATAGCGTTTAAGCAGAGTACAAACAAATTTTAATTATCACAACTGTTCACTTCGTGGTTTTTAATAGGAAATGTAGATCATTATCATTATGACATTCTTTCTTAACGGCCCGTTAACACATATAAGGTCATTAGGGCCATCAACCGGTGAAAGACACAGCGATACAAAAAAAAAAAAAAAAAAACATCAAACACTTGTCTTTATGACCATGACTGTTGCATGGACGGTAAACTCAATCTAACAAATAAATTAGTGCGCATGAGAATATCCTAACTTAGACAGGTCTGTATTGCTGCTTAATGGTACGACATGCTAAGAACTGAACTTGAATAGAGACAGATTCTGTAGATGGTCCACTTTTACTTGCCTTCTTGTTCCCGAATTATCCAGTTAAATTATCCCCGGTCTTTAAGAGCCCCACAATCAGTCACCTCTCACAACATGTAGATACAGAGGGAATACTGTTTTCATGCTCAGTCATGAACCACTTTTTCCAGGAAACATCTTTCTCACGTTGACAAACCTCTCATTCTGAATGATAACCTCATGGTGATGACATGTACTTCTAATATTACAAACAGCAGTATGCCTTACGATATAACGTAAACCTCTGGTACTCAAATTCGAATTGATTACTTACACAGAGTTCATATCATAGTTTTCCATTGGAATAGATTTCTACAGCTTAAAGTGGAAATCTTAACTATCTCACGAACCCTATTTAATCTATCAAGTTCAACGAAAAAGGAAAAACAACTGCTGCTTCAACCTAGAGACCTTTACAGAAACAGATTTACTCTAATGAAGAAAGGAAGCATGGTTTTGTCTACCATGCGTTCCGAGGTACTCCGATTTACTGTGGTAGTAAATTGTGTATAGGGATGGAGAGGAGAGGTATACATTACTTGTCTTCGTTTACGTGGATTAGTGAAAATTGTTAAAATATTACTGTGTGTTTGGTAAATTGGTTTAAGTCTTCAGATTAATGGGCAGTATGTTCTGTCGAACCCCCTCCTCCCCCACCTCCATCCACATAACTTTATTTAAAGGAAAATAAAAAAAAAGAAAAAGAAAAAACCGACAGTATGTGAACACAATGATAATCCAACTCAAATTCGAAATCTGACATACAATGCCAATGGTACAATCTAACATACAAGGCCAATGGTACAATCTGCCGTACAAGGCCAATGGTACAATCTAACATACAAGGCCAATGGTACAATCTGCCGTACAAGGCCAATGGGACAATTTGACATACAAGGCCAATGTTACAATCTGCCGTACAAGGCCAAAGGTACAATTTGACATACAAGGCCAATGGTACAATCTACCATACAAGGCCAATGGTACAATTTGACATACAATGCCAATGGTACAATCTACCATACGAGGCCAGTGGTAAATTTGACATACAAGGCCAATGGTACAATCTACCATACGAGGCCAATGGTACAATTTGATATACAAGGCCAATGGTACAATTTGACATACAATATCAACGGTACAATCTACCATACGAGGCCAATGGTACAATCTTACATACAAGGCCAATGGTACAATCTACCATACGAGGCCAATGGTACAATTTGACATACAAGGCCAATGGTACAATCTACCATACGAGGCCAATGGTACAATTTGACATACACGGCCAATGTTATAATTTGACATACAAGGACAATGTTACAATTTGACATACACTATCAATGGTACAAATTACCATACGAGGCCAATGGTACAATCTTACATACAATGCCAATGGTACAATTTGACACACAATGCCAATAGTACAATCTATCATACAAGGTCAATGTTACAATCTGACGTACAAGACCAATGGTACAATCTAACACACAATGCCAATAGTACAATTTATCATACAAGGTCAATGTTACAATCTGACGTACAAGACCAATGGTACAATCTAACATACCAATTGTAAAATCTAAGATGTTGTGATTTTCTTATGAGCAACTTTGACTAGAGCGACGTGCTGAAGGCATTCTCGCAGAAAAAAGTAGGGATCAGATAACGAAATATCCGGCTTTATAACTAATATAAATAATATACAATGGCTATTATCTAGACAAATGCATTTTGAAGTTAGCGAGTTGGCAGTCTGTTGAAATAAAAAAATATATGTGGTTTGGGCTGATGTTTTGCAGCTGACTGCTAAGAGATCTCTACAAAACATTCTAAGCACGATAGCAATATAGACTTGCAAAAAATAGTAACAAATCATCTTGTTTTCGTGGTCCAAAAAGTCTGGGAAGTGTTGCGTTGCCAGTGAGAAAAGGCACTTTATCAATATTTATATCACTGGCCTGTAAAATGATAAAGGTTGTCGATCTCAAGATACAGAGAATGCAAGACGTCCTACTTTTAACTGATATTTGGTCTCCGAAGCCAAAATATCGCTGAATCCACTGTACCGATTTCGGAATGCCCAGTGTCCAGTTAAGAATCTAATGAATTATAGAAAAGAAAAGTTTCATCTCCAGGCAAATACTTAAATAAATGATTAATATCCAGTTTACGTTTATGGAAACGCAAAATTTTGTTATAGAAGGTTAAGTTCCTTACAAGTGTTCCTTTTTCTTACTCATATTTGTTTTATTTAATTGTTAATTTATTCTTAAATTTCAATTACTGTCTGTTCTGCTCGTCGCTCTATGCTCTAAGTTGATGACCAATTAAGCTGCACGTTTCACTATATACATAAGCCATTTACCACATTCACTTTTCTGAAGAAGACTGAACCTACCGTCATTGATACCGGACGACCTCTGGGTGAATCAATGCCCGGAAAATAAAAATGTCTGATTATCCATGCCTTTCCATGCGTTGGTGGAAATGGTATCTTGCTTTCCGTTATCCGGCGCTCCTCTCTGTTAGTATTCGAGCGCTTTTCTCGGGTGGTAATGTACATCCCCTATGAATGTGGCGACGTGTCTTGTAGTTAGATGACGTCACGGATGACGCGTTTCTAAGTCGAAGGGAGGTAATTCATGATTTTTGGTTACTGACGTCAATATTATTCTTTCATCTCTCCCCTCCCCCTCCCTCTCACCTTCCCCTCTCCCCTCAAACATGTAATGCTTGTCTGTTTCGCGTCATATGTACTACTATAAGACTGTGTTATGCGTGTGTATATTATATGCAAGGTTAGTTATGTCACAGACAGGCAGTTTAGGCCGCGGTATAATACTGCTCAATGTGTCCTAGTAGACTAACGATAAATAATGCAGTATGTGTTACCATCGTTTTCCATAATTCAACATATTCATCCTTAAACGACATTGTGCATAATAGTGTAAACGATACTACTGACAGGTCGTCTAGATCTCCTGGATATAATTAGAATTGTGAAGTTCATAAAGATTTGTACTTTAGAAACATTATCAAAACTTTTACAAATCAGAAAAAAAAAACGAAATGATAAGTCTCCAAGTTTATTTGGTTGCATAAGGTACAGTAGAAATACATAATATATGGCATTGTTACCTTGAAACCGTGCAATTGATTTGACCGTCATAGCCTGATGCAAAACGCACCGGGGTTAACAGGATACACCCGAGGTTATACTAGTGCCAATGCACTGGATATCACATGGACTTTGTGATATATATAAATTTAGTTGTCAAATTATATATGCTGCTAATATTGCATGGTATATGGAAGAAGTTGTGATAATTTTTGGTCCACACCTCTTCTCAGCGATAATAATATTGTTTTGATTAAAGGGAAATAACCGCTGTTATATATCCAGTGATCTATTCGACCTGGACGTACACAATACTAGAGCTAGGTGTCTGGACATGTGTACACGAAAATGAAGCTTTTTCCGTGTCGTTTATTTTATTTCTGGCACAAGTTACAAAAAGCAAGTGAAATGTTCTGTTAATATTAAGAACACGACAACTTCACAGTAACTAGCCCAAACAAAACAAGTCATCAGTGTCAGACCAGAGACTATTACATAACAGCTGACATTTCAAAGATTGTTTTTAATAACTTTAGAACAATTATTCAGATTTCGTTTCTGTTACTGAAAAAATGACACTTGTACAACGTACATTCATGAAGCTTCAAGACTCCGACTTAATTGAAACGATTTTGTTAAAATTGAATTTTGTGGGAACTACCGAGCGTAATATCCGGGTAATTTGCATGTAAGCCTCGGTTTGGATCAAGGAACAGATCACCGCCATTTTGGTTAAAAATTTACCAAAAATATGTCCCTCGAAGGACAACAAGCGGGACAAATACAGATAGAAAATGTCACGGGTAAGTCCATTTTATTAAGTTATGTCATAAGGAATATAAATACTTCTTTATGTATCCACAAAAGTGTTCATAACCAGAATTGAAGCGTGTTAGTTTCTCTGTAGTGCGTCCGCGTCACTAACATACACTGGAGTGTATGCGCAATAATACGCTCGATTTCATTCAGGACTTGAACCTGATGGTGAAAAATGATGGTATTCCTACTCCAGGACGCGTAGAAATATATTTGGGCGATTTTCACAGTCTAGATACTTAGGTCATACACTTCCACGACGGGACCCAAAAATACTTTCGAAGCAAAGCAGTGAATATTAATAGGTGGGAATACATTTTCCTCCATGTGAGGGTCTGTAGATGTTTGTTTTTTTTCACGATGCAGCATTCAAAAATGGATGCAAATGTGTGCATCATTTAAAATGGACATGGGGAGGGGGAATTTGATGGCAGGAGCACGTCTGTTATTATTTGTCTACCGCAGGAATATATCGTTAGGAGGCCTACTGAAAATTGTGCTTACTAATATTACTTAACTCGAAATGGACAGCGATGAAAAAAAGGCTCAACTGAGCAAGTCCGATATATTGTTAAAAATGTGTACTTTCATTTTACATTGGGGCATATACAAAGTTCTAATCCAGAAATTGAGCCCATTTCTCCAAGATTTACCTTTTAGATAGCCTGTCAACTTGATTTTTGTTTTGTTTACTTGTGTAAATTATACACAGGGCGAAATAAAATTGATTGGTTCAACTTTATTTCCTTTTCAGTGTACCATGATGTAGCATCAAATGCAAAGATAGGTTGTTGAATGTTTAAGTTTTCAAAAGAACGCCCAAGTCTGCATACAATTTAATAAAACAAAGATAGGCTGTTGAATGTAAAAGTTTTCAAACAACACCAAGTCTGCATAAAATTGAATAAATCACACTAAGCCTGCTTGAAATGATAAACTCTCAGTAATATTGAGATGTTATCAAATGAAATGTTAATTGCTTGAATATGAAAAACATACAGGATAGATATTTATGCCTGACGTACAAGAAGTTTTCCTTATCCCTAGTAGATATACAGTGCGAACAAAATCCAAGAGGGTTAACATTAATCATGAAATCAACTTTGAATGAACAGTGATTCGGTTTGAACCTGTTTGATCTTATCGCACCTGTTGCTCTTACATAGCTAATGACGTTTGTAGGTTAAAATTAAAAAGAAAATGACACTTTTATATAATTATGTCCACCATATTCCATTTGACTAAACTAACCTTGTCATATGCAATTTTGAATATTGTGGTATTGACCAGATAGATTCCCAAATCTTCAAAATGTGTTGAAGGATATATTCCAAGTTTTATGGAATGCCTGCTCATATTTTCATAATGTATAAATAGGGTTCTTGCATAACACTTGGCTATAGGAAGAGTCACAGAGATGAAAATCCAACCAGTGAAGCAAATAGCAAAACACTGGCCATATTTAAACACCATATGCTAATGATATTCAGTGTTGAAATGTCTCGTCTTATTAACGTTGATGTATATTTTACAGATCAGGATAATATTGTTACCATAAGCTTATGCAGCGCTGCTGATCTAGAAAATGTGGCTGGAAGTCTGGTGGTCACGGACGGTTCAGGGCTCGGTGGGTATATCACAGAATTCAATAATACTATGAACAGAAAACATTCAGCATACTACTAGTCATTTTCATGTGCTTAAAGTAAGTAACAAGAACTTCATTGTTTTAAAATGAAAAAAAAATAGAAAAAATGACAATCAAAAAAGTAACTTAATAATACATTGTTTAGTTATCTGCATAAATTTACCAATTTTATCAAATACATTTGACCACAATCAGTATGTTGGCATAAAAGCATGTCAGTGATCTGTAATGCATTGTCAGTGATTAATGAAATGTTCAGTTGGAGATTTAGGAAATATAATTTTGTACCTGTTTATTAATATAGATTATGCCCAGTATATCACACATGCCACTGTGGCTCAGATGGCCCAGGTGGCAGAGACCGGGGAAATGGTGGCCTTTGTGGAACAGCACATTATTGACCCCCAGCAGGAGAATATTGACCCACAGCAGAATATTGAATCCCAAAATATGGTGGAACATGTGGTGTATGAACAAATCCCTGCACAACACATACTTGCTCTCCCATCTTCTGAACCTCTCCATTCTAAAAAGGACAGTGTCAAACCACCTGTGGGAAAGGTAACTCCGTCACTTTGATGATAACTACAGAATTTACTCTGTTTATTTAGACTCTGAATTCATGTATGGAAACAATTTTATGAAAATTAAAGAATATATGTTTTAGATTTTTAAATGAATCCAAAATGAATTAAAATGTGTGGACAATTAATGCTAGATGCTCAAAATTAAGGTACTAGATATATTATATTGAAATATTGGCTGTCATTGAAGTAATGCATGTGTTGATTTTTTTTATACGCAGGGTCCATTCAAGTGTGATACATGCGAGAAAGTATTCCCGAAGTGGAACCAGTATCAGCGTCATCAAAAACTACATGAGGAAGATAAGCCATTTGCCTGTGCCCATTGTACAGCCTCTTTCAACGTTGAGGACAATCTGATTCTCCATGAGGCTACCCATGTACAGAGTGGTGATCCAACATGTCCAGAGTGTGGCAAGAAGTTCTCGCGTATTGCCAGTCTCAAAGCACATATTATGTTGCACGAAAAAGAGGAAAATCTCATGTGTACCGAGTGTGGTGATGAGTTCAGTGTACAGGTATGTGACCAAGGGATATAAGCAATGTAGATAATCTCAATCAGTTATCACATCTTTTGAAATCATGATTTTATTTCATTCATGAGAATATGAGTAAAACTCGGAAATCTTTTCATTAAAACTTGATTCGAATTAACTCTAATTATTAATTCTTCAACAGAGTTGGGTATGATAAACCATGAGGACATTTCTTTGACAAATCCTTGTCCATTTTTTAAACAATGGAATTTCCAAATCATGACTTTTGAGTGATATTGGCTTCATTTTTCAAAGTTTATTGTAGAATAATTTCTTAAAATGGTGTAGTATATTGATTTTGTAGAGCCAGTTAGACAAACACTTAGCAGAACATCGACAGGAACAAGAGGGAATCAAAACGTATCCGTGTAGACAATGTACCCAGGAATTCAACAAGCCTGCCTTTCTCCGGGAACATATGAAGCAGCACTACAAGATCAAGTGAGTCAGATGTATCAAAATTATTCTCCCATGGCTGTTTCAGAGTTCTAAAAACCTGAGTAAACCCAGATTATAGTCATATAAATTGCTATTTTAGCATCTTCTGTATTGTATATGTAGTATCTTGCTAAGTTTTCAATTTATAATTTGTGATAAGTTTCAAAGATTGCAGTTACAAAGCAAACAAAGCTTTCAGTAGACTCCACTATGAAATCATTGTTTTTAGTGGACTGATCAAATAGTTTTTTTCTGTGGTCCATGTCTATCTTTATTAAACAATCCTTGTTATCGCTGCTGCTCTGAAACAGTCCATGGGATCTTATCTAAACTGTCGGCATATATGGCCCTGGTATCATCATCAACTAACTTCACAATGGGTCGTATTACACTAGTGTTATACACAAAATTATCACATTCACTTAATATCACCCAAATGATATGATTAATTATAATTCCTGGTGTTCTAATTTTTAGGTCATCACTTGCTCATCGAGCCTACAAAAGAAACATTGATCGGTCGACATTCCACTACAAGTGCCAACACTGTGGGAAGACTTTCCAGAAACCCAGTCAGCTGGAACGACATAATCGTATTCACACAGGTAATACTTACCTATCAAATCAGGAATGTTCCACTCAGCTACATATTTAATCGCTTCTATTTCACTGGCATTAATATAGATAGAAAGTCAATCTCTAAAGGTATTCGAATAAGATGAACCGAATTCGAACTGCATCTTATACATCTGTCATGGATACCTTTTCATTTTCAGCCATTTTTGTTCATTGTGGCCTTTTCTGTGTTGATGGACTGTTACAAATATGATAATTGTAGTGAACTATTGTACATCTGTTTGTGTATTACGTGTGTATTCTATCGATGTTTTGGATTTACAGGGGAGCGTCCATATAAGTGCAGTTTATGTAGTAAGGCTTTTAACCAGAAGGGGGCGCTCCGTATCCACATGACCAAGCATACTGGAGATCGACCCCACATGTGTGATTTCTGTCCATCAGCATTTGCTCAGAAAGGAAATCTCCGGGCTCACATCAAGGTAAACTCTTATAGGCATATTATTGTGCAGTAGGATTAGTAGTATAATTTTTTTTTCTCATATCCATAAAAGGAAACAAAATAAATAAAGTACGAATTACTGACTGTCGGAGCAGAAGATGACTTAGGGGAAGAAAGATCTGATTGGTGCTTTCATTGGTTGCATTCAAAACAGTTGATCAGAAAAATGTGAAGAGATAGGGTTGACAGGGTTATTCTTTGTTTTCTAAGCAACCTTAAAAGAAAAAATATACATTAAAGTGTACATGTGAGTCAGGTAGGGCGACGTTTATCTCTTGTTAAATATTGCATCATGAAAATAGATGTGATTAAAGCTTGGAAAAAAATGGTCCATTTTAATTTTTAAATGTATGTGTATTGATTACCTTATGTCAGGTGTACTCTATACAATTTTTTTTATAAATCCTAGCTATAAGGTATACATTGTTTATATTTCAAGAAAGGAAAGATACAATTTGTTGTTTTGAATTATCTAGCGAGTCCATACACTACCACGGGACCAGGAAGACAAGCCAGCATTTCAGTGTGATGAGTGTAGCTGTGTGTTCAAGAAGCTGGGAAGCCTGAATGCTCACATCAGTCGTGCTCATACAGATGGTGGGGTAAGTAAGGTGATAGAGATTCTGGGCAGTCACATCAGTCAGGCTCATTCAGATGGTGGGGTTAGTAAGATGCAAGGGATTGTAGGCAGTCACATCAGTCGTGCTCATACAGATGGTGGAGTAAGTAAGATGATAGAGATTCTGGGCAGTCACATCTGTCAGGCTCATTCAGATGCCTGGTGAAGTACATGTAATTTGAGTGTATAATGTATGATTTACCAAATTCTGTTGACAATACCAAGCAAAAAGCTCAAAGTGCATGGTCATGATCGTTGATCTTACTTGCAGAGGCAGTGATTTTAATTTCTCTTTCAAATGAATTTCTTTAGCTTAGATTCATAAGCATAGTTATTTTTTTATGGTAAAGAATTTCAAACAGATTTTAATGACCAATGAAAAATAGAGTTAGTGGCATTTTGCTTGTTGTATAGATGATGGAGTGTCAGATTTATTCAGGGCAAGATGAAATCAGGAGGCCTACAGTAATTGTGTTTGATTTATTGGTTGCTGGAGTAAACATTAACAATGAATGACTTTGAACCATATTTTACCAGTTCCTGTTCAGTGTCCCAGGTTGAATATACATGCCTCATAGACCTGTTGTAGTGTTCATTCATATTGATTAGGTTCGTAGAAATACCAGAAATTAATTTATTTTAATGGTTTTATTTTCACAGGAACCGCCCACCCAGGTTGAGATAGGTTCAGTGAAAGACAGTTGTCATCGGACAGTGGATGAGAATGTTATTAACCAGTTGTTGGGTCTCTCGGAACAAACCATAGAAACTTCTGCTACAGCCAGTCAACAAACAGTAGAAGGGTCAGTTACAGATGATGACCCAGACAATCCACAGGTTAGTTATAGAAAACACAAGGTAGGGACAGATGATCTGTTGAACTTTCATCAGGTGATAAATGCCATTAGCTGATATATTCAATTTATCTGGTTATGAATTATAGAAATTTCTGTCGGTCACTATCAGTATCTTTGAATATCTTAATGGCAAGAGGTTTATGTATTTATGTTTAATATTTTAATACATATAATTAATGAATTTCGATAGTGTGGCTAATATTTTTATAAAACTACCAACAGAGTTCAGACATCCTCCAACAAGCTTTAGAGAACAGTGGCCTGCCAAGTGGTGCTGAGGTGGCGGTGGAGTCGACAGCTGTAGCCTCACATGTATTATCGGCTGTTCCCCCTGCGTCAATGTCCATAGCCAGTTCTGCCTCGACTCCCATCATACAAACAGTTACCACCATGAATGTTCAGGACACTGCTACAGGCTCGATAAAAAAACACATAATCAGAAAGGTATTTTGTTATAGAGCATTGTAGTCTCTGATAGTGTGCTCAAATCATGTAGGAAATGTTCATTATCGATATGTAGGAGCAGATTTCTGTTTATTGTATAAGACCATCTTAAAGCTGTACACTATAGTTACCTCATTAATATGACACTTTGAACTACTTTAAAGTAAATCAAACCTAATAATATACAAGAAACACATTATATTCAATTCGTTTTCAAGGCAATAAAACTACTTATATCACTCTAGAGAGCAAATAGAATCTGGTTTTGAAATAGTCTGATTACTAATATGTTACAGTAGTCCAACATGCCAGTTATATGACAGACATTTTCTTACATTAAACCTGAAACACAGCCTTTTATTTTGTGTCATTTATGTTGCAAACTCTTAACACTATATAATCTTACCTTACAGATTAATGGTGTGCGATGGCACCAGTGTACCTACTGTACCAAGGAGTTTAAGAAGCCCAGTGACCTTGTACGCCACATCAGAATCCACACTCATGAGAAACCTTATAAGTGCACACAGTGTTTTCGGGCCTTTGCTGTCAAGAGTACACTTACTGCTCATATTAAAACTCACTCAGGTGTTAAAGACTTTAAATGCCATGTTTGTGACAAACTGTTTTCCACTCAGGGCAGTCTCAAAGTCCACCTGCGGATGCATACAGGTATGTTAGGTTTATTTAGTTCTGGAGATTCTTTTTTCAAATGTTTAGAAAGGGAGCCAAAGTAAAGTAAAGATGTATCTTTAAATTCTTATTCTTTCAGTATGTGGAAAGAGTTTTTATTCAGTACAGTGGCTTTTTCATTTCTACAATGTTCTGCAACAAACCTGTCATTTTTACAGGAGCAAAACCTTTTGACTGCCCTCACTGTGACAAGAAGTTCCGTACCACTGCCCATCGGAAAAGTCACATAGCCTCACATTCCAAAGACGATGGCATCAAGCGACCTCGAAGGACGTTTCGACGTACAACCAAGTCGGACCTCTCACTGCCCGATATACCCATGCAGGAACCAATTCTAATAACAGATACAGGTATTACTTTATCTATGTTTTGAGAAAATGTTTTAGTTTGTGCAAAATGTAGCTGTTCAGTTATTGATCCAACTTTTTGAAAATGTTGTCTTTGTATGTTTGAAAGTATCATTGAAATTTTATTACAAACTTACTGATATGATAAAGAAGGAAAGTTTTTTTTTTATGAAAGTTTTATGCAAATAATGTATACTTGTACCAGTTTATTACAACATATAGATAATGAAACCTTAAATCCCACTGATCCTTGAAAATTGATAAAATCCCACTGATCCTTGAAAATTGATAATTTGTTTCAAGTATTTATTTACAGGAAAATATGATATCTAGAAAACAAAATCTGTATTTTATCATTTCATCATGGAAAAAAAATTGTTAATGCTGTTAGTGTAATACTAGTGACACTGTACACTTGATCCAGAATACTATAAACTATATCATGTATTGTTGGTTTCAATCAGGTCTAATTCAGCAGCCTCCCAGGAACAATATCATCACAACATACCTGGGCGAGGCGGGCAGTGTGGATAGACCTTACAAATGTGGTTTCTGTCAGCGAGGCTTCAAAAAGTCTAGTCATCTCAAACAGCATCTTAGGTCTCATACAGGTAATAATTTAAATGATAACATTGAGTAAATATGTCAATTAAGTGTGCATCCTGTTTGTAAAGCTTCCAACAGCCTTTCTGTTGTCATACAGGTTAATATTTACATTTTCATATCAGGTTTTGTTTGCTAATTGACAGATGTTGTCTCTTTACTTTCAAATTTTTATTGGGTCTGTGGTGCTTGCTATGAAATCAGTACATTGTTTCAATTCTGCATTATAATTTTTGAGGATCATGCCACCCACAAATTTGCTTAAAATAAAGTGACATTTCAGGAAAGGTAAAATGTAACCATTTTGTTGGTAAATCAATCCAACATTATGAAAAGGGAAAATATTTGTGTTTCTCTCTTCGTAAAAGCAAAGTATTTTTGATTGCTGTGTTTTTCCAGGTGAGAAGCCATACAAATGTGTGCAGTGTATGAGGTCCTTTGTCTCAACTGGGGTCCTCAAGGCTCACATCCGTACTCACACAGGGGTGAAGGCCTACAAGTGTCCCTTGTGTGACAGTAATTTCACCACAAATGGTAGTCTGAAGCGTCACATGTCTACCCACAGTGAGGTTCGACCATTCATGTGTCCCTACTGCCAAAAAACCTTCAAGACCTCTGTAAACTGTAAAAAACATATGAAAACCCACAGGTAGGTAACACTTCTGTGAAAAATTACCATGTATATCATTCATATTATAATAAAAATACCCATTAAGTTCATATTTTCATTTGCCTATTACAAAATAAGTCCCGTTTTCTTCTGTCTGATGATGGGAATTAAGACCGTTGTAATTTCAGTTGTGTTTAGATAAATATTTCTTCCAGTCTTTAATGAAGCAACCAAACTGAGATATTTTTCAGCAATTAGAAAAATCCTCGTTGTTTGCGATGAATATTTAGTTAGGAAGATATAATCTAGACTCCCATTATAAGTGAGTTGTTTGACAAGCCTTGTAGGTACAATATTACATGTATCTCTTGTAGACATGAACTCGCTATACAGGCCACCATACAGCAGGGAGGTAACTCTGCAGGCACAGATCACCTAGCAGATGATAGCCCAGAAAACACAGACTCAGAAATGATGACTGAAACTCAGACTGCAGAGATGAATCTGAACCACCAGGAACTCACTGCTACATCAATGGCACAGCAGGAAATTGGTCAACAGGCTATCCTCACTCAACCAAACATACCGGACGCCCTTACCACTGCCAGCCTGGACCAGCAGCTGCAGCAGATCGAGACTCTCAACCCTGGGGTAGGATTAAACTTCATGGGCATCTTGCAATTGGTTGTTTGTAGTTTAATAAGGTCACTTGAGACAGTCTTAGGATGACTTATTGCGATCCTCTTTTGTAGTGCTTCGTGCATTGTCAACTTTTAACATTTTCAGCTTCTCATGGAAAACTTCTCAACCAATTTTTCTACAAATTAGGCACCTTCGCAATTTTGAAGATGATGAGAAAAGCTCTTAATGCATTCTAAATAAGTGTCATTGATTAAAAAAGAGAAAATAGCTATGGCATTTGTTGTACAGACCTCATTTCAGTGACCAATTCTTTTGTAAGTTTTACATGAAGAAATAATTTTGCTGTTAGAAAAATAGATTATTAAAACTTGGATTTTTTTTTATAATAAAAAGTCTTTTGATAATAAAAAACGTATTAAGAATTTGATTTTAATTTTAATTGATTAGAATTTTATTGAATTTAAATTCTAGAAAATACTATGTGGTTTACAAGTTACTAAGGTAAGATGTTTTGTGAATAGGTTCACCACCATTGTGTTCGTAAATCTGATGTTTTGTTGTAGATTTTCGGTCAGCAACAGACTTTCAGTCAAAGTTTATTGGGACCTGGTCAACAGAACTTTAATCAACTGAACAACCAACTTAATGCCTACAATCAGTCTCAGTTTGGCCTACAGGTAAGTGCACTATTAGCATACCATCATCAGATGGTGGGCTATTCGAATCGCCCTCCGTCCAAGGTCTGTCTTCGGCCTGTTTGTGAACAGTTTTTGTTACCGCGATTTCTTGAGAAGCATTCGATGGATCTTTCTCAAATTTTATATGTGGGTTCCCCTTGGTCCCAAGTTATGACTGTTTGACTTTGGGTCTGATCAGAGATGCAAAACGACTGACAGGTGGTCATCTTGGATTTTTACATTGAAGTTTGTTATCGTTTTTTCCTGAGAAGCACTTGACGGATCTTTCTCAAATTTCATTTGAAAGTTCCCCTTGATTCCTTGTTATGCCTGTTTGAATTTAGGACTGATCTGAAAAACAAAATAATCAACAGGTGGCAAGCTTTGATTTCCCCCGATAAAAGAGGCAGTTTATTATTTCTATTTCTTGAGAAGAAGTTCTGGATGGATCTCTCAAATTTCAAATTAGGTGCAAAATGGTTGACAGGTGTCCACTTTGGATTTGGCAGTTAATGATTTGCTCTTTCTAATTTGCTTATGCTATTTCTGCAAAGAAATGTTCAAAGTTGTATCAGTAAGAGCAAGGAGAGAAAAGAAAAGAAGGGAAAAGATAAAACTTAAAATAAACAAATAAAGATCAAACAGTGGTGTGCACTAAGATCTTTGATTCCTTTTGTCTGATACATTAACAAGGTGCTTGGTGTGACTTGGAAATGGATGTTTGTGTAAATTGTGATTTCAGACCCAGCAGTTACAGAACAACCTAGACATCAACAATCCTTACACAGGGTACAACCAGTCGGTAACTTCCCTGACATCTACTCTTCCCAGTACCTCCATGCAGAACATTTTGCCCACGAAGTAAGTGATCTTCACATATAGGTTCACTTACAAATTATGCAGAACCAAAGGTTAAGTGAGAACATATTAAATTTACTTATGCATCAAATTTGGAAACTGACCACAAGTTTGATTTATCAGCTACTATTTTGTGTATCATAATAGTTCTCATTGTTCCGATAGTGATGGTCAAATTCCTGAGGCACAAGAAGCTGACCAGTCTGAGCAGGAACAAGCAGTCACTGGTACTGAACAGCAGTACAATCTCCTACCTGTGGACGATGGCAAACGTGTGTATAAATGTGAATTTTGTGACAAGTCCTTCAAGAAATCCAGTCACCTGAAACAGCACATCCGGTCTCACACAGGTTTGTAGAGAACTGACTATGTAATTTATGTATCTTCATTTTTACTTCAACGTTGTTAGAGTATTTGTTAACTTTCATGAATTTTGTTTAAAGTTTGTTTCTCATTTGATACACAGGGGAGAAGCCCTTCAAATGTTTGACCTGTACACGAACGTTCGTGTCTGCTGGAGTCCTGAAGTCCCACCTGAAGACTCATCAGGGAATGAAGGAGTTCTGTTGTCATGTGTGCCAGGCTATGTTCACAACTAACGGATCGCTCACACGTCACATGAACATACATGTAAGCCAGCGTCCATTTAAGTGTCCATGCTGCCAGGAAACATTCCGCACTTCATCTATGTGTAAACGTCACATGCGGCTTCACAGGGAAGGTAAGTAAAAAGCAAGTGAACAGATGTTGTCTACTTATAAGGATACAGAATGTGATGTTTGAACACCGAGATTACTAGATAAAAAAATATTGACATAAAAGTAAGACTGTCCGGCTATACAACCTTTCAATGTAAAAATAACTTTTAATGAAAATCTAATTTGTTAGGAATCTAGATTGAAGAATTTCAATTAGATGGGCAATATGATTGAACATTGAGTTATGAAAAAAATTTGTGATCACTATATAGCTTTTTTTTTTGTCATCACTGTATGACTGGTAATTTAATAAGTTCAAAATTTTTGCAATTTTCTTTTGAAAGGTTGAAATTTATTTCAAAAATTTTTTGGAATCTGACATAAAGGGACATCTAATACACAGGTGTCTAATTACCTCACAGATTAAATTTTTTGCAATTTTATGAATGTATGGTGAAATAGCAAAAATGTCATCTCTGTGAAAATAAGTGGCTCTATGGTACGATGTTATATTTCTGATTATTTCGTAGAAATAGGTGTTTCCATTGGTAAGGTTGGTTGATTGATGTGTATTGTTTAAATTGTGACTGTGTATATATTAAAGATATCTTCTTATCAAATGTAGTATTAAGTTGATAATAGCTTATAACATTTCTTATCTTCCCTTCCTAGGCCATGAAGATGATCATACCATACTGCCTCGAAGGGCCAAATCTGTGGTTCATGTTACGGATGAACAGACACAGGAGTTGTCACGCACTGCAGAAGAGGAGGATCTCTCAGTGTCCCAAAAAATCTTGCTGGAATCGGCAACTGAAAAATCACGAGTCAGTGAGCCGAAGGTAAGTCCCAAAAAATTTTAATAGAATGGGCAACTGGAGAAACAAAAGTCTGTGAGTCGAAGATAAGAAGGTCATTCACAGAAAAAATTCGCTCACTTTGATAAACATTTCATGTCATACATATACCTACTTTGATTTGACTGTAAAACATGTTGGCAGAATAGTTTTGTTTTTTAAATAGATTATCAAAGTGCAAGTCAATACATGTTGTCAATGATTGGATTTATATCTTCTATAGGCTGAAAATTCGGTGAAATGTGGTTTGTGTATACATGTAGATTTTTTTTGAAAGATTTGCTGAGTGCTGAAATAATTTATGTGTATTGTACATTTTAATTTATTTTATCATAGGAAATTCGAGATGAGACACTAGAAAAAGGGCCTAAACATGCTCACCAATGTTCATACTGTCAGAAAAGCTTTAAGAAGCCAAGTGACCTTGTCCGACATGTGAGGATACACACGGGGGAGAAACCCTACTCTTGTGAAATCTGTTCCCGTGGCTTCACAGTCAAATCTACGCTTGACAGTCACATGAAAACTCATAATGCTAGTAAGTGTAGTAACATAAGTTAATGTTTTCAAATAGTCAGACACTTATAGTGGTAATAAATGCGAAAATATTGTCTGTAAATGTCGGGAAGATCACATCAGGAAATAGTCTGTCTGTAAATGTCATGAAAATCACATCAGAAAATAGTCTGTCAGTAAATATCGGGAAAATCACATCAGAAAATAGTCTGTCAGTAAATGATATGAAAATCACATCAAAATGTAGTCTGTCAGTAAATGATATGAAAATCACATCAGAAAATAGTCTGTCAGTAAATGATATGAAAATCACATCAAAATGTAGTCTGTCAGTAAATGATATGAAAATCACATCAAAATGTAGTCTGTCAGTAAATGATATGAAAATCACATCAGAAAATAGTCTGTCAGTAAATATTGGGAAAATCACATCAGAAAATAGTCTGTCAGTAAATGATATGAAAATCACATCAAAATGTAGTCTGTCAGTAAATGATATGAAAATCACATCAAAATGTAGTCTGTCAGTAAATGATATGAAAATCACATCAAAATGTAGTCTGTCAGTAAATGATATGAAAATCACATCAAAATGTAGTCTGTCAGTAAATGATATGAAAATCACATCAAAATGTAGTCTGTCAGTAAATGATATGAAAATCACATCAAAATGTAGTCTGTCAGGAGAATTTCCTTTGATTCTCTTGTGTTGATGTTGTCAGAACAATTGAAGACTGATAAATATCATCAGTTGTATATACTTCAGTAACACATGGTACAGATGTAGAGTATTATTATAGCTGTGTGCTATAGAAGAGAAATTCTTGAAAACAATATCTTAATGTTTAATTTCAGATGACAAAAGGTTCAAATGCCATGTGTGTACTTCCATGTTCTCTACAAAAGGCAGTCTTAAAGTTCACATGCGTTTACACACTGGAGCCAAACCCTTCAAGTGTTCACACTGTGACCAGCGTTTCCGCACCTCAGGTCACCGCAAAAGTCATGTGTTGACTCACAATCCTGACCAACCTAAGAGAAGAAAGACCTTGACTCAGGTTGTTGCCGATGTAGACAATCAACAGCAACAACAGATTAACTTACTCAATGGAACCGATGTCCAAAATATTGTAGTGACTAGTCAACCCAATGTTGGTCAGGTGATCAATATTGACCAATCAATGCTACAGGCCCAAAATGTGTTACCAGTGTCACTGACAGTACAGGACAATATAGGTCAGCTGAATGAGAGTGCACTGGCAGCTAATGTATTACAAGGTCTTGAAGGAATACAGCTACAGTTTACTGGAAATCTAGGACAGGGTATACAGATTACAGGACTTGACCCTAACATCTTCTCCCAGACAGTACAGATTGATACCAGTCTCATACAACAGCTACAGAACCAGGGCAATGTTAATATTACAATCAATCCTAATATTATCACTCAGACTACACTTCAGGCTGCGGACCCAAACCTGGTACAGAACGTACAAAATATCCAGATACAGAATGTACAGCCAGTGACAGTCCAGGAACAGATAAATCCCAACATCATCATACAGCCCATGTCTACCATCACCGTGCCTCACATCGAGAACCAACAGCATCTGGCCAACATACAGGGCATACAGAGTATGCAGAGCCTCCAGGCTGCTGGGCTTGTACAGGGTCAGGTCTCCATGCAGGATGGTGCGCCCAACTCCTTTGTTGTAACAGCTGACGGAACTTTGGCCAATGACCAACAGGTATTAAGGCATTAACTTTCATTAGACCAGTTATTGAAGTCTTAATTGGTTAGATTTTTATGTCATAACTCATAAAAAGCATTATAACATTTAATTCTGTTAATAATGATATTTTAAAGTTTGCATTACCATTTTAATAAAACTGTCCAAAAATTGAAATAAAATACAGGTGACTCATCACTTTTTCACATCAATATTGACGCATGCACAGTAAGGGAAAATCTCAAAATCAAAACAAAGTACCAGGTTAAAATGAGGTCACGAAAGGTCACATGATGAATGTGGCTACATGCGATCAAAACAGTGAATGGTGGTATACACAACAGTGAGTGCTGACCAGTGTGTTTGAAGCTTGTAACCCTTGTCAGTTGTTCCCAAAAAATGCTATGATTTTGCCCAAAATCAAAAGTCAAGAAAAAATAATAATAATAAAAAAAAAACGAAATCTTACAATTAAGTCACTTTAAGCAGAAATTTATAATTGGTTGATTTTTGTGATTGAATACAATATAACAATACTAAGCACCTTTCAAAATGATAAAGGACTTTAGAATGAGCTAGTTTGTTGTCTGGGATAGAGGAATTGTGTCCTATTCTCAAAGTTTTGGAAAATAATGTTTACTTAAAATCCCTGCTGTCGAGGACCTTTCCTTACTACTGGAAAAATAACAAATTTAGACCATGACATTTAAAGGATTTCCTACACAGTTTATATCAGCATTTAGCATGCTTTATGTTGAAAGATTTGAAACTTTTATGATGGTAAATACTATCTAGTGTTCCTAACATATTTAGAGAAAATTTGCACAGATGTTTGTAAGATCGATTGGGTTAGCTATAAAATCAGTGAGAATAACAGATTATAAGTTTCAGGTAAAGGTCATCATGATTTTTGATTAAGCTTGGAAAACTACACTGTATTGTATACAAAAGAACTTCAATATTTGAAGATGAGTAAAGATTATGATGTTTAGATCATATGATTGTTTTGTTTGATCAGATCACAGTCCCACAAGGAGACTTACAAGCACTTCCAGAGGTAGATGACAACAACATTGCTAATGAAGATGGTGAGGATGAATTAGAAGAGGAGGAGGATATGGAGGAGGAGGAAGATGATATTGGGGATGCTGTTGGGATTGTAGGATCAGTAGATGAAGATAATCACAACCTGCCTGATATTGAGGAGGAGGAAGAGGACGAGGGTCTGACACATGGCAGCGAATCAGCTAACATTAGTCTGAGTGATGTTGCTGGTGGAGACAAGTTCCTTGGGACAGGGCGTCAACATATCTGTACAGTAAGTCATGCATATTGGGTAGTCACCTTTACCGTATACAACACAAACACACACTAGATAGTCACCTCTACACTATACAACACACACACACTAGATAGTCACCTCTACACTATACCACACACACACTAGATAGTCACCTGTACTCTGTACCACACACACACTAGATAGTCACCTCTACACTATACCACACACACACTAGATAGTCACCTGTACACTGTACCACACACACACACTACATAGTCACCTGTACACTATACCACACACACACTGGATAGTCACCTGTACACTGTACCACACACACACTACATAGTCACCTCTACACTATACCACACACACACTAGATAGTCACCTCTACACTATACCACACACACACTAGATAGTCACCTCTACACTATACCACACACACTAGATAGTCACCTGTACACTATACCACACACACACACTAGAAAGTCACCTCTACACTATACCACACACACACTAGATAGTCATCTCTACACTATACCACACACACATCGGGTAGTCACCTGTACAATATATGGAGTATGCATCACTACATGGCATTTGTGTTTTACTGTGACACTCTTAATTACCAGATTTGGCACTCTTATTTACTAGACTTAACACTTCCTGACCAGATTTGACACACTTACTGACCAGATTTGACACACTTACTGACCAGATTTGACACACTTACTGACCAGATTTGACACACTTACTGACCAGATTTGACACACTTACTGACCAGATTTGACACACTTACTGACCAGATTTGACACACTTACTGACCAGATTTGACACACTTACTGACCAGATTTGACTCTTACTTACCAGATTTGACACACTTACTTACCAGATTTGACACACTTACTGACCAGATTTGACACACTTACTGACCAGATTTGACACACTTACTGACCAGATTTGACACACTTACTGACCAGATTTGACACACTTACTGACCAGATTTGACACACTTACTGACCAGATTTGACTCTTACTTACCAGATTTGACACACTTACTGACCAGATTTGACACACTTACTGACCAGATTTGACACACTTACTGACCAGATTTGACACACTTACTGACCATATTTGACACACTTACTGACCAGATTTGACACACTTACTGACCAGATTTGACACACTTACTGACCAGATTTGACACACTTACTGACCAGATTTGACACACTTACTGACCAGATTTGACACACTTACTGACCAGATTTGACACACTTACTGACCAGATTTGACACACTTACTGACCAGATTTGACACACTTACTGACCAGATTTGACACACTTACTGACCAGATTTGACACACTTACTGACCAGATTTGACACTTACTGACCAGATTTGACACACTTACTGACCAGATTTGACACACTTACTGACCAGATTTGACACACTTACTGACCAGATTTGACACACTTACTGACCAGATTTGACACACTTACTGACCAGATTTGACACACTTACTGACCAGATTTGACACTTACTTACCAGATTTGACACACTTACTGACCAGATTTGACACACTTACTGACCAGATTTGACACACTTACTGACCAGATTTGACACACTTACTGACCAGATTTGACACACTTACTGACCAGATTTGACACACTTACTGACCAGATTTGACACACTTACTGACCAGATTTGACACACTTACTGACCATATTTGACACACTTACTGACCAGATTTGACACACTTACTGACCAGATTTGACACACTTACTGACCAGATTTGACACACTTACTGACCAGATTTGACACACTTACTGACCAGATTTGACACACTTACTTACCAGATTTGACACACTTACTGACCAGATTTGACACACTTACTGACCAGATTTGACACACTTACTGACCAGATTTGACACACTTACTGACCAGATTTGACACACTTACTGACCAGATTTGACACACTTACTGACCACTTAGATTTGACACACTTACTGACCAGATTTGACACACTTACTGACCAGATTTGACACACTTACTGACCAGATTTGACACACTTACTGACACACTTATTTGACACATTTACTGACCAGATTTGACACACTTACTGACCAGATTTGACACTTACTTACCAGATTTGACACACTTACTGACCAGATTTGACACTTACTTACCAGATTTGACACACTTACTGACCAGATTTGACACACTTACTGACCAGATTTGACACTTACTTACCAGATTTGACACACTTACTGACCAGATTTGACACACTTACTGACCAGATTTGGCACTCTTACTTACCATACTTAACACTTACTTACCAGATTTGGCACACTAATTTACTAGACTAATGCTCTGCTAAGAGAGCTAAACAGAACCTGTCACTAGTCAGATGTAATGAAACAGGTAATATGCTAAAAAGATGACATTTGAATGGTGGGTCACTACATGTAATTCTGTCGTAAATGTGACAGTTATATTTTTTGTATTTTCAGGTTTGTAATAAAAGTTATAAGCGAGCTAGTCACCTGCGAGAACATATGGTAATACATGACCCTTATGCATCGCCAAAACGAAACAAGTTTGCCCCACATCATTGTGATACTTGTGAGAAATCATTCCAGAAACCTAGTCAGCTGGCGAGGCACAAACGCATCCACACAGGTACGTGACAGTGAACCCAACAACATGCATATTGTACTTAGGAGGCATCTCCATGGAAATAATTTCATCTTTTTATGATGTCAAATCAGGAGGCTACAGGAAATTTAAATCCTCGCTTGCATACCCTGAAGGGTCAGATATGTTCATGGAATAAAACCAGTAAAAAAATACTTTTTGTCTTTACAGGTGAGAGACCATTTATATGTGGAATTTGCCACAAAGCTTTTAACCAGAAAAATGCCCTTCAGATCCACTTGAAACGCCACAGCGGAGAGAAACCACACAAGTGTTCCTACTGTGAACTAGCTTTTACTCAGAAGGGCAATCTCAAAACCCATATCAAGCGTGCACATCATATGGACATGGTGCATTCCATGAACTTACCCAAAGCATTAAATTTTGTACCACCGGCTGGTGCTACAGTCAGTGTCAGTACAGATGGTGATGTGAATCAGGACTCCAGCCATGAAGTAGCAACAACACAGGAGGAAGATGGAATCAATTTGGAGGAAGTGGCTGACTTATTCCCTTGAAGAACAAAAAGGATAGGTCAATTGTTATTCTGCTGAAAAAAATGGCTGTTGAAATGGAAACGTCTTTCTTATGTGTAGTTGTAATGTGGAGGTCTTATTTGATGTTCGATTTTTAATGTGATGATGAAGATAATTATGTAACTTTAGAAGGAAAGAAATACAAGATGTAATTTGTTAAGTTCCTCAGATATCAAAATCGTTCATTATAAGAATACAGAGGTTGTATTTGGTGAATTTTAACTGAATTCCATTTAAAACCTTTGGGACCAGATTGAGCAGTTTATAAATTCCCAGATTTAATCCACTAGTCTCTCTACTATAACACATCAATGTAGAAGTTGACTTGTATTTGGTTATTTGCAGCTTTGTTTCGTTAGACAAGTTTTGTTGTACTATAACTACCTGAGAATTCCCAGTTAAGTCAGTATGTGATAATAACATGTGATATTTATGTTGCCATGCAACATAATAATATATTATAAAAATGTTTTAAGTTTCATACCAATATTACAAAGGTAAACTGGAGGTTTGCAATTCTGCCCCACTGTATTCCTCCTTCATCCCAAAATAACCTCTGGGAAAAGTCTAATATTTCATTCGATGAGTTTATAATACAGAATTACATAGAACCATGACATTTTAATAATTAGCCTTGGATATAGTAACTGACTGCAGTTATAGCAAGATAATGATGATTTTGAAAATAATAACCAGTAATTGAAGTGGATCCAAAGATTGTTGACCATTTGGTGAAAATTGTTACAGGCAGGAGGAGGTTATGGATAAACCTTGACATATTCTGCCTCATTTCAATTTGTTCAAATGAAAAAGTTGTGTTTGAAATCCATATATGCCAATCAAAGATTAAAATACTCACAGAAAATTGGAGTATGAATGTTTGTACATTTTATAAATGTACTGGTATTTATTACAACAAACCGCAAAACTTCTGATATTATTGTATTGATATTTAATATGAAAGTCTAAAGGTGTATTTTAAAAGGAATGGGGGGGGTTTCATGATATATGAGTGTTTTTAAGGAATGATATAATTGACATCCCTAGACTGAAAAGGTTTAGAATTCATTTATTTTTAATGGGAAAAATACCTTTTCCTGTTTGTAGGAGGTATAATTTGAAAGGAGGGATCATGGACTTGCATGACAAGCTCAATTTAGTTCTGCATGAGGATTTATGAATATTCTGTGTGTAAATCCCAAAGAATTTTTTGTTCAGGTATTTGAACTATTTGTTGAACATTTTATTTAAACATATCATTATTTTATGACACGGTGCTGTTTTAGAATATCATTGGTCTGGGGACTGGTGTTAATGTGCTGTATGACAATGATGCCCATATTCCTGTTTAAGTTTGAAATGTGATTGGAACATTCCAGCCACTTTTGTATGGAATATTTTAAGAAACTCTAGAGAATGAATGTTTCTGATGTTGACAATGTGTCTAATTTTGTTTATAATCACTACTCCAACCTCTTTGCAAGGTACATCTCAAGCTTTGCTTTGTGGAACAATCATGTGGGATAATCTCATTCTGGAATAAACTGACATTCTCCTCATTTAGATGTAGTACAAGATATCATTACATTGAAATTTTCGTCAGTTAAAAATATTTAAGCTTGGCATCAGATATTGCTTTATGGCAAGAAACAATTAAAGAAAAACTCTACTTTGCAAACTGCTTTAATTTTAATGTATATCCGTCACTGTTTTAACATCTTTTTTCAGTTCTTTCCAAATGTGTTCTATGTGAATTTTAACTTTACATTGAATATCAATATCATTCTGCATCATTGAAGTCACTATCAATGAATCTTTTTGTTAGAGGTGGAGTTGGGTATTGTGTAGGTAAAGAAGGTAGGGAAATTCTACCTTCAGATGTGAAATTTGGGCATAGAAATTTGATAAGTCTTTGTGTCCCAAATTCTACACACTTAGAAAGGTGCAATGAATTGGCCCATTTTCACATGCAATAGGCTATATACTTTTCACAGTATTGTTTTGTGGCCTGGATCTCTTGTTTACTGTGTGTATACATGGTATATGTGCCAAAATAATGCTACAGTAGTAGAAACACAGCCTTCCATATAACCATCATCAATTATGCCCCATTCAACACAACATAGAATACTGTAAAGCTTTCTTTTCTTGTTCAATTTTCTGCAGTTTTATCTAAGAATGTGTAACAAAACAAAAAAGTGATTTTTCTTAGAAGTCATGATAAAGACTGAATTTCTCTATCAATTTAATTTTCCGATTTTCAATTTTCTCCTCTTTTATTTTAACTTTTACACTAGCGAGAAATTGGACTCCTTTTAAAAAACAACAAAAAACTTTCACTGTATTAAAGCGGTGTGGAATCATGCTATTTAATGAATTGCACAGGGCTAGTTGTTTACTTTAGAAGTAGTCTCTTTTTATTTATTTTAATGTGATTGATAACTACAATGCGTTTAAGTCGGAGGAAAAATCTCTGCGGTTTTTTTCTTAATTTTTTCTTAAATAATGTTATTAAAACATTTTAACATTTATGAAACATAAAAGGTTGATGGAGCTTAGAAATCTGTGAAATTTTTCTTGGCTTCTTTTTCTTATACCGATTATTATTATGGTGTTTAAATAAAATGTTAATTATTTATTAAATCAAATATTTTGTTTGTTGTTTTATTGACAAGCATCAGAAGGCTCCAGTAAGTACTGGAGGTTTGACCAGTACAGTTAGTAGAAGGTAGTTGCCATGTAGTTCAGGATGCACCTGCCTGGGAAATATCATGCTCAGCTAGCAAGGAAATGGAAAGTTTGCAAGTTATTTGAAGGATTTGTGAATTTCTCGCACAGACCAGTTACTTAACTTTTGACTCTATCTAATTAAACTTTGTTAATTGGCTGTTCAGCATATAATCAGTTGATTGTGAAATTATTTCCTCTCGTTTTCCCGTCATCTTGGTTGCTACTATGATCAACTGAAGATTTTTGCTTTTGCTCAGCAAACAGTCCGGTGCATTTTGTGGCATGATCTCCATGAGTAGTAGCTGGTGGCTACCTCACTGAACAACATATGGAAGGCCCATCATATGCATTCAGAACATTTTAAGTAAAATATCTTTCCCAAGGACACAACCATGTCAATGCAGATTATTCCATTTCACAACTTACTGAGAAACACCAACTGCCATGGGGATAGAACATCAAACCATGTACTTTGGGTTTTCACCCGAGACCACAAAAGGCAAATGCCCTAGATATTGTGGCTCCTTCAAAGTATTAAAAAAATGACAGAACATGATATAGATTACTGATACTTCTCTTTATTTTTAATGGTAATTCATGGTTACCGGAAAGTTATGGTATTTACGATGAAATGTTAAAAACACAAGAAGGTATATCAGAGTTCCCACTCTTTGAAGTGAATAAAACTTTAACACCTTCACTGAATCTAAACTTAAATATCTGTAGCTTATCAATAAACATATTGCATGTTTTACCATCAAGGAGGGGAAACTTTTAAAAATACCATATCACCATGGTATCTAATTAAACAATACACATCTTTTTTTTTTAATGAGTGGTCCTCTCTAGATCTACATAAATGCAAAATAGGATTTTGCTTTGTGGATTTACAAAATAAATGCCTTAAAGACACGACAAACGATATGTAAATTATTTTGTGTTCTCAAACTGAATATAAATTTGTATATATATATATATATATAATATTATATATTATATACAAATATGTATGTTACCATATACATCCATAAACAATTGTAAGCACTTACATCTATATTGCAAAAATGGTTTCAGTAAAAAGCTATGGGATTTCCTTTAAGACCGTCGTTGCCCATTATTGAATAGGAGTTGACGGAAAATATATATAATTATACAAATTCAATAATATAACAATGAGATATATACATGCTTGATTACAAACTTGATAACCATGTATTGAATATTTACAAATCCAAATTTTCTTTAAGCGAAAATCTGCTAAAATATATTAAAAAAAGTGGCTTAAAAGGACATTAAATTGTAAAAACCTCTAATTTGCCAATTTGTAAGCTTGAGTTTCCTCCCCTTCCATGAAAAATATCACAAACCGTATTTTTCATTCAGGGAGAGAATGTTTAGTCATGAAATCACTAACCTTCTGAGAAATTGCTGATGTGATGAAGGCCCAACAAGTGTGCTCTATCACACACGATATGTAAAACCTGGTTGTGGACTGTCCATCTATTAACAGCCCATTTACAACCTCCAACAGTACATTCTTCTGACAGTGATAAAATAAGTAAATCCTTAACACAGTTGTACTTTCTGTGACCATAGGGAACACTCAAAATATTGCCTAGATTCTTAATCTTTAAAGAAAAGGAATCAAAAATATAAAACAAAGCTCATTAAGCTATTCATAACTTGTGTTGTAAACGATGATCCTTAGTTTCGTAAACATACTTTGTTTACACATTGCAGAATTAACATAGAATAGAGAAATAAAAAATTGAAAAAAAAAAAAAAAAAAATTCCATCTCGAATTTGTAAACCCTGCTGTAATCAGGTGATAGATATAAAAAAAAAAACAACATTCATTCATGACTCATTTCTCTGTCTTCGTAACATACACCCACTAACATAACAATGCAGAGATGGATTTCAGGCAATGAAATTATGCTTAAATATAAAATGTACATGTATTTGATATTGAAAGATAACAGAAACAAACAGGAAATTGTGCTTAAGATTGCAAGCATTAAAATACCATCAGTAAAGGGATTCAGAAATACTATCTTTGGTATTGTTATGGACTAAACATTCTTGGGGGTGGGGGAGGGAGGAGGGGGGGGGGGGGGTCGAGAAATAAACAAAAACAAAACAACTACAATTCTACTTAAGTACTTTTAAAGCATTGTATTAAGCTCAAGGATTTCATATAAAAACATGCTAAATACAAGGGACTCAATGCAGATCTAATCCAGCTGACAAGTAACCTCTTATTCATAAGGTAAATGATAAATATATGGAAACAGAAACTAGTTTTGTAATTTCATACATGTTCTTGTTTTAAAAATTGTTATTGTCATTGTGAGGTGTCATCATAATGAATGATGTGTTCACATCTGCATTGATAGCAATACGGTCATGTTACAACAACCCGAACATCAACATAGCATGAAAATGAATATTTGAACAATTCCTGCTATATAAGAATTACCTGGTTAATCCTTACCTGTATGTTCTGAGAGAATAACAAATTACAATGACAGGATATGAGTAATGTTTCCTGAAACTCCAGGTGATGTAAGTTGTTGTGTACAGAGGAGATTTGTCTATCCCACCTACCACCCACCTATCCATCTGGTCATTTACCCTAACACTGACAATTAAGAGTTAACCTCACACATTTCTTGTGTTGTGTTGTTGGATTGGACTGGATTGAGTAGACCAAACAGATGTTTTGATCAAGCTACTTTTTTCTACTGACACCCCACCTCCAATAATAACCAAAATTTTATATAAATCTATAGTTTGTATCGATATTTAGCTGCTCATGTAAAATCAAAGATATGTGGAAGAAATTCATCTATCTATACAAATATCTTTATAAAAAAACAAGCAGAATGCTCAATGTTCAAAATGAATACTTTGAAAACATGTCTGATAATAAATCGCAAGTTTTTTAAAATGTATTTTTGTGTCGCTTAGTGGCAGTACTTTATCATAGTTACACGCTCCCAAGATACCCTCAGGTTCCTGACAGTTATACTAGTGTAGACAGTTTTAGCACCAATTTCTTTCCACCTCTAGTCTATACAGTAAACAAAAGTACACCTGTCAGGACCCATAACTGCTGAGTTTGATGTGGCCTCCCCTCCCTATGATAGATCCCATCCCCCCACAACTCCAATTCTGAATGATGAGATGCCAATCCTACATAACACCAGGGCAAGCTACCAGGTATTAGCCCTCATCCCTTATGGGAAGTGAAGGGGATTTATCTTGGAGGTGACTGTAGCTTTGAGATGGGACAAGGTCTCCCTGTAACAGAGGCTGAGGAAAGACTGACAGATCTATCATCAAAAACACCTGGATGTCCCACTATTGTCTTGTCTTACATGTCATCAGGATACACACCTCACTACACACGTGTTGGGAGGAGGGGTAAGGGGGGATGTAGCTAGACCAGGGCAGAGAGCTGGTGGTTGATTGATTGTGAAGTTGAGGAGAGCCAAAGGGATATAAATTGTACAGGTATTTATCTTCAGAAGGTGTCAAATTTTCAGAAATGGGTCAAGTGGGAATCACCTGTCGACTTGCTCTCATCTTTTAGTAGTTAACTCAACATTTCCTATGTCAATTAAATATTATCAGTTTTCTAAATAATCAAATTAATTGCTGATTAAGATACTTCATTCTCGAATAGCAATAATGTTGTTTGTATAACACTGTTGTCATGACAACACAGATATATATGATATATCAAAGAATTACGTCAAACATCTGGCAGGAAATCCTATCTAGAGAAATGAAAAAAAGCACCTGATAAGTTATCACAGGAAAAGTCAGTCAGCCATGACAATTTCTTTACTTTATTTTTGTTAGAAGATCAAGATGAATTATGAAGAGTTCGAGGAAAAAAATCTATCAATAATGAAGACTGATGGTGCTCTTTAACTAATTGTCTGCTTGAAGTTAAAGACACAATCAGTAAATTGAACAAGTAGCTCCTGTAAAATCAGCTTAAATCAGAAAATAAATTGTTGTATATTACAAAATAAATTCTGAAAATACAGAAGAAATAAATAAAAACTCATACAAGATAATTGCCATTTAAAAATTCAGCCGAAATTACATCATTCAGCGAAATTGGAGATTCTTTTCACCGACACATCCTGGTAAAGAAAGAAATTGTCATATCATAATTATTCTGAGCCATAAATTTGGACCCTATCTTAGTCTTATAAATGTTTTACTTCATAGCTTTAAGAAGCTTTATCGTATACATTTAAGCTATTAATATTAATTTCTCAAACATATCAATCATGTAAGCAGTACACAACATAGCCGGGGAAAACCTGTAAATTTTGTGTAACAAGACTGTTATGTTCTGATGGATTCGTAATTCAAATGTACACTGGCAACAATACTTAATCATAGAAGGACTTTTTTCCTTCTTCAAATTTAAGAAGTAAATGAATTACGTGATGTCTCATTCCGACTTTTTATAAAATTTTGTCCAGTTACTTCCTGAAATAAGACTTATGAATTAGAATCTGTTGTCATACATAAAATTTACCAGGAAACCATTAAAAATAAATAAACTTTTACGACTTCAAATTGTTTATCCTTTTTTCGTGTTGTAACATGACGATAAATAAACAGATTTAAAAAAGTTTTAGGGAATGAAATAATTAATTACTCTGGAGGGAACCAAATGAGTGGAATGAGATAACTGAATTGACTGTATTTAATTGGCTTAAAAAAGAAACGCAATTGGAAATGTGGTAAAGACACCATTACCTGACAATGAAATATGAAGCAGATATTCTCTATCTCTGAAAATAATGTTTGGTGGAAGACCCAGCCGATACCAATTCTAAAACTTTAGTGACCATGTCTGTATGCATTCAATTTTTGTTACTTAACTGAAATATTATTTAAAATAAAACCTGGATATTAGCCAAAACATTTGTCGTATCATAAAGCAGATAAGTCTACTTATGTGTAAATAGGATGGTTCTGTAGTGCAGATCCAGCGGATGCCTCTGGACCGTATCAAACATGACAGCTGTACACAGATCAGGACTCAATGTCTGTCTTCTTTGCCAATCTTAGTGGGAGGACAGACACAAATTTTGAAGGTCACTAAAAAGGTCATCCAAGTGTCTCCATCAACATGCATTTCCTTCACACTAAATCATATTTCTTCTTATCTAATGACTTTTAAGTATAGAAGTTGTGGGCTTTCTTACAAATTATCAAATGTAATTCAATATCTTTTAATGGTATGATCATCAAAAAAACCAAAAAAAAAAAAAACCCCCTAGATTTAAAGTAAGTTGCAAGGTTTTTAAATAACCTTAGATAACGCCTATCTATCTTCTGAAATATCTGAATAGTTCTATGATATGACCCATACTATTGCAGTACATTCTTTATCATGTCTTGTATCTATAGCATATCACCTAACTTGTCCATCACATATCAAGTAATGTTATCCACAGCATATCATGTAATTTATCCATAGCATATCATGGCATATCATGTAATTTATCCATAGCATATCATGTAATTTATCCATAGTGTATCTTGTAATTTATCCATAGCATATCATGTAATTTATCCATAGCATATCATGTAATTTATCCATAGCATATCATGTAATTTATCCATAGCATATCATGTAATTTATCCATAGCGTATCATGTAATTTATCCATAGCATATCATGTAATTTATCCATAGCATATCATGTAATTTATCCATAGCATATCATGTAATTTATCCATAGCATATCATGTAATTTATCCATAGCGTATCTTGTAATTTATCCATAGCATATAATGTAATTTATCCATAGCCTATCATGTAATTTATCCACAGTCTATCACGTAATTTGAGATAACTAGTCCTTTTTCTGCCAAGTTAGGATAAAGGATTTAATTAACAGTAGACTGTTCTTACACTATCTTCACACAAACATATGCCTTTAATGGTCTTAAACAAGTTTCAGGTATGAAATGAAGTTATTTTTCTGTTTATAATAATACAAGAATAAAATTGCCATTGAATTATCAATGAAATCTGTTGAATCTGACCCCCTTAATATTCAGAATTCTTCTTGAATCTAGCATCACACTTTATGTATATGATCAAATTTCTTTGAAAACAAATAACGTTTTGTATTGCACAGATTGTTGATTAGGGCTTATTCTGCTGTAACTACCACTTAATGACCTCACAAATGAAGTTTTTGAATGTCGCTTTTGAGCTGACTGAAATTATATCAAATTTTGATGAAAACAAAAACCCTTGATTCATACATTATGAAACATACATTGCTACATAGCATTACATTTGGTGCTAGTATCTTTAAACTAGAAACATTTTGCATAAAATGTTTGACTGTTTCAGAGTTTTGCACCAGTAGACATAGTACAAATGCCATGACCCTGAGCAGATGGAATTCTTACTAAGAAGAAAAACTGAAAACCAAATATGCATTGAAGATCTCCTATCCCTTGAAATATTTCTGACACGACCAGAGCTTGGGACCACAATAATGAAAAAAAAAAAATTCAACGTTTCATGTTCTTGATTAATATCTTATCTCTCTCAAAACTTTCTTTAAAATATCTTAATTAAAAAATACGAAACAGCACATCACGGAAAATATGAAAATAATGTCAACGATAACTGCATTAATTTTTAGTTTTATAAATGGCTCTGACTAGACAATCAATGACTGTTAAGTACAATACTAGACTAATACGACTGACTAAATAGAGAGATACTGTGTTTTAATCGGGTCCATGTAATTCATTTAAGGTTCTGAGTCAATTTAAACTCGGATTTCAGTAAACAGCACTAGGATGTTAAACACCAGAAGGATACGACTAATAACTACAGGAAAATATCCACAAAACCAACTGTAACGTCTAAACTTTACATTACCCTTAAACTCAGGAATTCTATAAAAAAAAATATACTTATCAAAGTTAATGACAAAAACAATTGAAAACAAGAAAATGTTTGGCAGTGATATAAAAAGCACAATGGTAAAGAGAAAAGGTGAAAAAAATGGAGTTAAAATTTTGTAGATAAAGGTTATTTCCCCTTGCTAGCTAATTCATGTGCCATTTCATAGTATTTTGAGAACTTAGCAGTGTGATCAAGTGGGAGGTAGACATACGGGCTCATGTTGAATGCCTCTTTGATTCCATATCGTTTTACCGATGATAAATGACACCTACTAAGGTGGTAGCGATATGATCCTTTAGATGCGAAATGCCTGCTACATGCTGCACATCGGTACTCCGCAGTGCCGTCACTTTCACTACCACTATGTTGACTACCCTCGTGGTCCGAAAACCCATCTCGCTCTACAATGTCACTTGTGTCATCATCCTGGCCCTTTTTAAGGGACAGGTTGAGTGGCAGCCCCGAGTCAGGCGACTCAGACTGTCGGAGATATTTGATGGACTGAGATGAAGCGAGTAGTTTTGGAAGGTCTGTTTTGGTGATGAGTTTTTGCAAACTGTCGAGAGGATGTTCACTGTTAAGAGGTTGTCCATATACAAAACTGCTCAGAGAGTCAAGAGCTGAAGACCCTGACTGTGATTCTTTGGCTGGCCTCACGTCCTCCTCCTCACAATTGAGATATTTACTTGCCAAAGTTTCACCGTTTTCAGAATTGCCAGTGCTCTGTGATTCCTCATTGTCAATAGAGGGACTCACTGGCTTACGAACACTTTCACACATTTTTTCCAACTTTTTCAGATCATCCTTTGCAGTCGATACTGCAGAGGATGGCTGAAGACAAACATTCAGTGTATCCTGTACCTCACTTGTAGATTTTTTCACCGATCCATTGTTACGAGGTTCATCTTGTTGAAAGTATTTTCTATATTTCTCGAAGCGATATAGTGCTCCGTGTTTATGTTCTCTGTCGTCACGGTAAACAGATGGCTTCAGGAGTGTTTTCTCACCGGTATTGAACACCATGTTTCCCCTGTGGTAGTCAAATTTTGAGGAAAAACTCTTTTGAATGAACGATTCCATGGCTTTTAGTGCAGAATTATCTTCCATGTTCTCCATCGCCCTGCCTGGGTCAATAATATCAAGGTTCTTGGCTGAATTTGTGGTACTTACTACTTTCGAATTATCTGATAAGTCACATTCCATCTCCTTTTCCTTTTTCACTTTCACATTTTTCAAATCCTTTTCTTGCTCTGAAGGGTCTTCATGGTCCTCTGTGACTTTCACTGGACTTTTCTTTGAGGAGTCATCCAATTTGTCTTCCATGACAAGTGGTGTCATTGGAAGAGGTGATGTGACTTCTTTTTCCTTTTCATTGACCTTGACCCTGTCTTTATCTATTTCAGGTGATGGTAGAGACATGTTTTCATCAGACAGTTCCTTAAGAACAACATTGTTTTTGCTTTCCTGTTGTCCATCATCGCTTGCCTCTTTTGTGTTATTTTCATTGTGGGATTTGTCATCACTTTCACTACTTTCAGTTTCTTTGGATTTGTCGGAGGTATTCAGTGCTTTCTGTTTGTTGAGAGACAAGTCTAGTTCCTGTATATCTGGCTTAGTGTCCATCTCCTCCTCTGAATCATCTGGTTTATCGAACATAGATGCAGTCTCTTCATCTACATCATCTAATTCCTGAGAATCATGGGATTTCTCTGACTTAATGGAACTTATTTCGTCCTTGAACAAACTCATGCGTGATCTTTCAAAATCAGCCTGCTTCGTGCGAAGACAGAGCCTCACATGTTCAACAAAGTATTGAGTCTCTATGCGGTCCCCACAGTTCTCACAACTGATTGTGCTGTCTTCTGGAGTTTCACTATCGGGGCTGTCAGTAAAGTGGCGGTGGCCATTGATTGGAGGAGTCACCGGATGACTTAGACATTTACGTTTGTAATTCAGAAATGACGCTACATTAGGATTTCCAAGACCTTCAAAACTCTCTTCATCACTGTAATATCGCTTCCGTCGACCACGGAAGGCAAGATCATTGAGATAATTGTGGGACCGAAGAATATTTTTCTTGTGATGACCAGACATGATCATGTGATTCGCCAGGCCTTCCATGTCACTAAATGTACTGTTACAAACCTTACACTTAAATATACATTCACGGTCCATTTCCCGGTCACAGTATGCCGAACACTTGTGTGACCGTCGCCCATGCTCAGAACTGACAATTTTGGTGTAATGTTGTGTCTGCATCATGTGAACAGTCAGAAGCGGTAGAGACTTGAAAGATTCTCCACACTGCATACAGCGTAGAATCCTCTTGGTGTGCTCGGACTCCTGGTTCAACCACATGTCCTGACCTCTCACCAGTTTGGGGTATTCCATAATGGCTGCCTGCTTGTTACTGGCAGGGGCATGTCCAGTCTCTTGTAGATGTATACTCAAACCATACAAAGTGTTGTAAGTTTTTAGACAAGTGCATCTGTGCATTGTATACTTACAGTCATCTTCATTATCATCACATTCGTTCCCTTTCAATGTTATATTGGAATTCATATCTGTATCATGTGACAACGGAGAAGAATCATTTTCCGATCTTGAAGATTTTGATTTCTCTACGTTTTTCTCCAGCCTAGAGGAATGATTAGGACTATGAATCTGCGGTGACTTACCTACACTACCAACATGTGATTTCTTGACAACATTGGAATTTTTCACCTGATTACTACAGTTTAAATGCATAGAACTATGAGATTTGGATATGTCTGATACCGCTGGCAGAAGCCCGCTGATGGGCTTCCTAACCGACCGCATGTGCAGATTTCCTCCGAAGCGTTGCTGAAGACTCTGCAGAGTTGACGGCACATCATGTCCCCCAGTTGAAGAAGAATGATGCCCTCCTGTGGAATGATGCCTTCCAGAAGAATGATGTCCATTAGAACTACTTTTGTACTGAGACTTACTAGCACTACGATCACTTTTGTCACTTGCCTTCTTGGACAAGTCCAGGGGCTGTTCCTCTAAAAGCGTCCTTGATGATGGAGAGGTGGACACACGATGGGGATGGTGGATTGAGGAGGGTGATTTGGCTGAAGCTGCTGTAGAAGGGGTATATGGGGCAGAATAAGTCTTTGGTAGTTTATTTGAGTACATTTTGGCTTTAGCCATTGTCTGCTTTGGGTGTGTTGGTGCATTTTTTATGACCGACATTGCTGAGAGAGTCATTGGAGGTATTGGAAACTTTGTAGGAAAAAATCCATCTTTAAAAAGTTTTTTTGGTGGCGTGTGTTGTTTCTTTTGGAGAAACAGAGGCAAAGGGTCCTGTCTCATGAGGCGTTGTAGAGGAGGTGTCTCAGGTCTGGAAGGAGGGGTGGAAGAGTTCTTGTTCTCCTCATCCCCCTCCTTTTTCATGCCAGACAACTGTCTCTCCTCTTTAACAGGAGACACTATGTCATCCATGTGATGTGGCATGGTGTCTGAGGACATAGGGGACTTGCCTACATCAGCATTTGAATCTTTACTCTCAATGTCTTCTTTCTCTTCCTTCTCCTCCCCCTCAACTGGAATCTCCTCACTTGTCTTCTCTACCACCTCCTTGTCCCCATCCTCACTCTCCACACCTCCTGTTTCCTTTAAACTGTTGTCATCATTCATATCATTGTCTTTGTCCTCTCCAATTCCTTCATTTTCTCCACTCTCACATCCATTTTCTTCATTTGCTGAAAAACACGAAAACAGATATCAGATACAAAAATACTTGATTGTGTTGAACTATAAACATAAAAATGTCTATAAGACATGAAAATCAACGCTTCTTAACGCAAACCAGAATCTGATTGGGTGTTAAACTCTGTGCCTTGATATATGGGGTAAATAGGAATCAAATATATAGAGAGGATCTCAAGACATGACATCCTTTGGAACTCGACATGATGCCACAAGACTGACAAAGAACTTGGGTAACACTACAAGTACGTGTCCTTAATATGATATGGTTGTGAAGAGGGGAAATAAAAGTATAGGTACTGAAAGTGAGTCTAATATAGACAGAGGGATGTCTTTGTTTTAACAAATACAGTCCCTGAAATCCTTTAAGTGCACCTTCATCATTTTAATCTACCAGAAATATGAAATAGTTGCTGTGAGACACTGCACTTTCATTAATTCAGGGACTAAAATCTAAACTGATGAAGATGTAGGTCAAAAAATATTAAATTAGGTCACAGTGAAATGTCTTTTAATGTCAAGAAATGAATCAAACAAACACACATAAACAAAATCTAGAATGCAGTAACAAACATAATCCAGAATGATTGATTTTATTAATAATACAGCAGAGATGTCAGAGCATCTGATATGTATGAAAGATCAGGCATGCTTTTCATAACTGAACAATATGTGTAGCCACTGTGCTGCTTTTTATAATTAGATGACATCTGTTTTGTCAGAGCTACAAAGGTACCACTGACTCTATAGTCAAGTCAGCCAAAATCCTAAAATGTATAGTTTATTTCATGTTTTTGTGTTTAAAAAAGCTCAAAATTCCTGTTTTTCATTATTTTTTTGCTGTTGACAAATTTCAACAATTTAATTCCCGCCAACATTAACGTCGAGCTAAATCTTAACATACAGATAGATGCTAGATTTTACAACAGTATGAAGCTGACATTGCTACAACAATTTTGACTGAGGTTTGGGTCTGCCTGTGAACTGTCAATGTCACTTTTAAATAATTCTCATGATTTCTCTCGAGGACAAAAAAAGACCATCGACCTCAAATCAAACCTATATAATCAACAACTTTTTTGTTATAATTTGAGAAAAAAAAAAAAAAAACTGATCTGATATTTGATTGTGATTTTTGAGTGATATGGAAAAAATGCAGACACTTCATCTGATCGATGATGACTTTGTTCTTTATGCATTACAGCTGGGTTTTAAACAAAACACATTTCATCTGAATCATATCTTGGAAAAGGATTCGGGTATATACATATAGCTATATATTGATCTAATATGATGTTCAAAATTACTTCAGATTTATAGATTTTATAGTTCAAACTTTAAGACGTGTTTTAAAATTCTATGTCTGTGTTTCTGTTAAACTCTTGTATTTATTTCTATAAATGATATTATATAGCTTAATTATTACAATTTTTTTACAAGTAACAAGACAAGGTGAAAATAAGTAATTTTTACATCAAGATTTTGTTAAAATTTTGAAAATTTGAACCAATGAATTAAACAGCCTATACACCAATTGCAACACAAGTCACAAGATTTCTATCACTACAACAGTTGCTCAAATGCCGCCTTTTGAAAACTAATATATTATCAATATAAATACCTTCTGATATCATGCAAGAAATTTAGATTTTGGTCCATTACACTTTAAATTGACCATGTAAAGTACAAACTGTATGCATAGGATGCTCGTAAAAACTAATACTGATGGAGCTGGTGAACTTAGATGTGAATATTTAATGCATTAATCATGTCCACCCCTTGCTGGAGTAAACACCCATAAAAACATGTCCACAAGGTAGAGTTTATACCCAACAGTAATAAAGGCACTATCGTAAATCACCACCAGGTTTGATGTATGTAGTCCACCACAAGTGTTAAGTAAGGACGAAGAAAATTTCTGGTTTAGAAATATAGTTCTCCATAGAATTATTTCATGACAAGACTTAAGTCACTTTATTTTTCTTTTTTCAACCTCATTTTTGTATTTTTGTTTCCTTAAATCTTGATAATGAAACATTCATGCTAAAAATTCATTAAATTTACTAGACACTTTATTTTCGAGAACATCCATTTTTTTCACCTCATATTTTTGATTTTTGTTTCCTCAAATCTTAGTATTGAAATATTTTTGTTAAAATCAGTTAATTTATTTTATTTTCAAGGAACATTCTCTTTTTTCAGCTTCATTTTTGTCTTTTTTATTCCTTAAATCTTCATATCAAAACATTTTTGCTGATATTCAATAGATAAAAAGACACTTTTTGTCAGTAGGGATTATTGTTGATTCTTGTGATTGTATTCCTGAACAGAATGGGGAAGTTTTTACTATTCCTATATTATTGTCATGAATTCACAAACAGTGGCATACAATGTACTAACATGGTTTGTCAGAATAAATACAATGTTTATCAACCTTAGGGTAAGTCAACTCGGCAGTTGACACCTAGCATTATCACAGCATTGCATACATACTTACAATACCACACTACTGAATCTTACAAAAAAAAAAAAAAAAAACCCAGGTATGATAATTTATGTTTGTCCACAGACATACATGGCGATAAAAGGGAGAATGTTTTAAGACTGGTACTTAAATCAGAAGACAAACAGGATATGATTTTTGTCAGAGTTGTCCCTTTTACTACAAATGACACCATGCAAAAAGAAACAATTTTGATGATCAAAAGAGAATCAGCTCTACTACAGGAGATGAGAGATTGATGTACTTTTAGGCGCTGTCAAATATCATCTCCTTCACACACTGCCTTATATTGTATATCACCAGTTTCATTTTACCACATAAACGTTTCCTCATTATGTTTTACTGCTAAACTGCATCAATAAATCTACATGGCATGTTCCCAAATAAATGTTTGTGTAAATATGAAGAAGATAAATCAGTCAAAATTGGGGTAAATTTGAGTCAAAATTAACTAATTTATGAGTAATAACTAATATTGGGGCCTCCAACTATTGCATAATTATCACTGTCCATTTAAGCAACACTAAAGCAGTAATAATTTAACATTTCGCCCCAGAACCTGCCAATCAAACCCTGTTAATATTGTTATATCCTTCTCTATACGTACATACATTGTGTCCGGGAGTGCGTCCATAATGATGAAATTTGACAGTGCCCTGACAATCAGATGACAATTTGACGTACTTTACACTATTGGCCTTATCAAACAACTGACTGCCTAGGTGATTACCACTCACAAACACCTAATAATGATGATGAGGTTCAAAATTAATTCTAAAAATGTCTCTTAGATAGCAATAATTTTCATACTTTTCCCATTAAGTGCAAATCTGCATTTCCATCTGTGTGATAAACAGTATAAAGACTGACTCAGGTAATCAACAATCTGTATACCAGGTAAACTTAATACAAATATGTTGTATCTAAATTTATTCCCTGGAATTTTATTTGTCAAAGTTTGAATATTTTCTAAACTTGTAATGCAACCCTTTTTTTTCTATTATCACTCTGAATTAGCATTTGTTTTGGGTACAAACATGATTTTAGAATATTGGTTATATATTGACAAGTAAGTACTAAGTCATGTCCATATTGATAGTTAACCGACAAATCAGATAAATTTTGAAAACAAACATCAAGAACACACTGACAGGTAACCGGTATATCAATATACACACTGACAGGTAACCGGTATATCAAGAACACACAGACAGGTAACCAGTATACCAGGTACACACTGACAGGTAACCGGTATATCAGGTACACACTGACAGGTAACCGGTATATCAGATACACACAGACAGGTAACCGGTATATCAAGAACACACAGACAGGTAACCAGTATATCAGGTACACACTGACAGGTAACCGGTATATCAGGAACACACAGACAGGGAACCAGTATATCAAGAACACACAGACAGGTAACCAGTATATCAGGTACACACTGACAGGTAACCGGTATATCAATATACACACTGACAGGTAACCAGTATATCAGGAACACACAGACAGGGAACCAGTATATCAGGTACACACTGACAGGTAACCGGTATATCAGGTACACACAGACAGGTAACCAGTATATCAGGTACACATAGACAGGTAACCAGTATATCAGGTACACACAGGTAACCAGTATATCAGGTACACACAGACAGGTAACCAGTATATCAGGTACACAACGACAGGTAACCAGTATATCAGGTACACACAGACAGGTAACCAGTATATCAGGTACACACAGTTAACCAGTATATCAGGTACACACAGGTAACCAGTATATCAGGTACAGACGGGTAACCAGTATATCAGGTACACACAGGTAACCAGTATATCAGGTACAGACAGGTAACCAGTATATCATGGTACACACAGGTAACCAATATATCAGGTACATACAGACAGGTAACCAGTATATCAGGTACACACAGGTAACCAGTATATCAAGTACAGACGGGTAACCAGTATATCAGGTACACACAGGTAACCAGTATATCAGGTACACACAGGTAACCAGTATATCAGGTACAGACAGGTAACCAGTATATCAGGTACACATAGACAGGTAACCAGTATATCAGGTATACATAGACAGGTAACCAGTATATCAGGTACACAACGACAGGTAACCAGTATATCAGATACACACTGACAGGTAACCAGTATATCAGATACACACAGACAGGTAACCAGTATATCAGGTACACACAGACAGGTAACCAGTATATCAGGTACACACAGACAGGTAACCAGTATATCAGATACACTGAGACAGGTAACCAGTACATCAGATACACTGAGACAGGTAACCAGTATATCAGAAACATAGAGACAGGTAACCAGTTTATCAGATACTCACAGACAGGTAACCAGTATATCAGGTACACACAGAGAGGTAACCAGCATATCAGGTACACACAGACAGGTGACCAGTATATCATGGTACACACAGGTAACCAATATATCAGGTACATACTGACAGGTAAC